TGGTACTACAAATATTTTGAAGGCATTATTTTTTGTAATATGCACTAATATGAGTACATTTTTTGCACAAAAATCAGAACTGATAAAAGTCTCTGTAACTTCCGGTCCATATTTACTTTAAAGGGGACCTATTATTCCCCTGTTTAAAAGATGTAAAAAAAAATCTCTATTGTCCCTACAGTGTGTATGTGTGGTTTCAGCTCAATATACAACGCAAATAATCCTTTAGAACTCTGTGAAACTGCCCCTTTTAGGGTGACTGTCGCTTTAAATTCAAATGAGACTGTGCTCTTTTCAAAAGAGGGCGGGGCTTTAAATGCCTTTGTGTCAGCATAGTGGCAGATTCAAAAACAAGACTAACATCCTATGCAAATAAGATCGTCACTAATGGGAGGGGCTTTCCGCCTCTGACATGTACAAAGGGAGATTGTCAATCAAAGTGTTTCTGCAGCCTGTTTTTATCAAGTGTGATTATCAAAAATTAAAGTAATACATTTTTACCATTAGAAGCTGGTTGTATTCACAGACTGTTGCCACACAACTGTTTAAACCCCTTCTAAAAGTGATTTTTGCATAATAGGTCCTCTTTAAGTGCTCAAGTTCTTTAAAGCAGGTTTAATTTTGATTGGCTGCTGATGTTTATTACTCATCGCGAGGAAAAGCTCTTTTGAAAATGCAGTTTGGGGGGAAAAAAGTTGCGCTATTTTTCGTAAAGTTCTGTGGCCAATAATATGTTTCTTTCACACACACATACACACAAAAAACTGAATCATTTCTTAATGGACATTGATGTTGCACTGTTAAAAAAAATGCAGGGCTCCACACAATTCGTTCATTTTGCCCAACACAAATTGATTAAGTTAACTTAAAACTTTTAACAAATTTATGTGGATTCATGAAAAACTAATTTGTCCCAATGAAATCTCAAGAATTGTGCAGTTTCAGCTCATTTTAAATAAGTATTTTTTTGAGTGTGAAATACATACCTGGCAACCTAAAGACCGCTGTAAGTGATCGAGAAATCATCTAATAAATCATCTAACTTATTAAATAAGCGGGTCGTCAGTTACACCAGGATCAATAAGAAAGGTACTTAGAAGTGTTGTTTGGTTTTTTAATAGTCAGTATTTTAACACATACAGTATACTGTATCTACAATATAACATGTTATATAATATATACACACACACACACACACACACACACACACACACACACACACACATACACACACACTGATCATTCTAATGTGTTTGAAATTTGTAATATTTCTATGTTGAATTCTCTTTCTATGTTGAGTCACACATTTTATTTAATATTTTATTATCTTTGTTGTTGAAACAATTTGGGTTTTAGAAAAAAGCTTTATAAATAAAAGGTATTATTATTATAAGTATGTTTATTAAAAATATATGGTAATCAATTTTAGAAACATGCTAATTCATGTTAGAGTAATTCTAATTATATGCTTATTCATACTAGAATCATGGTAACAACATGTTAATTTGTTAGAGACATGCTAATTCATGTTGTTACCATGCTAACAGCATGCTAATTCATGCTAGAAACTTGCTAGCAACATGTTAATTTGTGGTAAAAATATGCTAAGAATATGCTACATCAAGATTCATGCTAATTTCTTAGAATCATGCTAGTTCATGTTAGAATCATGTTAATTCATGCTAGTATCATGCTATTACCAACCACAGACACGGGTATCAACAAGCTTTTTACTGGCTTGCTTCAGTGGTTACATTGTTGACTGCAGGGATCTTAAACATTATTTTAGCAACTTGATAGTTTTTCTAACTAAATAAACTACTGCCAACAGGCTTTCTCAAGCCACCATAAAGTTTGTCCTCAAACTTTAGCATCTAGTTATTAAAAGTATGTTTATCAAAAATAATGAATATACGGCAAAAATTGGAGAATATACGGCAAACCTTTCCTGTTGTGATTATCCAGCAATTGACTTTGATTGGACAAGGAAAAAAAATTTGGGAAAGATTGTGTGTTAAGATAGTGTTGGACATTTTACTTAGACCTGGTAACCCTGTTCCAACTAATATTGTTCCTCTGTGCTGTTATTGTTCTTGTTGTTGTGTTATCCCTATAGAGTGGTTTTAGAAATATCCTGTTATCACTTTAGGCATTTTTCTTGATGCGAGTGTGCCTTTAAAGCGGACCTATTGTTCAAAAATGACTTAATAAGGGTTTTAAACACAGTTGTGTGGCAACAGCATACCTGTCAACCCTCCCGTTTTACCTGGGACTCTCCTGTATTTTACTGTTCTATCCCGCTATCATCCCGTAAAGGTATTTTCCCGTATTTCCAGTCTTTCTCTAAACAGCCGAACCTCCCTATACACAACCCATACCGCCGAACCACCAGGGGTCGCCCCATGCTCTAAAACGTGAGTCTTCTGTGCTTTTGCTTTGTTTAGGAATGAAAACACTTATAAATAAATACTAAAAAAGACGTGATTACATTTCCTTTTGATTACAGCTGCCGTCGCCCATCCTATACAATCCTCAAAACAGTCATATAATGGTGCATGACGGTCAGCTGACGCGCTCTATAGTGATAAACAGACGTTGTTTCCCAAACGGATTCTGTACACGCGATTTGAAGCAGAGAGAAAAAAGTTTGGCTTTTGGGTGCGTGTTTAAACAGACATACACACATAATTAATAATAATAACATATAAGGATGTACATGTTGGTGGGGTTTGGGAAATACCCTTATTAAGGTGGGCATATCCCTTTTTTTCACATCCCAATGTTGACATATATGGGCAACAGTATGTGAATAAAGCCAGCTTCTAATGGCAAAAAAATTTTGGACTTAAATAATTTATTTTGTTATAATCACATTTAATAAAAACGGCTTGCAGAAACACTTTGATTGACATCCTCCCTTTGTACGTGTCATCAGAGGGGGAAATCCACGCCCGTTAGCGATGATCTCTCCCTCATTAGCATAAAACATTAGTCTTGTTTTTAAATCTGCCACTATGCTGACACATAGGCATTCGTAGCTCCGTCCTCTTCTGAAAAAGAGCACAATCTCATTTGAATTTAAAGCGACAGTCACCTAAATAACACGATTAGAATCAAAGCCTAAAATGGGAAGTTTCAAAGAGTTATAAAGGATTATTTGTGGGGTACTTTGAGCTGAAACTTCACAAACACACTCTAGGGACATCAGAGACTTATCTTGTCAAAAGAGGCATAATAGGTCCCCTTTAAAACCCAGCGATGAAACTGCACCTCTGTGTGAGATAAATGCAGAAGGTGAAAATGAAAATGAAGTCGTGATCCACTAGAGAAATGAATGTGGAAATAAGCTCTCCAGTCTCCAGAGACTCGTCCTAGACGTCTCCTGCAGTGCAGTGTATTTATAGGCTGAGAGGAAAGCAGGTTGACGGTCAGTAAATATTACATGATTCCCTCTTTTAGAGTTTCTTCATCCTTTTTAGGACTCTTTCATAAAGCAGAGGTCAGTGAGAGTGCTTTGCAGTGATCGTAAAACTTTATTCCCGAGTCATTGTTGTTTTTCACACATGAGAATTATAGTGATATTATTGTAGTGTATGGTTGTGGTGAATTAGACCAGGAGATCTTCTGTAGTTTGTTTTATCAGTGCTAGGGTGAAGATATCTTAATTTTCTGATGAGTGATTATGACATCGAAGATAGTTTGAAGACCTGTTAATTAGCAAAATCATAATAGCATGTTCTGCCCTCTGCTGGAGAGGTGGAAAGTTCACATACTCTTGATATGCATTTACTGTGAACATTGTGTAAAAATACAGAGCTTAATGTTTACATAATGGTGCATATTACTGTTTAAAAGCTTGGGTGAGTATGTTTTTTTTTTTTTTTTTTTGCAGTAGCAGGTCTAAAACTGTGCAATACCCTCCCATTAAAGCTTCATATCATCACAAATGTGGCACTGTTTAAAGCAAAACATGTGAACAAAATGTGTACAATTAACCTGTGAAAATCAAGCAAGAAATTTTTTTTTTTGATAATTCATTATTAATCGAAATGTAAAAATTCTCTTCTTCTATGGAGTGATGACATCAGATTGACGGCTGAGCTATTCAATATTGAAGTTGGTAGGAAGTTCATTTCACAGCAGTCGAGTTTGTTAAAGTACAAATGTAAACAAAATTAACCATATTATTTGGTTAGCTCACATTGCCAGTTACGTGAACAATTCATCTGTGCGTGTCATTAAGAAAAAAAATAAATGTTTGCCCTTTGTAATGTTAAATTCTGAAAATGCACTTCCTGTTTGTTTTTAGTAAAATTCTCAGATTATGTTTGTCTGTGGGCAACGCAGCGGCTCAGTAGGTAGTGCTGTCGTCTCACAGCAAGAAGGCCGCTGGTTCGAGCCTCGGCTGGGTCAGTTGGCGTTTTTGTATGGAGTTTGCATGTTCTCTCTGCGTTCGTGTGGGTTTCCTCCCGGTGCTCCGGTTTCCCCCACAGTCTAGACATACGGTACAGGTGAATTGGGTTGGCTAAATTGTTCGTATTGTATGAGTGTAAACAAGTGTGTATGGATGTTTCCCAGTGATGGGTTGCAGCTGGAAGGGCATCTGCAGCATAAAACATTCTGGATATGTTGGCGGTTCATTCGGTTGTAGCGACCCCAGATTAATTAAGGGACTAAGCTGAAAAGAAAATGAATGAATGATTGTCTGTGGTATGGGGGGCGTGGCTATCATACTTAACCACGCCTCTCCAATGGTCATTTTTGACAACAAACAGAAATGGTGAGCAGGTCTGTTAGGTTGTTATAACTCTCCTCAAACCCTTTTCCAGATCTTTCTAAATGAAATGCCTACTTTACTACATCCAATGAGCTTGCAGTAGAAAAAACAAGCCACGCCCACTGGAACTGCGTCACAATACGGGGAAAAAAAAAAAAAAACGTTGCAGCTTCTGGTTCATGCAGACTTTAAAGGCGGAGTGTGTGTGTGTTTTTGTGTGCAGGGCCGGTGGTGTATGTGCTGGACCTGGCAGACAGGTTGATCTCGAAGGCCTGTCCGTTTGCTGCTGCTGGGATCATGGTGGGATCCATTTACTGGACCGCAGTCACATATGGGGCCGTGACAGTCATGCAGGTGAATCATCGCTCGCATTTAAAATTACTTCACAAGAATTCTTTGATCTACACGAATCTCCATCTCTCAGGTTGTAGGTCATAAGGAAGGTCTGGATGTGATGGAAAGAGCCGATCCTCTCTTCTTGCTGATTGGCCTGCCCACCATCCCAGTTATGCTAATTCTGGGAAAGATGATTCGCTGGGAGGATTATGTGCTCCGCCTTTGGAGGAAATACTCCAATAAGCTTCAGATCCTCAACAGTATTTTCCCAGGTCAGTGGTTAAAGGACAGTCACAAAAAAGGGTCGAATTGTAGAGGTATAAAAGAGCTTTAGGCTTTTTCTTCTATAATGCATTTTTAATTATCATTTACTTAAATCACAGACTAAAATGTTATTTAGTGTAGGAGTGTAAGAAAATGGTCAAATTGAGAACTAGAATCATTTAAAGACATATTAAAAGGCGATTTAAGAATCCCAGTTTGGCTCCAAAATACCAATTAAAAAATACTAATTTTAAATCTTTAAACTGTGCCAATTTTTTTTTTTAGCCATTTAAAATGGAAGACACTTTAGAATGATCACTTATTTTATATATTATAATAAATACATGTGTTATTAGTATATATATTTAAGTGTGTGGGTGTTTTTATTTATTTATAAAAACATATTAGAGATGCACAATACACCAGCAGTTATATCAACATCGGCCGATAAATGCTATTTTATTTTATCAATCTGATAACAAAATTAGGCCGATAAATTATGTATTACTTCCTTCGGTTGAACCACTTCACCTGCTTGCTGTCTGACAATTTTTTATTATTATTATTTTACTGGAAATTATATAAATTTTTTGTTTAATGTTTAGTGACTTGGTTGCTTGGAAAGTAATAGTAATTGGAAAGAATAGTTGAAGTAAAGTTTCGAGATCAATTTAGACTTTTCTGAAGTTAAGACTTTAAAATAAAATTAGAAAGATTTCTATTTATATTCATCAGCAAAAATATATCGACTATCAGCCTCTAAATCTCTAACAGTATCGGTCAAAAACTCTGTATTGATACATCCATACTACATATGTATTATAAATATATATGGGCAATATATCACATGAGTAGCAATGCGATATGGCTGTATATCGGCACTTGTGGGAGGTGAGCGTTAGTGTCCCACCAGTGCTGAAATACAGACACAGCGCACTGCTACAAGTGTGATATTGCGTTTATACAACAGTTTGGCAACATCAAACACGAATCAAACACGGAGAGTCTCAAAACCCTTTTGTATGAGGAACTACTTTCTTCAGCCATTCAATAACATCTGTAGCTGTCATCAAAACAGCAGAAAGCGTTGCTCATTCACTAACATCACTTTTTGGAGCAAGTATTTGAATGATTCTCTAGCGTAATGTCTAGGGATGATAAAACAGGTGATTTTGCTTAAATGTTAAGATTAATAGGTTGAACGGCATGAAATGCCATCAGTCTACAGAGATTTCTTAGTATTTCTCTGTTGCAATTGGGAGATCACAATATTACTATTACTAAATACAGCACTACAACATAAAGAGAGAGATCGACTTAGAGTAATTACCTGTTTCATAATAGTTTGATCAGCTGTAGTTTGACATTAAGCTGTTTTTCTCTTAAGGTCTAATATGCGGTCTCTGTGGCCATCTTGTGGATGATTATCGTCAACCGTCCTTGCTCAAAGACACGCTAATGGTCGCCCATGCGCTGTCTCTCTGAAATTATAAATATTTAAAATAGACACTATCCTTTCAGATATAGATATACTGCATAGTTGCAATCTAAACACTTACATTCTCGCCTAAAAACCCTCAAAAGTACATTATGTTGTCCAACAGCAGCAACATTTGTCAAACTCTAGAGCAGTGGTTCTCAAAGTGGGGGTTGGGACCCCCCGAGGGGTCGCGGGGCAATGAAGGGGGGTCGCCTGGTTATTTCCAAAAATCTATTTATTTTTATTAAACCATAAGAATTAACATATTTTATCCATAACTATACTGTAAATAAAAATAGTCGTTTATAGTTACTATATACTATATAGTTACTATAGTAGCTTATAGTTACTAGTTCTATTGGATTGCGACCCCTGGGGTAATTACATTATATTAAAGGCAGCAATAGCGTCAGATGCATTTTGATTTTATAACATCAGGTTATACTTTCTGGCACATTTAAAGCACTGACACAAATTTAATTGGTGTGTCTGCGTCATTGCATGCAAGGTTTCTGTATTTATAACCACCTCAGAGGATATTGGGGGTCGCGAGTCACTGGCATTGTTATTTTGGGGGTCGCGGGCTGAAAAGATTGGGAACCCCTGCTCTAGAGTGTCCTCTAGTTGTTGCTGTATGTGGGCGGAGTAATACACAAGGGTGAAGAGTTAAGAAGCTGGACGAGTGCTGTTATTTGCAGAATATCTCACGGCTATCAGCCAATCAGATTCAAGAACCAGACAGAGCCGTTGTATAAATATATATTAAGAAGTTATGCAAAAAGTTGCCATGTGATTGGCTGATTAGATATATTTGTGTTATTTCAGTTGTATTAACGAAAACCTGATGTCTGCCTGGGTGTTCTGTGACATTGAAAAGTACAAGAAATTTTCATCAAAAAGGTTGATTAATCAGACTCTGTGTTGTTCTGTGGTACACAGGTATAGGCTGCCCGGTGCCGAGGATCCCGGCGGAGGCCAGTCCTCTGGCCGATCACGTGTCTGCCACACGGATCCTGTGCGGAGCCCTGGTGTTCCCCACCATCGCCACCATCGTGGGCAAACTGATGTTCAGCAGCGTCAACTCAAACCTGCAGAGGACCATTCTGGTACCAGATTATAGAGCTGCTATGAAACTATATCTGTGATGCATGCACATGAAGCTCAAGCTATAAAAGCTAAAGAACGTAACGAACAGTTTTCATCTGTATATGTGGGTTTTTGGTTGCATTTTTCTTATTTATTTATTTAAAGGCCAGTAGTCTCTACTTTAATATTGACATTTATTAGAAGGCTACATGGTTCATAACTAATGTTGTCAAAAGTATCGACTTCAGTACTAATTGATACTATTTTAAAAACCAAGCGTAAATATGGATACACGCACATTAGAGAGTTCGAAAGTCGCGTCTATCAGCTGATCCTTCAGTGGTTTGCTCGTGTATCTGCTCATAGATGGATTCAGTGTCTGTGTGTCTGTGAACAGTGGTGAAGCGATGACATTGGTTGAGTGTTGATATTTTTAAGGTATCATATAGAAAGTTACAAATTCCATTATTGTGACAACACTATTCATGATATGTATCTGTCTGTTTGTCTTTCTCAGGGTGGCATCGCGTTTGTGGCTATCAAAGGGGCGTTTAAGGTTTATTTCAAGCAGCAGCAGTATCTCCGACAAGCTCACCGTAAGATCCTCAACTTCCCTGAACCGGAAGAAGCCTGAGCTCGCCATTAAAACCTTCATCCATCCACCATCATTTGTGATTTCACATGCAACACTAGCAGACATCTGGCTTTCTTCTTCCCTGTCAATGTGACCACTGCGATTGGAGTCTGGACCCAGGTTCAGCCTCGCTTCTGTTGATTAAAGCAGAGCAGGGAGTTGCTTGTTATTTGTTTTATGGGCTTTACGACTTTTTAAGAAAGAGACTGAGGAAAAATAAATAATCGAAAAAGGTTTTATATAAAGGAATGGTTGTTTTATATTAATTAAGAAACGTTCTGATGGATCGCTGTGTTTAAAGTAGCACTTTGGCTAAACATTTCTCTCCTCCTACATGCAATATTAAATGCGAAAGGCAAATTTAAAGGGATAGTTCACACAAAAATAGAAATATCCTAGCATTTACTCACACTCAAGCACAAAACTAGATATTTTGGAAATAATCTAGTTTTCCAATGATGGAAAAAAAGCAGCCATTGACATTCATAGTAGCAATAAAAAATATTATGGAGGTCAATAGCTACTTCGGTATATCTTCCTTCCTTGTGTTTAACAGAAGAAAGAAACTCTTAACAGGTTTTGAAAACGTGGAATATGAGTAAATGATGACTGACTTTTCATTTTTGGGTGAACTATCACTTTAAATATGTATTTGCTCATAATAAGCATTTAAAATACCCTTGTTATGTGGCTGTTTTTCTCCAGAATCAAATCATGTAATTATATCTTTTACATAATGTCTGGATGTGACGTGAGATTAAAATGATGAATTGAATTTAACACGTATTAATAGTACAAACTATTATGCTCAATCTAGATCTGAAATGTTTATTTGATCCTTAAAATTCTTTGTTTGTGATTAATTATAGAAACAACAAAAAAAGAAATTTAATAATCCTAATTTCTACGCTGATTTAGGGGTGTGATATAAGCTTGACAGTTTATTGAAGTCATCTGTCCTGCTGTCACTCAATTTAATCAATTGGCTTAGTTTGTTTTCTATCTTTATGGTGTTGACGTTTATGGAGGACGAAACCTGCAAAAATATTAAATAAATAAATGTGCCAATAAATAAAGGAATAAATAAATCCATAAATCCCTGTATAAATAAAACAATAAATAAAGTAATGAGTAAATAAATCCAAAAATCACTGCATAACTAAAGCAATAAATAAATAAATATGCAAATAAATAAATAAATAAATGAGTAAATAAAGCTAAAACCCCCTGCATTAATTTACGCAATAAATAAATAAATAAATAAGCAAATAAATGAGTAAATAAATCCATAAATCCCTGCATAAATAAAACAAAAATATGCAAATAAATTAATAAATAAATCCATAAATCCTTTTATAAATGAAACAATAAATAAATAAATGAGTTAAAAAACATAAATGACTGCAAAAATAAAACAATAAATAAATACCTAAGTAAATAAATCCAAAAATCCCTGCATAAATAAAACAAAAAATTAATAAATATGCAAATAAATGAGTAAATAAATCTAAAAATCCCTGCATGAATAAAACAATAAATAAATGAGTAAAAAAAAACATAAATTCCGGCAAAAATAAAACAATAAATAAATACATGCAAATAAATAAATGAGTAAATAAATCCATAAATCCCTGCATAAATAAAACAAAACATAAATAAATGTGTGAATAAATAAATGGGTAAAAAAAACACAAATCACTGCATAAATAAAAAAAACAATTAAATATGCAAATAAATGAGTAAAAAAACAAATCACTGCATAAATACAACAATAAATATATAAATATGCAAATAAATAGCTAAATAAATCCAAAAATTCCTGCATAAACAAAACAAAAAATAAATAATTATGCAAATATATAAATAAATGAGTAATTAGTATATTAATAATGCGGGCTAATACATAATACATTTAAAAATTAATCACCGTTTGAAAGGGGTAAAAAATCTACTTTTAATTTAGTATTATTCCCCAACATTCGTATAATTAATTTAATTATTTATCAGCCTGCACTATTAATTATTTATATATTTATTTATGCAGAAAAATTGTGGATTTTTATATATATATATATATATATATATATATATATATATATTTTTTTTTTTTTTCGTAGGTATTTATTGATCGTTTTATTTATGCAAGAATTTATGGACTTTTTCTGACCATTTATTTATTTATTTGTGTATTTATTTATTTATTTATGGTTTTTGCAGGTTTCATCCTCCATAGACGTCTGACTGTCAGGGAGTCTTTTTTACAATTCAGAAATCATAGGACGGTTTAGAGTTAAACAAATAAATATTTCACCCAAAAATGATAATAATGTCAACATTTACTCATCCTCTACTTTTTTACACATTATATTTCTTCTGTTGAACATAAAAGAAAGATATACTGAAGAATAAAAAGCAAGCACTGATTTCCACAGTATTTGTATATGAACTATGAGTATCAGTGGCAGCTTTTTCCAACATTCTTCAAAATATCTGGTTTTGTGTTCAACAGATGTAAGAATAATGGGAGTAAATAGTGAGGTATTTTTCATTTTCGCGTGAACTATCCCTTTAAGGACCATTCAGAAACTGAGCCACTCTATTAAAACCTACCAAAATTCATAATATGTTCCCAGTAATAAAAGTTCTCGGGTTAACTTAAAGAGTATTAGTGGCCTTTTTTATTACACAGTGACTATATTTGTGTCTTAAAGGTCACGTGGTTCAGATAGACAGCTGTTTTTTGTTGCTGAATATGCCAATTTTTGTTTTCTGAATCATTGTGTTGGATCTGATTCATGTAGCGTATCTGTTTTATTTCCAATTATCAGCAACTGAGATGTTTCTGACCATGATATGGATGAAAAAAAGGTGTACAGTGCATACCAGTACTGTTTTGCAATGGCACACTCAGTTTCCTCCGCTGTGAGGCAATATAGAGGCAAGTGTTTTATTTGAAAGAGCATATGTAATTAACTCAGCTTAACACTTAATTAGCTGTTGGATTACTGTGTGTTCATAGAGCTAAAGCGCATCATTAGAGCTTCTTCGTGGTAGACGTATCCCTGAAAGAACATGCTTGTTGGTGAACCTAGTTGTTAAAGGGATAGTTCACTCAAAAATGAACATTTTGCCTTCATTTACTCATATGCTAGCTATTTGAGGTTTCTTCTGTTGAACACAAAGGAAGATATAATGAATAATTCTGTGGGGGAAAAAAACTGCCATTGGCTTTCATAGTATTTTTTGTACTACTATGGGTACATTCTTCGAAATATCTTCTTTTGTATTCCACTGGAAATGTTCATTTTTAGGGAGGAACGGTCCTTTTAAAACAAATAGTGCTCGTCTATACCAACTGCAAGCCTGGCATTAGCATTGTTTTCGCTCTCTGTGTTGCCTAAATATGAGTTTAAAGTCTCACTTGTCTTTTCAGCAGCTAATTGTGCTGTATAAATCAGTGGGGTGTGTATGAAGTCTCCTGTTGTACAGATATGAAGCATAATGCCAAATACAGAACATGTATGTTGTATAAATGGATTGCGTTGTACAGATACGCTTCTGACTTTATAGGTCCCTGGTTGATTTGTGTAAATAAATGTATTTTTCCAGTGCTTGACTGTGTGTTTTGGGTTGTTTCAGTTTTTAAGAACGACAAAAGCAAACATGAAGATGGCAAATGCATGGCAATAATGTGATTGTGTAGTTATAAATTCTAATGCTGATGATACACAGGGCAACTTGGAGAAAAGATGCCATAAATGGGTAATAAATAAAAAGGGCAATGGGTTACAGATACAATAGTGTTGTCTATTCTCAATAGAAAAGTAACTAAGCAACATCTTTCTGCAAAGTTACTCTGCAACATTGCTCAAAAATTTAATTACTCACAGGTGGCACGGTGGCTCAGTGGTTAGCAATGATGCCTCATGGCAAGAAGGCCGATGGTTCAAGACCCAGCTGAGCCAGTTAGCGTTTCTGTGTGGAGTTTGCTGGTTTCCCTAAAAGACCAAAAACAGGCGCGATAGGTGAATTGAATTATTTAAATTGGCCGCAGTTTATGAGTGTGTATGGATGTTTCCCATTACTGGGTTGCAGCTGGAATGGCATCCACTGCGTTAAAACATATGCTGGGTAAGGCTGTGGTGACCAATAATGAATAAAGGGACTAAGCCAAGGAAAATGAATGAATGAATGAATTATTATTACAAGTACGAGTGTGCATGAATGCGAGAATGTATGGGTGTTTCCCAGTACTGGCTTTTAGCTGGAAGGGCATTTACTGCATAAAACATATGCTGGCATAGTTGGTGGTTCATTCTGCTGTGGTGACTCCTGATAAATAAGAGACTAAGCGGCCTTTATTCATCTTTGAACACACATTAAGATACTTTAGATCAGAGATGCCCATAGTCGGGCCTGTGGGCTAAAGTGTGCCCATGGTAAACTTTGATTTGACCCACCATTGCATTTGAAAAGAGAGGGAGGATGGTGAGGGTTGGAGCGAACACTTCTGACAGACATTGTCACTTTAAATTTAACATAATCTTTTGTTTCTTTGTTTTATCGCAGAGCTACCAAAAAACCCTAAAATACTGTCACTTGACAGATGCACATTAATAAAGCAGCATTTTTTTATGACACTGTATAACAATAAATTATATTTTTACAGTACTTTGAGGGTTGGAAGAAGGCGTTAAAAATACATTTTATTGGGTAATTTAATAGATAACATAACTAATACTCTGTACAACTACAGTTTTTACATTACTGTGACGGTTGGGTTTAGGGTTGGGGTGGAGGTTGACGTTAATAAAATACAACTAATGAGAAATTTAATAAATAATAGAAATAATTTGCGTTAACTTCCGGCCGCAAACGTATCCGCTCTAGCAACAACCAGATAGAGGACAATGCACAAGTCATCTGTGAGCAAATCAAGATGAAGGCAGGAGCTGCTCGTCTAGTTTACTCAGCACTGAGCTCCATTGTGTTAGAAATTGTTTGTGTTTTGACAGTAATACATATCAGGGTATATGCAGGAATCCTAAAGGTGATTTCAATATCTTTTTAAGACTTTTTTTAAAGACCTCAGAATATTTTAAGACCTCATCGCCACTTCAAGTTCTAATCAGTATCAAACCTTTAACTTAACAAACATTTGTTAATAAAATGTTGTAGTTAAATAAATCAATGGAGCACAATCATTCAACAGAACTCAGATGAGCTCAGAAGAAACAAAGCTTGAAAGAATAAATTATGCGGTTGTTTTTAGAGACAGGCTTCAGCCAATGTTTAAACTCGCCTTTCTGCAACCAGGAATACGCAAACTAGCGTTTTCCCATTTTGCCGTCGTTTTTTGCTTTATGAATTCGCTACATGTGGAGAGCATCACATGACCTTCCTGCGTTAGTCGCAAATTACGTAAAATCATCTGGACAGAGGAGCTTGGCCAGACGTGCCCCGGCCAGAACGCGTGGATCTGACCACAGTCAGATATTAGGAGGAAAATAAATATATTTATGCATTTTTTTTTTTTTTGGAGTCAGACACTTTGGACAACGCTTGTACAAAAATTAAAACCTTGTAAAAACGCAATTAAGACTTTTTAATACCTTTTAAGGGCCTTAACTTACTCATAATTGCTTTATCAACTTTTAATACTTTTTAAGACCCAGCGGACACCCTGAATTTGTTATAAATTGTTTGAAATGATACTGGGTTAATATGATTTAAAGCAACATTTTGTAGAATATATTTTTTTATACCAGATAAATTATTCATTCCCCTTTGCAAATTTATTTTTTGTATAGTCTGCCCACAGCCTTTCATCAAATTAGTTTTTTGGCCTTTTATAGGAAAAGGTTTGGGCACCCCTGCTTTAGATGATATCCCAGAGCTCTCTAATCCTCTATAGACGCAAACATCATGAGATGTTCAAAGTCCAGAAAAGGAACCAAAATCATCAGAACATTCCAGAGGACTTCAGTGGTTCAACTGTAATCATATAAAGCTGCAAGAATACTTTTGTGAGCCAAAACAAATGTAAATGTGACTGTTTGCCAATATCAAAATAACAATTCAAACTACAACTTAAAAATCACGTGAAGTTGCAGAGACTTGTTTTAGGTATGTTGATTGATGTTCGTCCATCTGAAAATGAATAGGAGGGGGCTTTCTTTTTGAGCATCAATAATCATAAGCGTTTTTGGGTTTTTTGTTGTTGTTTTCAATGGACTATATGCACAGTTAGTGTTTTTCAGCCAATGATTAACTTCTGGTGAAAGCTTAATGTGACTATTTTCAATTTCATGTTTCATTTACAGCAGTGATGTTGTAATGTATTCACAATACATTCTGTTAAATAGACTTAAGTATTTATTTAGTTGTTTAAGCGTTAAATGAGATGAAACACTGTGTAAGCTCTAGTGCCGTCAGGATCAGCAGGCGAGCGCAGAAACTCCATTGAAAATACTGAGGTAAAAAAAAGTCATATTTTGAAAATCACATGGCAAGAGATGATGACATTTGATGCAGTGCTTCTTGTCCAGATAGACATCTCAGTTTAAACGTCAGTGAATACAGTTATTTTCCCCATTTATTTTGGTTTTAGTACCAAATAAATATGAATGAATATCTCAGGCCTTCTGTAATCTCAATCATTCATCTGTGGAAAAGCGTCACTAAAACAGCTTGAAACAAAATAGGATTTCGACGACTGCAACTCAAAATGTTTATTTTATTTTTTTAACATTTAAATTTGCAATGTTAACCTATATATTCTTTGTATTTCCCTCATACTTTCACCGTATATAACTACCATAAAGAATTATGAAATTGTTTACTCACGTTTTTCCGTATGTATCCTGCACTGGCTCCATGATTCATGTAACGTCACCAGCAAATGTTTCTTTACAGCCTTCATTACACTGTAGCTCCTTTACGAAATGCTCTGCGGTTAAATACTTCAAAAATAAACAGCAGTAAAGTAGTATCCTCCGACACAATCCTGTAAACTGGGCAGTATTCTGAGCGACGGCAGTATTGAGAATCAAACTAACCGTTTAAGGAAGACACGTCAAAAACACGCGCTTCCCCGTTTGTGTAGTTGTCATAAAAAAGTAAATAAATGCTTTGTTTATAAGTTATTATACAAAAGGTCTCACCTTAAAGAAAATGTAACAGTATAATAGGGTAACGTTACATGCAGTATAACCTGGGCCAAAACTCTTCCGGTGAACAATATGCCGTTACAAAATTGGCGCGTTTAAGGCAAAGTCCCTTTAAATGTATTCTATATTAAGGCGTTTTCTTTAAAAACCAACGATATTCATTGCCTGACATATACGATATAAAGTGGGTCTCGGAATGTTCAAGCACTGCATTAAATTACATTTCCCCTGCCATGTTTTTAAACAACTATTTTACCTCTATGGAGTTTCTGCGCCAGCCTGTTGATCCTGACGGGCGCGTGCGTGAATACGGCTTCTCATTTTACGCTTGAACAACTAAATGAATGCTGCTGAAGACTATTCAACTGACATTTTAATTACATTACAACATTAATGCTGTAAAAGGAAAAAATAAAATTGAAAAAAAAGACACATTAACAGTTCACTGGAAGTTTATTGATACAAAGAAACACTGTGTTAGCTGTGCATTTTTAGCATTTAGCACCTATTTTTTCTTCAGAAAATGGCGGTCAGATTAACAAATGTTTGTATTTGCTGTGATTGGGAGAAAATAAAAATTTGTTGTGATTGGGAATGTTTTTTAATGTTTTCTAACCACTTAAGTAAAGTAGCTTCTGACTTAATTTTATTATTACCCAAAATAAATAAAATGTTTTGATTTTGATGTTGAGGTTCAAGAACTTTGAAGGAGAATATTAAAGGGATAGTTCACCCACTATCCGCTTTAGTGTGACGCAAAACAGCTTCAAGGTCCAAGCGTTCTATCAAATTGTGTGAGGAAACTCATTAAATGTAAATAATAAACATTTACAAAGCAATGTAATACTTTTGAAAATCACAATCGCAATATATATCCATGCCTAATATCCGATGGCCAGAATGACTAATTTTCAATAAATTAAAATTTTGGTATTTGTGATGCAGCAAGTCCAGAGACTGATGTACACCATGACACATTTTCTTATGGTTTACTCACCCTGAAGTGGTTACAAACCCTACAAGTTTCTTCTGCTGGACACAACAGATAATATTTTGAATACAGCTGAAAACATGTAGCCACTGACTTCTAGGATAAACAAATACAATGAAAGTCAATGGTTATATCTTGTGTTCAATAGAAGACAGAAACTAATGTTTGGAAGGAGAGTAAATGACAATTTTCGGTTTTTGGTGAACAGATAAGGAAAACGGGCAGAAAAAAAATCAACACCACCACCACAGACAAGTTGATTCAATTGTTTAATTATAATAAAACAAAGAAAGCTCTTCTGCAGATACACATTCCCCAGTGCTCTGTCGAACTTCAAAACCATTTAATAAACTGAATGCAACAGTCAGCAAGAGTAATCTCAACCAATAAAAGCCCAGACTTGGACCAGAATGCAACAATCTTTGACTCGTTCATGCAGAGTTACGCTCATTAAAGCCTGCTCTTCTAGATTAGATCTCTAAAAATTCTGTCTACTGTTGACCACAGTATGAGCAAACAACGTGACATCAGGTTAAAGGGGATGGTGAACAATCATAAGCATCTGTTTCAGTCACTGACCTACAGAAACTCGGAGCTGATTCTAGTTTAAAGGGATTCAGGGTGCAACAGATGCTCCGATTGCATGCGAAAATGCATCTTTGGATTAAAACAGAATCTAAAAGTTCATCCCACCCACCTGTTAAAATGTAAATAAATATAGCAAAGCAATTCCTTCACCCTTGAGCCATTCCAAACCTGTATTACCTTTATTTAATGAAACAAGACGTTTAGCAGAATGTCCAAGCTGCATTTTCCATACAATAAACACATTCATCGACCCAGAATTAATGATGAAGATATACTGTCATTACATTCATGTCCTTACAAACATAACAGAAGTTTTTTGTTTGTCGTTTTTAAACCAAACAGTGATTATTTGATGGTGTGGACCCCATATTTATTCCTCATGATGGTTTGGAAAAACTCAAGTGACAGCTTTCTTATTCAGATGGACTTTATCTTTTAAGCTTAAATACAGTAGCATAAAAGCACGTCCATACGACTTGATCAACTATATTCTAAATCTTCTGAAGCCATATGATATGACTGTACTGGACAGACAAATATTAATTACTTAAAATATACAACATGCTATAACATTTTAAAGAAGCTGTCACTTTTCAGCTTATATTTACTTTCAGTATAATTAAAATAATTTTTATAATTTTTATAATAATTTTTAATTATAATTTTAACCAATTTTTAATTTGGAGTTATTTAAGCAGCAAAACAGACATTGTAAATTATTTTTTGCATTACTTGTGACACTTCAGTTTAATTATAGGCCTTTTTTATGCCCTGCACAATTATTTTCCCAGCGTTTTTGCTACAAACTTGTTCATTTCACAACCATCAAAAGGCTTCAGAAGACTTAAACTATATTGCACAAGTTAATTTTACAGATTTAAAAATTTATCTGGTTTCCTGTTAACTTTTATGGCATGGAAAATAAAATAAAAAAGTCCTCCTTCAAAAGAAAGATGTCAGGATTCACCATGTGAAAGAAATAAAAACAACAACTTCATTTACACTTCTGAATGAACTACTTCTATGAATTAAAAACCAAACACCTATGCAGTGAGATGCCTGAGTATATCCATCTTACAGGAACAACCAAACCCAGATCAAAGTGGCTGATTTGCTGAGAACGATTATTTTGACATGGAGACTGGTCAGGTTTCTAAAAAAAAATGCAGCATTACAGTCGATTTGAAACGCCTGAGTAAGTCCAGAATAAATCTCAGCAGTAGAAAGACAAGTAATGAAGAATACTTGGTCAACGCTAACACACACACACCTGAGATGAGGACACGCGCACAAGTTACAAACTAACATGATGTTCCTGCGACGCTGCAGGATAAATTACAGCCTTCAGACAGGGTTTTCTGAGCACAGACCAACTTCCAACTTATTTCTCGAAACTAAGCTCAAACCGTGTCAAAAACAACAGCTGGTAGAGTTTAAGACACTAGTCTTAGGTCCGATAAGTCATGTTATTGCTTGTGAAGAGTGCATAATCACAAGACATCAGAGATCAAATAAACCCAGCTAAAGGAGAGCTCTATAACATCTCATATATTATGTGGATCAAAGCAAGCATCTCAGAAATTACAATCAGCATCATTCGTGCGACACAAGATGCCTTTGTTTAATTCAAATGAATTTAATGGTGTGAATTTCTGAACTAACACTCCACTTTTTTGTACACTTCTTGTACAACTCCCTTAGAGTTAAACAGTTGGGTTTTGCCATTTTCAGGCCTGGCAGGAGCACTTTTAGCTTAGCTTAGGATAGATCATTGAATCGGACTAGACCATTAGCATCTTGCTTTAAAATGACAAAATAAGTTTCAAACATTTTCCAATTTCAAGCATGATTAGCATGAGTTACATCATGTATCAAGATCAACGGGAAACTAAAAGTTGATATTTTCTAGGCAAGGGGTGCCCAAACTCCTAGAGGGCCCATGTCCTGCAAAGCTTAATTCCAAAAGCAATCAAACACACCCTAGCTAATCAAGCTTATACTAGGCTTTCTAGAAACATTCGCACAGGTGTGTTGAGGCAATTTAGAGAGTTTAAATCTGCAGGACACCAGCCCTCCAGGAATGAGTTTAGGCACCACTGTTGTAGACCAATAGGCACAGTGCCAACTTTCATTATGACATAATAATCAAGGAACTTAAATTGGAGCATAATTCCAAGTCATATCAGCCTAGAAAACAGCAGCTTTTCATTTTCAGTCAGTCTTGGTACACAATGTAACTACAGATAAGTCAAGATCTAAATAAGAAAAATCCATTTGGTCATTTTTTAAGCAAGATGCTAATGGTCTAATCCGATTCAATGATCTATGCTAAGCGAAGTGTTCCCGCCAGACCTAGAGATCGGCTGAACTGATCAAAAAATGGTAAAGCTCATCTCTTTAACTGTAAAATGAGTATTTCCAAAAAAACAGTGGAGTGTCCCATCTGTAATCCATGGCCGGAGCACTTTTAGTTTAGCTTAGCATAAATCATTGAATTTGATTAGACCATTAGCATCTTGCTTTGGAATGATCAAATGAGCTTATAATATTTTTCAATTTTAAGCGTGACAAAAACTGAAAAGTTGATTTAATTCTAAATCTAGCTAGGCTTAGCGCACGAAAGTCCACCAACTTTAATCAAAGTTCCTTCCTTATGTCATGAGGAGTATAATTCTGAGCCATATCAGCCTAGAAAACAGCAACTTTTCATTTTCAGTCAAAGCACACAATGTAACAACAGATGGGTCAAGATCTAAATAACATTCCTTTTGTTGATTTTTGAGCAATATGCTAATGGTCTAATCCAATTCAACGATTTATGCTAAGCTAAAAGTGTTCCCGTCAGACTTGGAGATTGGCTGAATGGATTAAACAGTTGAGTTAACACTTTTAAACACTAGGGAGATGAAAAAATTATTTCCAAAAAAATAAATTAAGTTTAAACTTTTTATTAAGAAAAAACAAACAACATTCTTAAGGTTTTCACAAACTATTATGAAACCGAGTTTAGCTTAAAAAACAGGTTTGGTGTATATTATGAAATTTTTAAAAGGACAAAAGTAACTGAAAAGAAAATTATATTAAAAATGGTTTATTATATTTTTTCAAACTCAAATAAAACAAAAAGTCCATCAAGTTGTGACCACCTTGCATTTACAATCACCATCCTTAAAGATAAAACTCTGCCAACATGCACAGAACCTAAAAACAACTCAAAAGCAAATGACTTAAATTAAACGTTTTAAAAAAGGTGCCAGAAAAACCTGATCGCTGATTAAAATCATTTTAAGGCCAGTTTCGTTTCCTTTTCAGGAGAGACTTCTCTGAACAAGCCTCTCCAGGCAGTTTCTTGTGTTTTTTCCTAAACAGTGGTGTAGATTAATGAAACAGCATTTGGACATGAACTGTTGTCGTGGCCAGCAAGTGATTCCTAAAGTACACAGATATACAAATTTCCTGACAGAAGCAACATGAACCAACCATTGCATGTTTTCTTTGTATCTATGAGATAATCAGGTGAGCATGTCTGACGCAGAGCACAACGGAAAGGGTTACAGGCAGCAGCGCTGTGGCCATACCTGCTTACACACACGCACGCACGCACACAGGCACACATACACACAGAGAGAAACACTCTCACACACAGACTATGGTGTTACTGGCTCCATATTGGGGCGTCTCTGACAATCCCATGATGCTGGTCACAGTTTGGCAGCCATGAAGTTGATGTGAGGTTTGGTGAGGGGAAACAGCGGCAGACTCCTCTTGAACTCAGTCATATCCTGAACCAATGATGGCTGAAAACACACAAACACAAGCGAAATACATTAAATAAGAAACTACCAGCAGTGCTTTAGAATGCAAAACTAGCCTTGAGATAAACTACTATGTGTGTTGTAAATCCCAATTATATTTTAACCCCTTCCCCTTGGCCCTTGAAACAGAGTGTGAAGGGTAAGGGCTTCAAAATTTACCCCTAAGAAACTGGACACCACTACAACACCTGCACACATCATCATATGTCGTCACAAGCTTAGTTCATATGAGATTGATGATTACAGGTGCATTCTTTTTTTTGTTTTATTATTGTTTATTAGTTTTATTCATCTTCAGGAAGTCACAAAGGCAATGATATCATAGTGATATAATGTGGCCATAAGCTCGTAACTGTACTGTGTGTTTACACTGTGGCCATATTCATCTAGGTAAACACAAGAAATCAACATTAACTTTGTAGCCTACCAAACACTGTAAAAAGGTCATTTCCAGCGGCTAGACTTTTCTGACAGGGTATTCGAGTGACAGATGTGAAAGTATGTTACGGGACTACTCGGTGCTTCCCACAGGTTTAAAATATACTTGTGGTGGTAGCCGGATTGAAACACACCATTTACCCACATCATATATAGTTACCATATGCGACAAACAAAACTGTTTAATTTAACAATTTTATTTGTTATGACACTTATCCACGGTTTCATTTTAATGGGTTAAAGTTAAAAAAAAAGACTGCTGAAATAAAAAGGAAATCCACTATTTCTTATACTTTTATGCTATTCAGGAGCCATGTGCACCTACTGACAGGTCAAATCTGCTTCTCACACAAGTTCAAAGCAAATTTGACTGCCAAAGCTTTTTAGATATGTATATAAAATAGTCTATGTAATATATTAACATCAAACTAATCAAATAATCAGCAAATGAGAAATAAATGACTTAAGGAATAAAAACACTATTGTAATTACAAGATTAAAATGTGTATACTAAAGGCTGATTAACTATTACTAATGGTCTACATATATTTTGCAGCCAGTTTAGACCAATGGTTTTTTCCTCTTCGAGTATGTAGTAAAGTTTTTCTGTGTCGTTTAGATTAAAAAAATAATTTTTTAATGTTTCTCTTGTGACTGTGCACGTGCTGTCAGTTGCAAAGGCAAACAAAAGTAGGCTTAAGAACGACAGCTTTAGAAAGCAAAAGCTGAATCCCGGACATTTTAGGTTTAGAAACCTGGGCCAGACAATTTTTTTAATTGCTAAAAGGGCACGTCTCTGTAGGTCTGCAGAGCATGTGATACTGTCTGTGAAAGTGTTGACAGGTCTCGCACACAGAACGAAACGGGTAAACAAGAAGATTTTACACTACTTTATTGCTGATGTGTTGATGTATTAGGTGGATATAAAATAGCGTAAAAGGATGATAATAATAGTAGGCTAAATAAAAACTTGTCACTAAATATACTTGGGCAGCCGTTAACATACCTGGGCAGCCCGCTCATGTAGAGTCTATGTGTGGGAAGCACTGCTACTATATATGTGGAGTTATTATTATAGATTATAGATAGTGAAATTTAGTGGGTTTAAAAAAAAAAATAATAATAATAAAAAAAAAGCATGACCATTAAAAAATGAATGCAGTTACGAATGCATTAAAACCTATGCTTGTTTGTTGTTAAAATTCTTAATACCCAAAATACTAATTTGTGCATCTCCAGACTAGTGTATGCAGCCATGTTTTAGATTGTGCATCCAGAGTAATTTTTGTATCCCTTGGTTTCGTGTGGCCCTGGAAAATTTCTATTTAAAGTACTATCCTCTTAGCCCTACGTCCTTAGCCTAAAGAAAATTGGTGGTTAAGGGGAAAGGCTAAGGGGTAGAATTAGAATTGAGCCAAAGTCTCCAAAAAGGCATTTAGTTGAAGGAAAATAGAGTAAAATACATCAAATGTGTTAAAACTTTAACATAACAGTCCATTGGTTATTGTATTTATAAACATTAACAAAGATGGATACTGCAATTAATGTATTGTTCATGGTTTATGCAAGTTAATAATAAAGTATTTTATTCTTTATGATGTTAACAAGCACAACTTTGGATAATAAAAAAATGAATCAGTAAAATTTGAACTATAATTTATAAATGCTGTACAAGATTGTACATAGTTCAATGTTAGTACATAGGTTAACCAACATTAACTAATAGACTAATATTTTTTTTCTTTAGTGTTACTTAAAACGTTTTATAAAATAACTTTATTTTATTATTAATAATATTATTTTATTGGAATTCATGATTTTCAGGATGTTCATGTTTATAAGTTTAAAGGAAATTTTATTATCTTACAAATGATTTGGCATTTTTGATCCATTTATAGATTAAATTATTATTACCTTCTTGCCAATTGTTTTTACAAACTCTACTAGTGTACAATCATATGTTTACACTTCTCTAAATGAATAAGCAATTGCAAAAGTGCATATTGCATAAACCCTTACTGACATACCACTACTTTACATGCACATCTATACAATACCTGAGGAAGTGATGGAGCAGGAGCCAGATTGACATCATTTTGAGCAGGAAACTCTCCGACCAGTGGACCTGTCCAAAACAAATGGTGTAAATAAGTGAATCTGCCATTGCATCAATCCGTTTTTCCCAAAAATAACATCAGTACTCACAAGAGTCCATCTCTCTAGACAGCACATGCACAGACACTTTATGTCTTCTGGGGGCATCAATGGCCAACAAGTCCTAGAGAGAATAAACATGATGATCAAAACATATCTTTGGAAGACCTCAAAGTAAATTGCTCTTTACATGGGGAGTATTTACTGAAAAAGTCCATTTAACTAAAGTACTCATACATCAATAGACACAAAAGACTATATAAATATGCATGTATAAGATCATCATGTACATTTTTTATATTTAATGGATTAAAAGTCAATTTACCTAAAGCACTCAACAAGCACAAATGTAATAATAACAAAATATAAATACAAAACCGCACATATTAATTTTTGCTATTATTAAGATTATCATGTACATTTTTATATTTACTGGTTATAAAGAGCACAATGGGCAATAAAGTCGGTATCAGTATTTATTGACCAAATACCACAGTCAATAACGATAAAAAAAAAAAAAAACGTTCAATATGAAGTTTAGGTGAGAAGGTTATCAGGGTTCATACACATTTTTACTACTAAAATTCAATGCCTTTTCCATGACTTAATTTTCCATGACTTAAGACTTAAATTTTCATGACCTAATGTTTCATGCAATGTTTATGTATACGTGGTAAAAAACAAGACAAACAATGCATGTTCAAAGTTAGTACAGCATATAAAACATGCAACAATCTATGTAGTTTAAATTAATCTTTATATATATACACGTACATTTGATTTTAATAATGCTCATGCAGCACTAATAATGTAAGTACATGATTTTGGCCATGGACAGAAAAAAGTAAACAAAACTAACCAATATTAGTACAACCCAAAAGCGCTATATAAAATGTAAGGAATTATTATTATTATTATTTTTATTTAAGTGTATAGATATCTGTTAAAATTTCCATGACTTTTCCAAAACTTTGTGTGTTTTTCTGTTTTTCCAAAACTTTTCCAGGCTTTCCAGACTTTTTCATGACCGTATGAACCCTGGGTTATAGTTTTATTAAAATGTGGTGGCTGAGTGCGCGCCTTGGAAGCAATGCCAATAAGCTTAGGGTGTAAGTTTGTCATTTCTAATGGAGGGAGCGGCGTGGTCATGGTGTGCAAGCGGTGCACACGTTATGCACACACATTTTCTAGGTGCACCTAGATGAAAAAAATCTGAACTTTTCCGAATGCCCCAAGCGCATGGCGATTCATGCAAGTAGAACTAACCGATCTGCTTCACTCTTTGTATAGAATATGCACATTTCAGTAATAATGGCAAACTAATTACCTCAGACAAACAAAGCGCACCCAAACACTGCAGTGCTTTTTACTTTTCTCCATAAACTTGTATCGGAGCAATGCCTTGTCTGTTTGTCATCCTCTGAGAAAACAGTTAACAGTAACCTAGTTACAGAAAGACGCCAGGGGAGCATGAGTGCAAGGCGCATTGAAAATGGTGAAGAAATTGTGCTTTCACGTGTAAGTTTTGGGTTACGTCATTGTCACTTCAGGTCAGAATAACGCGTTATAAGTAGTTGTTGTAGTGTGTGTGTGTGGTTTTTCTTTTTCTTGCTCTTTCGCTATCTCTCTCTCGCTCTCCATCTCTGTCTGATTTATTCGCAGGTGCAGCGGATTACAGCGAATCGTGCTTGGCAATTGGATTGGCGGTGGCCGCATTTAAAACCCCAGAGAACATGGATTAAGTGGCTCCACGCTCTTATTTTTCAGGGAAGTTTGCTCTAATTTAGTTAGTTGGGTTTATTGTCATTTATTTTGGTTTAACCCCTCCAGATGCCATTTTGCTCATTTTCTTTGAATAAATCATATTTTCCTGTGAATTTCAGTGATTTGGTTTATATTTTAGGGAAAAAAGTGCAGGGGCATCAGGGATTATGTTTTTAATCCCTGTCATCTTGTTTTGGTTAAACTTCTTTTTGATTAAGGATTTTTAATTTACTTCATAACACATCCAAAAACAAGTGCGGTTGAACTAGCAGCAGTGAGGGAGATTGTAAATAAAAAAGGATGTAAGAATTTCACCATAGTGGCTTTTTGGTTTCTTTTCTTGTGCATCCAAGCCACTAGCACCTTATTTGAAAGATTGTTTAGCATAGGGGTGATGTATTCATCCAACTTCACTATTTGTAATGTTGCAAAATGTATATGAATAATGATGGTTGGTTCCTTTACTTGAAAGCTCAGATTGGATTACCATAATTTGTATTGTTTACAGAGTATAAGGTGTGAATAATAAAGATACAGTAAACCTCAAAGTTTGCTTTGACTGTTCAGCATGTACACTTTACCATTGAACACACTTTATAACATTTTATCAATTAAGTTTAAGTCTTTAACACTGAAATTTATTTGATTCTAAAAAAAAGATCAGATATTTTATTTAAATATTTTTGACTGTTAAAACTATTTGCCTTAATAATGTTGGTTAAATTAATATGGGTTAATAAAAGAAAATCTTAATATTTCTAAATGGATTGTTAAAAATATTAAATAATTATTGATACTGAATGATATGAAACATCCTGATTTTTTTTGCAGTATCGCCCAGCCCTAATGCACTAACACACAAACATGCATATTTATTCAATACAAATATTCAGCAACGAAAAATACATTTCTAAATTAAATTATCGGATTTATTTTTAAGTTAAATGCACAATAAATGTAAACCTTCTTCATACTCGACAATGTTAAAGCATATATCTTACAGCAATGGTCTCCATTTAACTATTTACATACATAGTTAAGATCGGTGCTTTTTTTTTGCATATATTTGCATAATGAGTTGTGATTGGGCTATTTATCACATTTCTGAATCTTCACTATGCAAAGAAGACTGTGCAGGCTCTTAGTTCACAATAAAACTGGTATCATGTCTCAAAACCTACATAGAAACTTATATGCTCGCAAGCATAGTTTTTGTAATTTACTAGTTATGATTACGACTCAAATATTTCTGATCATCACTAACCCTGTAAAACTGCATAATGTGTTCCTTTGTCAGTGTCTTCAGGTAAGCCACTTCAATATTATCTAGAGATCACACAAAAAAATGGTTAAAACTCAACATATAACTGACTCTAATGTAAGCTTATTTCAATATCTGACTCACCCCTGTCGAAGTTGTACTGTTGTGAGATGATCTCTCCCCAGTACTTTGCACACTCGGCCGCCAGCTTCTTGGGTTTGTCAAGACGGCGAATGGCCAGTGCCTGGATGTGTTTCTGAAAGGCCTCGTCTCCCATCTCCTCCACGCTCTTCTCCATGGTCTTCAGGAAAGCCTCTACACGAGACTCCAGGTAGTGGGGAGCTTTTTCAGACTGGATGATGAAGCGCAGACCCTGCACCCCATTGGCCCTGCGAGGCCCACTGAACACAATATAACCTGGATGGACAGACACATACAGCGGGGGGAAAAAGTAATAGACACGTCAGTTTTTTTCCTGGGAATAACATTTCTAAAGGAGCTGTTGACATAGAATTGAACCAGATTTAGGTAAAAACCCAAACAAACACAAACAAAAATAAAACCAAATTTAACAAATTCTGAAAAATGAATTGTGTAATAAAAATATAATGGCACAGGGAGAAAGTACTGAACAATGCAAGCATATTTATTTATATAAAACGTTTTTTTGGTAAAGGCAGCTTAAAGACACCTCTCACATGGAGAACGAAGTCATATGAATTGCTCAGGTGCGACTTTTTCACAGACTCCAACATGGAGTAAAAATCTTGATGGTTCTGTGGGTCTCGTCTATCCAAACTGATCTCTAACTTGTATTTTATTTTGGATTTAGATCAGGGAATTGGCTGGGCCATTCTACAGCTTAATTTTCTTTCTTTTTGAAAGCATTTGAGAATTTCCTTGGCTGTGTTTTGGATCATTGTCTTGCTGAAATGTCCACCCTGGTTTCATATTCATCATCCTACTAATGTAGATGTTAGGCTGAAGCAGCTAATATTTATCAATGAGGAAGGGCAGAGAGTTGTTGAAGAACTACTGAGAGATTTCAGCTGCCGTCTGTGCTTTCACTGCCTTTCTACACCTCCCTTTCTTCATGCATTCAATACTTTGTTGACTGCGTCATTTCATTTTATTATGCATAACATTATTTGTAAACAAATTAGTTTTGATTTCTTTGCATGTATGGATTTTTTTTTGTTCTTACCAACATTATGGGAAAATTTCAAGTCAAAGGCACCTTTGGAAATGTTTTCTGAGAAAAATGGTGTTATTGTTCAACAGTGGTTTGTTCTGTAGACAATCGGAAAAAGAAATAGCTAAAAGGGGCTAATAATTTTGTCCCTAAATGGGGTTTAAAAAATAAAAAACTGCTTTTATTCTAGAAGAAATAAACAAATAAGACTTTCTCCAGAAGAAAAGAAGAAAAACATATTATCAGACATGCTGTTAACATTTCCTTGGCCTGTTTATGATTTGGTAAATATTTAAAAAAGCTAAAAGAATTCAAAGGGGGGCTAATAATTCAGACTTAAACTGTATATAGTGACCATAGATATAGTAATCAGAGTAAATACTCTTCAGGGCAAATGTTTGATTTAAAAAAAATAAAAAAATAAAAAAGTAGAATAATTAGAATTAGATATTTAAAATTATTAGAGTTAAGAAATTAAAACATCATAAGAATATTTAGAATAAAACAAAATTTTCAAAAACTAAATTACAGGCCTAACATAAAAGATTTTGCTAAATGAAATCTAAACGCTTATTTCAAGATAGCAACTCTCACAATGCTGTTAGTTTCTGTCTGCATCCCCATAATACAGTGTAATATTAAATCTATTTTGACACTACAAAATAAACAATAATAGAGCATAACATGAAACTATAGAGTTTTTGGTCAGATAGACAGAGTTATATTGCACAGACAGCCCCAATTTACCATTCCAATCATATTTTTACATGCAAATTTATATTCTACCACATGTGCTAAGATGTTGAAACAAAATAAGCATGCTTTTGTGAAAAGCAGGAACACTAGAGATTAGACTGTGTGTGGCTGTTTTTGCTTCCACATGTGCAGGTGTGTGTTCATGTAAATCGATAGAAGAAAATCTGCATTTGCATGCATATTAACTGGATTACACACATTGTTTGAGAAACACTTTGCCAGCTGAGATGTCATCTTTAAAGAATGGTATCTTTGAAAATAACTGTTTATTAGTAAATATAAAGATATAATAAAAATTAATAACTCATAAATGCATTTATACATTGCATACCGTAATGTTAAATTTATATTTTGTCCTTAAAATAAACAGTAATGATTTGTTTTTTTTCTCCACTGGTCCAATTATATTACTGACAAACAAAAACCATATAGTTTTAGCGAACACACACACACACAAATGAAACATTGGCTCATGACAGTTTTGATTTACCCAGCTGTTCTTTGGTGCGTAGCGTGTTGAAGCATGGCTCAGAGATGATCTGACAGAAGAGCTCCAGCAGCATGTTCTCATGGGTGTTCTGCATGTCAGTCTGATAGTAAATCTCGATCCCACAGTTATTATGAACCTCGTTCCTCTGCTGGTATACATACCAACCACCTGATAACCACAGAGAACTGGACTTAAAACACAAGAACCATGACAAACACACAACAATCACCCAAAATTACACAACAGTGATTTAGGTTTAACACCAGTCTCATTTTCCTCAAGTTCCTCAATTTAATAAAAATGTCTTGTGAAATGTCCAAAAGGAGCTTACATAGTGTTAAATGCCTTCCCATAAAAATATAAACAAATAAAATAAAAATCTAAAATTCTTAAATAAAATAGCATTTGTGTTTTGATCAAATAAATGCAGCCCTGGTGAGCAGACCCTTTTCCAAAAATCTTACCAATCTCACACATAAGAAACTTAAGTTGAAAAATGAAAAACTGCATAAACATTTATGGTGTCAGGCACTTACCATCAGGAACCTGCACCTCTCTGTAGCGAATCAGCTGACTCGGTAGAAGGGGTTTAGTGTGAGCATGCTCAATGAGAGTGTCTTCCAGCATTTGCATCATTTCCAGAGCTGACTAAAAGACAAGACGGTCAGTGAGATGAGAAAATAAAATTGAACATTACACGTCAGGTTAATAAGTGTGCTGCACTGGATTTAAATTGAGTTACTCACTTCTATGTCAGTGGTAAGGCTATTCCATTTTATTCCTTACGGTTCCATTCAACTCTATTTGGTTCCACTCCACTCTACTCTTCTTCATTCCACTCCACTCCACTTCACTTTACTCCACTTTACTCCACTCCATTCCATTCCACTTTACTCCACTCCACTCTATTCCACTCCACTCCACTCGACTCCACCGCATTTCGCTCTACTCCACTGTACTCTACTTCATCACTCCATTCCATTCCACTTTACTCCACTCCAATCCACTGCATTTCTCTACAATCATTCCACTCTACCTCACTCCATTCCAAATTACTCCACTAAACTCTACACCACTCCATTCCACTTTACTGATCTCCATTCTACTCCATTCCATTCCACTCCACTCTTGTCCACTCCACTCTACTTCAGCCACTCCATTCCACTCTACCTCACTCCATTCCATTACACTCCACTCCATGTGTCAAATTCCCTGGCAATAAAGCAGAATTTCCAAAGGCTATAATAAAAACAAACACAATGCACCTTTGTGCTTTGCATAATATTAAGATTGTTCGAGGTAAAATATTTTTCATGAATCGTATATTATATAATATGGTATATTAAAATAGCATGACATTTATAATTATGAGTGTTTAAAAATAAACAAGAGTACAAAGTCAAATATCCAGTCCTTGAAGTTGTCATTTTGTAGCCAAAGTTCTTGAAATTCTGACATGGTTGAATGACAACAGGAAAAATGTAAAAACACATTGATGCAGTATGGAACAACTCGGATTATAAAAATTAAGATTTACAAAATACAAGTTATTCAACACAAGCTAAAATCTAAAGTGCCCAAAAGTCCCTGACATTTCATAAGGGAATGGACCAAAAGGAAATTATAATTCAGAGTTTTAGAACAGACTTTAAAATTCCATGACCATGGCAATCCTGTTTATCCATTCACCTCAAAACACATGCCAAGATCAAGGCAATTTTAAATGGCAATTTCAAAATAAACCAAGAAATTAGAAAAAGGTAAGCAATTACCAATATGTTTCTGACATTTTAAAATAAGTTAAATGAATCTTTGAAAAAAAAAAGTTGTCCATCTATATTCACTGTTAGAATCTTCCATTACATTTTTATATGCAACCTTAAACTTTCAAAAACATTTTAAAACTTACTAAGGCCAAAACTGATCATTAGCGCATTTCACCCTAAGCTCTGTTAAATAAGACATTGACTGCGGTATAAATATGTTCCATATTACTGGTTGTGAAAAGTATACAAGTAAAAGTTTATTTATATAGGACCTTTCACAGATATTAAGTCACAAAGTGCTTTACAGTAAAAGAAAACATACAGGGGTATTCATACCCCTTCATACCCCTTAAACTTTTCCACGTTCTCACATTTCCCACAAAATTTCTTAAGAACACTTTCTTCCACGTTTGCTTGGTCACTCGCATGGCTTCTGGCACACTGCAAACAGGACTTTTTGAGGATTGCTTTTAACAATGGCTCTCTTCTTGCCACTCTTTTATAAAAGTCCAGATTTGAGGACTTTAGTTTGTGGATAGCTGTCTTATGGATGGATTCCCCCACCTGAGCTGTAGATCTCTGCAGTTCATCCATGGGCCTCTTGACTGCATCGCTGATGGATGCTCTCCTTGATCAGCCTCTTAGTTCAGGAGGACAACTAGGTCTCGATAGGTTTGCAGTTGTGCCATACACTTTCTCTTTGCAGATGATGGACTGAACAGTGGCCTGTGAGATGTTCAAAGCTTGGGAAATCTTTTAATAGCCTAACCCTGCTTTAAATTTCTCCACAACTTTATCCCTGAGCTGTCTGGTGTGTTCCTTGGACTTCATGATGCTGTTTGCTCCCCAATATTCTCTTAACAAACCACAGAGGCCGTCATAGAACAGCTGTATTTGTACAGAATTAATTACACATAGGTGGACTCTTACATACGGATGCACCGATCCCAAAACTTGAATCGGATATCGGTTCGATTCTGCATATTTTTGCTGGATTGGGTATCAGCCAGCTGGTACCGATCCAAATCCGATCTTGCACGTGCGCTATATTTGGTGTAATTTATAAGGCAACAAAAGCCATGAAAGTAGCCTATTAAAAGGCACTAGAAAGTTGTCATGTAGGCCTACATGAGAAATGTTTTAAAGCCAGTTTATAGTTTAATGAGAAGCACAGATGAATATTCAAGTGGTTAAACTCATGTTAAGTTCAGCACTTCCCGCCGCTGCGCCTTTCAATCATTCTCCATTCATTTACAATTCAGACTGCGTGTCACGTTTATGCCAACATGAAAAACTCGCCCCAAGACTATTTGTTCCTGTTAATATAAGTAATTGGTGGAGAAATGGATTTAGTTTTGCATTAAATAGGTTCATTTTGACCTGCAACATGAAAATCACTGCCGTTTTTAAATCATGCTGCGCCGAGTCTGTTAGACCTGCAGGTCGCAATCACAACACTGCATGTGAAAAGCAGGTAACAACCCTCTCTACTCCAAAGTAGGCCAACCTGAAACTTTAAATGAGAAAAGGCTGAATAATACATTGGACAGATCCTCAACGCACTGATTTCTCCTCTTTGTGCTGCTGTTTTGGAAGCGTCCTTATACTGGAAGGCTGTGCGCTGTGTCAGTGTTGCCAGCGATTCATTCAGGCAACGGCTGCGCAAATGTGACATGCGAGCTCCGTAAGATTATTTTTACAATAAGTTTCTGTTCTCTCATCCTTCCGACTGAATTTATTCTTCTCAGGGGAATACTGTAAGTGGTGAGCATAATTTGTAAAGCCTGGATCATTGTGGTCAAAGTAGTTAATTAAATTAATAAGTGTCATTACCAGGAAATTATTTAGCCTAATATAGGCTACTCTTAAACTGTGAATATTTCACTGTCATTTTATATATTAATATTTTATTTAACATACCTGTTTGGCAGTTTGTGCACTGAGGCATAGCCCTATAAGTGGACCTTGTTTTGAACTTCACCTCAAATAATCTTGTTTATTTTGTGAATAACTTACCAACAAAAATACAATAAAATATCCAACAAATTATATCAAACAAAATTAGTTTAAAAAAAGATAATTTGTCAGACAAAAAAAAAATTGTTCAGACATGCTTTCAGTTCTCCATCTCACTCGCTGCAAGTTTAGGCGAAGGAAGGTTTAAGTAAAACTCGCCTCAGACGGTTTAGTTTAGTCTGCTTTAAAGCTGCAGGAAAATATCAGGCTTTGCTAAAAGGCTGTGTTACGTGGGTCTTTGTTATTTAATTAATCTATGTATTTATTGCCGGTTTGTGCTTGTGCGATCGAGTTCTAGGAGGAGTGTTTCTACCCGGCTTATCTAGGATTGGATGATGCCCGTGACGTCACTGGGGATTCCCACTATATAACGCTGACAGCAATAGCGTCTCTGTCTCTCATTCTATCTTGAAGTCTCTCGCCCTCCCTCAGCTCGGTGGTGGCTTGCGCTCAGGCGGTCTGGCTGGCGGTGCTCCGCAAGTCGATCATTCATCCAGATGCCGGTCCATTTAGTGTTTTGTTCATGTAAATCTTTTGATTCTTAGTTCGTAATGTGTTAACTAGTTTGTTTATTTTGATACTTTGTTTTGTAGCAGGTAGGGGTTTATTTTTTATAGTCAAGTTTTGTTATTTATTTAGTTTAGCGAAGGTAAGCAGTGGCCCGGAAGACTCACCAATTTTTATTCCTTTCACGGGAGTTTAGGTAAGATCTGTCCATTTAAAGCAGTATAGTCAGAGACCTGTTTACCTTAGCTTCCCTACCTGTCTACTTGATTTTTGCTAATGTTTTGTTTTTTGAAAACTTATGATTTATGAAAAAATAAAACATATTGATGGAACGAGAATTTAACCATTCAACGTCTGTGTCTTCCATATGTTTGGCTCAAACCTTGATTGCTGTTGTTATTCGAGCCAGTTTTGAGTTTGGGCCGTAACAGGCTGTTATTTTTACTAAAGAAGATATATATTAGTTAAGTTTCACCAGAACTATAGAAACTGTATTATGGTAATTAAAAAAATAAATAAATAAAAAAAAAGGCACAGTATTGGGATCGGATATATATCAGTCGATACTCAGAATTTTGGTATTGAGATCGGATCAAAAAAAATGGTATTGGCGCATCCCTAATTTGACAATTTAATCATTAGATCAACATTCCATCAGTCAATTATAGTCAATTATCAGGCAATTGGATGCACTGAGAGAAAAGGGGGCTTCTTAACTCCTGTATAATTTTCTTTCTACTTCACAATTGTATGCCACTTTATGTTGGTCTTTCACATAGCATTCCAATAAAACATATATGTTTGTGGTCATAATGTAAAATAATGTGGAAAAGTGCAAGGGGTATGAATACTTTTGCAAGCCACTATATCAAGGCAGGTTAAAAATCCAAATACAGATAACACTAATGTAAACCTTACTGTTAAATAGAAGCTTGTCAACGTAAATGTTTTTTAAAAAGTGAGCCTGGAGTTCTCAGTGCTATAAATAGTTTATTTTTACTTTAACACTTGAACCTGCCTGAACACAAACCTCTCTCTATATAAATAAGAGGGAAAAGCTTTTGAACTAACCTGTTTGGTTATGTTGCCATGCAGAAGTGCTTCAATGTGTAACCGTGACAACAGCTGCGGTATGAACGCCTTCAGACGAGGTAACGTCACATCTGAGAGAAACAACAAACAGCATGAGCATATATGTAGGCCATCACTGCACTGGCGTTCACAGTGAGATGAAAGACCAGCGTACCATCCAGAGCGTCTCTGAGCTCATCTTTGGTCCAGGCCACTTCAGTCATGAGCAGACGGAGGTAATACATGGCGTGCTGGTGAGGCTGCTCAGCGCGGAAGTTATTCAAAGACCTCATGTACTAGAAAAACACAGAGGAGACCAGTTTAGATCACACATCTCATCTCACATCTTATCTAGGTTTTTGGATCTGCAATTTTTGGTTTATTTCAAAATTGTCCCTAATGGTATGTTTTAAACTAATGTTTTAATATTGTCCATTTCAGATACAAAGCATAAATAAGCTACAACATGCAAATAAATAAATAAAATAATAATTATACAAAAATAAATTCATAAAAATGCTAATAGAAAACAACAACATCAATAATAATAAAAATAATAAAAATGCTACTACTACTACTACTACTACTAATAATAATAATAAAAAGTTAAAAAATAAAATTAATTAATTAAAAACAATTATAAATAAATTGCTACTTATAAAAATAATGAAGTACAATAAATAAAAATAAACAAAATGCTACTAATAAAAATAAATAATAAAAATAAATAAATAATAAATACTACTACTACTAATGATAATAATAAAAATAAATAAAAATGCTTCTAAGAAATAATAAAATATAAAAAATAAATCAATTAAAAATAATAATAAAATACTACTACAAATAAAACAACACCAACAACAACAATAATAATAATAATATTATTTTTAATAATAATTAAATAAATAAAATGCTACAAAAATTACTAAAATAAAAATAAAAATTTTAAGATATATATTATATTAATATTATATTAATAATAACAACAATAATAAATAAATAAATAAAAATATGCAAAGATGTAAAACCTAGACTATAGTGCTGTTTTACAATTAATTTGTGACTAATCACATCCAAATAAGTTTGAATTCAAATAACATAGACAGTACATGCACATTTATTATATTTGTTTCTATAAATGCACATGCTTACATGTATATGCCTTTAAAGTTTTTAGTTATAATACAAAATTATTTCAACCTGACTAAGAATCAAAAGCATACAACAAAAATTTTTAATCTTAAAAACAACATTTGTTTTAGGATGCTATATGAACAATATTAAAAACCACACACTTTTGTTAAATAGATACAGAGAAATGCCTTTATTAACTAATTTTATTAAATCTGTCCTGAAATGTTTACAACCAATTTGACAAAAAAAATAAAGTCCACTATTATATTCCCTTCGGTAAATTAATTGTTTTGATGCAACATTCATTTCTGAACTGATTTTCTGGCAAACAACAACACGTCAAAAAGGAGTTTAAAAAATGATCATGTGTTGTTCGATAAGTGTACAAATATATATCAAATCATAATACATTTATAATAACATTGTGTGTTTGTGTCTCACCGCTTCCTTAATGATATCAAACCGCTTCTCATCGATCTCAAACGTGGCCATTTTCTCAATGATCTTCTTCAGCAGGATGTGTTGCTTGTCATTATAACCCTTGACTGACAGCTGACACAAAAACACAGCAATGAAAATGAGGATCAAGAACAACTAAAAGGAATAGTTTATAAAAACATCTAAACTACCTCAATTTACTCCCCCTTATTCGAGTCTCTTTCCTCTGTTGAACATTAAAGATACTTTGGTACCATTTAATTACCATGGACTTCCATAGTAGGCAATCAAAAATACCATGGAAGTCAATGCGTGCCAATTACCAGCCTTTTTCAAATTAATCTCTTTCGTGCCCAACAGCAAAAACTCAAATGGGTTTCAAACAACTTAAAGGGATAGTTCACCCAAAAAGGAAAATTTCCTCTATTTACTTTCCCTCATGTGGTTTTTCTTACTCGGTTGAACACTAAAGACACTTCAGTCCCATTTAATCACTATAGCTTTCCATAGTAGGCAAACAAAAATAGGCAAGGCGAGTTTATGTAGCACATTTCATACATAATGTTAATTCAAAGTGCTTTACATAAACAAGAATAAAAGAAACATAATTAAATAAATATAAAATGATTAAAAATACCATGGAAGTTAATGGGTGCCAACTACCAGCATTTTTCTAAATACCTTCCTTTCTGTTCAACAAACTCAAACAGGTTTGAAACAAGGGTGAGTAAATTACTATTTTAGAGTGATCTGTCCCTTTAAGAACTGTCTTTGATCTTACTTTACTAATATAAGATGACATTTTAAAAAAAGACACTTCAAGCAACACACACAGAGGTTATTGCAGAACAGACAACAATTACACATTAAGTGTTGCATCTTTAGACAACAATCAATGCACCGCATCAGAGAGTGACGTGTATTTGTACGCAAATGGAGTAAGTGAATCACACAGCAAGTGATGTTTTGAGCTCCCAGCTTTGCCACATCCTCCAAACATGAGTCACCCTGTTTAAACCGGTTATTAACATCAATCTAGAATGCAACACAGACAATAACCGTTTCAAAGAACCCAAGCAAACTGATCTTTAAAGGTACAACATCCCATCACTCCGCAGAAAGCAATAGATGAGCAAACCTGCACACGCCAAAGCCTCAAGCTCCGCCCCTTTGCCCAAAGCCCCATTCCTCCCCAAAGGGGGAGGGGCTAATCACCATACTTACAAGGATGGCATTCATTCCTGAGGCTATGCCATAGACCAACCCTGCCAGGCGGGCTGCATATGTATACTCTCTCAAATCATCCTTCAACAACCTGAGAAACAGGTAAGTCATGTTGCAGTGCACTGGGTCTGCATAAAGGTAGCGACTACCGGGATGGAAAGAAAGAAAAAAAGGGAAGGGAAAAAACAAATGGAGTAATATTTATATGGAAGGATCATGATGAGACGAAAAAAAAGGGTTGAAAGGGACCACAGACAGAGTATGAATATGCAGCCTCAGCACCGGTGCTAATCTAAAGCTAGCCTACAGCATTGCTACATATGCAAAAACAACAACATCGAAAATATATGCAGAGAGTTTTGTTGTGTAAAGGCAAACAAAGCTCCATTTTGGGTTACTAGTGCAGGGATTGTTTGTCATTTGTGTGCGAAGTTGGACAATCTTTGTTATAGAGGGAGCATGTTGGAAACAGCGACGAGAGGGATTTTAATATACTTACATACATCCCATAGACGGTATTTTGAAGGTCATAGCTCAGGCCGGCTAACTCGGCTGCATATGCATACTCATTCAGCGAATCCTTAAGCAGCTCAAGGTACAAATACGCCATGTTACAATGCAACGGGTCCACGTATGCAAACGGGCTGTGAAAAGAACGCAAGCGATAAACTCTGACAATCAAAGGTTTAACGTCTTTAAAATGTTTTCTTGAAAGAAGTTGCATAAAATTAAAAAGGAATAAATGAATATTAAGATTGGTTTTTAAAAGTCCTAAATCTACAGCAAAACATGGTGAAACCGAACCGCTGCAGAAAATTTTAAATAAAAAGAAGGAATAAGAAAAATCTTTATATAACTTTAGTAGTACTGTCAAATAAACATGACACCTGTCAAAAGCTCTAGATATGTTTCCATCCACCTTTTCTTAGATGAATTTCAATGCTTCCCACAGGTTTGAAACATATTTGCGGTGGTAGCCGGATTAAAACACACCATTTACCCACATTACACAAATAGGACAATTTAATTTAACAAGATTTTTTTATGACACTATCATACACTGTTTCTATCAAAGGGTTAAAGTAAAAGAAAATCACTATTTCTCTTACTTTTATGCTATTCATAAAAGTTCTCTCTTTCAAGCTCAAATCAAACTGAATGCCAAAGCATTTTTAGATATGAATATAAAATAATCAGCAAATGAGAAAACAATGACAGAAAAGGGAATAAAAACAGACAATATCTTTAAAAATTCTAATTACAATATTAAAGCGTCTAAATTATTTAAATAAGGCAAATGCGTTAACCATTACTAATGGTGTATATATTATTTGCAGCCAGTTTAGATCAGTCATTTCACTCTCTGTAAAAAAATTTCCTGAGTCACTTAGATAAAAGAACAAATTACTAAATATACTTAGGCAGCCGTTAATATACCAGGGTGTCTTGCCCAAGTAAAGTCTACATGTGGGAAGCACTGCATTTCGGACAAAAAAAAAAAAAAAAAAACGATATATATAAATATATATATATATATATAAATAGATCACATAAAATGGAAATGCCAAGATGTGCATAATTAGTTTTTTTTTAACTGAGTCAAACTTTATCTGATTTGAAAGAAAAAAAAAGAAAAAAGAAAAAAGGAAAAAAAAGCCCAGTGTCTTCTACCGCAGCAAATTCCTTTTTTCATTTTGATTTGTCATCAATAAGTGACCATCTTATCTCCAAATCATCGGATGAAAACGGTGCTTTATCCGCAAATGTTTTATGCAATATTACAGTTTTGTGCATAAATCTAATGTGCATCTTTGGATGGAAACATAGCTACTGTAGACTTATAAAATATTTACGTATAATTTGTTAACATTTTTGCACAAAAATAAGATTCTCAAACATAATTGACAAATTTATCACCTTCCTTGCTACTAATTGCTACAATTATGCAAAATAAAAGCAAAATAAAAAAAATATATATAAAAAATAAAATCACTGTGCAAAATCTAAATTTTAATGCCATACCTACCTGAAAAACTCAAAGTTTAAACAAGCTTTAGGCAGGAAAAACTTGTCATCTTGTTTGAACCAAACTTTGCTCATTGCAGTGTCCTAAAAACAAAAACACAAGACAGATTGAGGGACAAAGAAAAGCTAGATGGTTCAGAGTTTAGAAGTTTGACAGACTTTTAGTTCCTCTATTTAAGCTGTCCTAAGTGTTCTAATATGAGATTAACCAAAACATACCTTTATTAAAGTGGGGGCAGATGGGGAATCCTTCTCTAGAGGGTAAATCTCAAAGTTTGTGGGGATAAATTCATTCTTCATTGGCAGTTTAAACTTTCCGTTGAGGTCTGCATTGTCCCATTTCTGTAACAAAAGGACCAAGAAAAAAAAAGAAAAGGGAACATTGTTTTTTTCCCAACTTTTGCTAATTACATGAAGCCACAATGTTAATGCAAGTCTGCTAATTTGGCAGTGATGGTAGAGCATTAGTTCAAAAACTTTCACCAAATATGAATTTATTACAATATTTTGTTTTTCTGTAATACATTTTGTGATAAATGCAAATTTCACCAGATGCTTGAAAAGCTTTGTTTTTGAAAGAATTATTCTGTTAAACACAAGCCAATTTCAAGCATAAATACAAAATAGCAAAGATGCAAATGAAATGGTGCTTTTCAGATTTTCTGAGAAGTGAAATAATATTCAAACCCAGAGCTTAAATAATAATAAAAATGCAAAATCACAGTAGTCTTCACGGCAAAGATGGTAAAATGTAATACAATTTTGAATTTCATGGGCTTTTCAGGTCTCTTGAAATACTTGTTAATCACAGGTCTAAAACTACGTAAACATTAAACTTTAACAACATTTTGGCTAAACTTAGCAACAACAAACTACTGTACCTGATCAACTGTAATCATGACTGGACATTGCACATGCATACGATGTGACTATTGTGGATGTGTACATTGCAATATCAATGCTAAAACAATATATTGTGCAGCCCTATCTGAGACTTTCAGCTAATTCATCAAGCTGATGTATTTTTAGTTTATTTATATTTTAATGCCATATCAGCAGAGTTGGACATATTCATAGCAACATTGTAAATTATGTATTTAATATCTATTAACAATTATAACAGTTTCTTAAACATATAATCCTTCACTGTTTTTAAATTAATGATATTCTAAAACTCCTCTAGGGGACACCATTTTAAACATGCCCCCTAAAACATTTCCTAAATAAAAATGCTCTAATATCATGCAAAAACATACATTCTATTACAGGGATGGGCAAACTTGATCCTCGAGGGCCGGTGTCCCTGCAGAGTTGTTCCAACACTAGTCTAACACACCTGAACATGCTAATCAGTGTCTTTAAGATCACAAGAAATCTATAAGCAGGTGTGTTTGATTAGGGTTGGAGCTAAACTGTGCAGGACACCGGTCCTGCAGGACCGAGATTGCCCACCCCTGTTCTATTAACATGTTTTTGAAATAAAAATATTCTTTCGTCACAACTATATGTTTCTCTTCTCTATAAATATATAAATACACCAGGGCTGTTAAACTCAGTTCATAGAGGGCCGCAGAGTTTAGTTCCAGAGTTTAGTTGCACTTCAACTCGCCTACCTGTAGGTATCAAACAAGCCTGAAGGACTCAATTAGCTTGATCAGGCGTGTTCAATTAGGGTTGGAACTAAACTGTGCAGAGCTGCCCTCCAGGAACTGAGTTTGATACCCGTGATCTACACAACGACAAATGTCAAAGATAAGGTTTATGTACCATGACATACTAGAGAGAGAGATTTGCTAAAATCAAACGCGCTTCACCTTAATAGCTTCATCAGTAATGGCTTCTTGTTTATACTGTGTGCCGTACCACTCCTCAGTCCGATCAGTCTGTCCTTCAAATGATTTGGAGACAACTGCAACCCTAAAAGAAGTGAGTGAGGGGGAAAAAAAGAAAAGAATTGTAAAGATCAATTCACCAGACACAGCATGACACCATCCATTTCTCACAAGTCCCTTGGGGGAAAAAATGGGCTGTGCAATTTTGCCTTTATCAGATCTCTCTGGCCCAGTAAATAGATTTGGAATTATGGTCATTACATCAAAGGTTCAAGTTTCCCGAAGCTGCTCAATCTGCTGTGCGGGGCTGTGGATCAATGCACTATTTCTGCACAATTTAGACTCTACTGATCAATAGAGAACTTTTGGGACAATGACGTGCTATTCTGGACTCTCCTGCAATTAATCAATTGCATAAGAGAGCCCAGAATAGGTTCACTTTAAAATCCAGATCACTCCTTCCAGATTTAGACCACATCACACAAGGTTACCAGCAGGATACAGCAGTCTCAGACCATTCATTCACTGCCTGATGTGTTATGAATAAATTATTATGGTAAGTCACACTCTGAACCCCATTCAGTTCAGTTAAAACAGTAAAATACTGTTACAACCAATATTTACTAGTGACTGACTGTGAATGAATCGTTTGAATCAGTCAATAATTTACTGGAGATTCTACCTTGGAAGCCTTTACTAAAGGGCTAATTGATTTGCTGTGTATATATACACAAGTGTGGCTGTTACCACAAAAATATCCTATAAACTTCTCCACAGATTTTATCCAGCAAAACACTACTTAAATGTAAAAGTGGGATTGATGTAAATTGTATAATTTTGTAATAAAAATGAGACAGTTTTATTTTGGCATTGTACATAGTCAACTTTTGGGTGAGGTACGAAAATGTACTAATAATTTTTATTGTCTAAAACAGGGATGTGCAAACTTGATCCTCGAGGGCCGGTGTCCCTGCAGAGTTGTTCCAACATTAGTCAAACACACCTGAACAATCTAATCAGTGTCTTTAAGATCACAAGAAATCTATAAGCAGGTGTGTTTGATTAGGGTTGGAGCCTAACTGTGCAGGACACTGGTCCTCCAGGACCGAGTTTGCCCACCCCTGGTCTAAAACCTCTTTGTTAAAGGAAAATTTACTTTTTGGCTTTACTGTCTATCCTAATCAAGGGGAAATTTGTTTATTTACTTGTAGTTCTGTTTTCTTGGTTCTTTTGGTCCAGATTAAAAACAAAGAAAAAAAAGCATAAATTTAGTACAGATTCACTTGGTTAAGCCAAGCTAGAGGGTGCTTTCACACCTGCCTTATTTAGATCGGTTAAATCACACTAGAGTTCGTTTTCCCTCTTGGTGCGGTTCATTTGAGCAGGTGTGATTGCTGCAATTTTACTCGAGTGCACACCAAAAGCGAACCAAAGAAGCGTACCGAGACCTGCTTGAAGAGGTGGTCTCGGTACGGTTTCAAACGAACTCTGAAGTGGTTTGTTTGTGGTGAGAATATGATCCGAGCTAAAGCAGACCCAACCGCAAAAATTACTGCACCTTTTGGACTAATCCAGCTGCCATAGGCCGATGCGCAGTGCATTAGGGGATATGGAGGGAAAATATATGTTGACAGCGCTTTACCAACAGCGAGAGAGAGGGGAAAAACATTACCTAATGGAAATATTTCCGCAAGAGGACCATGTCGCAGTTTCGAAAACATTGCTTTCCAGCCGCGGCCGTGCTTCATTCTCGAAATGTATAGTTGGTCTAAAGCAGGGCGCAGCCCCATAGTAAAAAGTGACATTTTGTGTCTGCCGGTTTGTTTACTTGCTGGAGTTCATTTGCATTTTCCTGCATGCAAATTCTGACCAATAAATAAGCAGTTTAGGAACTATGTTCAACAACATCTGGCCAATGAGAGATGTGGATTTTGTCAGATGACTGCATGTTGGTTCTTTTCAACTGGTTCGGACCAAAGCCAGCAGTGTGGTGTGAAAACAACCAAAAGATGGCAGAAAATGCAACAATGTATCATTTATTGCCCTTTGTCCGGACCAAATGAAGCGAACTACAGATGTGAAAGCACCCTTTAGTGTCATTCTGCTACATGTGTGGACATACAGCAGGGAAAATAAGTATTGAACACGTCATGTTTTTTCCAGGGAATAATATTTTTAAAGAGGCTGTTGACATGGAATTGAACCAGATTTTAGTAAAACCAAACAATACAAACAAAAATAAAACAAAAATCTAAAAATGAGTTGTGTAATAACAAGGAGACAGTGCTGAACTACTGAAATGTATTTAATATATTATATAAAAGGCTTTTTTTTTTTTTAATGATGGCAGCTTGAAGATGCCTCTCATATTCAGAATGAAGTCACATGAAATTCTCAGGTGTTTTTTTGTTGGACTGAAGCATCTAATAATATTCAATGAGGAAGGGTAGAGGGTTGCTGAAGAACTATTGAGAGATTTCAGCAGATGTCTAGCCTTTCATTGCCTTTCTACACCTTCCTTTCTTTATTTGTTTCCCCCCGTACATGGAAGAAAATGTAGTATAAACAAGAAAAACTGGAAATAGGAGCAATATTATTTTAACCTATACATTGCAAACTTCCTGAAGCGGTAATCTAAATATACATATAAGAAACTGTCGACTACACGCATAACCTAACACATACTATCAAAGTACTTTATCTTGTACAATACTGTACATGATTATGTTGTGTGCAAAAGAGACATTTAAGGTTAAATATTAATAAGGCAAGTGGTGCGCTATGATTTGTGATGAACTCACAAGCAAACATTTATTTTACTTTGGTTCAGTTTGTCATTAAAAGGGACACAATCAATAAAAATAAAAAAATAAATAAATAAATACGTCATTTACTCATTTAGTTATAAAACTCTGTATCTTCTGTTTGAATACAAAAGAAGATACTTTAAAGAATGCTGGTTTCTGTGAACCAGTCAACTTCCATTATTTCTATTCAAACCATGGAAGTCAATGGGTCTAAATATCTTGTTTAACAGAAAAAAAAGGTTTTGAACAAGTAAAGGCTGAGTAAATGACAATACAATTTTCATTAAGTGAACTACTCTTTTAAGACTGCATCTTAAGGTATATAAAATGCATTAAACCTGTCTGGGTTTTGGTTAGTTTTAAAAAGTTTGGTCTATGTTGCATTCATTTTCCATTCTAACCACACTAGAGTTTGTGAGAAAGCAGCATGCCTTTTTTTCCTCAGTCATCCTCTCTCAACATTAACAGAACAAATAACACCAGAGCTTATTTTTCCTTTTAAATCGAACCTGCCAAGAGTCAACAATTTCTGATAACACCACACCAAAGTGTCACAATTACCATGGTTGGTCACTTTGAATAGGATTCAAATAGTCTCTAGTTGGCAGTTCTGAATAGAAAAAGGCAAGATCAGATTTTACACACTGATAGCAAGAGTCTGGCTATGTAAGACTACCTCATCTTGTGTTGCAGAGCTTACAACAAGCCAATCACCTAAGACGACGCATGTCAAGCAGCAAACCCCCAGATCTGGAGTAAAAGTCTTATCTTGATCCAAACACTTCTGAAATACTTAAACAAAATGAAATGCGAGAGCCCTACAAGTTCTTCCATCCCAAAAACAACAGGAGAGTGGCAACGGTAGAGGTTGAGGTGCAGTTCAAACAAGCTCTTTTAAAGCTGCAAAGGAAATTGTATTCGAAAGCCTTCGTCATAGCAGTGAAAGTGAGATTCTTTCAATTCAAACACAGCAAGGAGATCCAGTTGCAAATAACACTTCAAAAACAGTTAAAAACGTCAACCAATCTGAGCCCTGTTGGGATATGAGCAGCAAGACATGAAAGAATCTGATATTTGCTTCACAAAGGTTCAAATATGAAGCTCCTTGAGTGGGTCTTTGAAGAAAGCTGCCAATAACTGGACATCTGGGTTAAACTAATCTCATCCAGAGGGGACAACATGCATCTTTCAGGTCTCTCCATCACATTTTTTTAATCAAGCCCAACATCCATGACACTGTTTCGCTTTAATATTTGGCATTACAGATTCGAACGACCCCTAAATCCTAAGAACAACAGTAACAAAGCCTTAACAGATGGCTTTCTTTTACAGGTTATGCACATGAAAGTGTGCAAACATATTACAAATCTGAAAGACAGCTTTGTGTGTGTACGTGTCCATGTGTGTTCACCTGACATTCTCTGGTCTCAGTTTATCAAGCACCATCTCAATGAGGTCTGGCCTGAACTCTTCCAGCAAGTATTCGGCAGCCAAAATTTCTTCCAGCGGATAGTACTGGGAAAAAAGAAAAAGCCTTATAAACAGACATGGGGCAACATTGTGTGCCCTAAAAGTTTTTTAAACAATAAATATATGAAAACTAACAATAAATAAGAGCATTTACCACTTTTTTTTTTAATCAATACCATTATTGCGTTTATGGTTTCTCTAACCTAATATGCCACTTATTTGTAAATACATATTTTTATTTCTGATTTATACAGCTAAACACAATGCACATATTACAGAGAAACCATCTAGATGTATATAAAGCTTATGTTTACTTCATTTCCAGCTTATTTAAATGTTCTCTCGTGACCATATTTATGCATGCATCCTAAGCTCCTATAAAATCACAAAAGATTGCTCGTGTTTGAGCATGCTTGGCAAATAATTGTAATTAAGTCAAATGCAACATTCTACCATACAATTTTTGCTGATGCATATTGTTCCACACCTTCTTTGATATGCTATTTGATCAGTTCAGAATGCACTAGTATTTAATTCCAAATGTGTATATAAAAAAATAAAAGAAATCACTTTAAAATGAAACCCTGGCTCTGATCTCCAGACACAACACAGTCGGCACCCTGATGACACGAGCAACTGTAACCATGGAGACAACCTTTTAAAGTCTTTCATGAGAGAGACACCTACATGCAGAAGTCCAGCCACTTTAGACGTGTATCCACGAGGACGTTCCTTATCCTTAAATCGGAAAGCCACGGTGTTCAAATCCTACAAACAAACAATGTAGAGACAAATCAGTCATGTCCACTGTATTAAAAACCACCCGTGTTAAAAATGAATAAATAAATAAATAATAAAAGGGGCCGTGGCTCAGTGGTTAGCACTGTCGCCTCACAGAAAAAAGGTCGCTAATTTGAGTTGGGTCAGTTGGCATTTCTGTGTGGAGTTTGCATATTCTCCTGGTGTCGGTGTGGGTTTCCTCTGGGGCCTCCAGTTTCCCTCACAGTGCAAAGACTTGTGCTATAGGTGAATTGAATAAACTAAACTGTCCGTGTGAATGAGTGTGTATGGATGTTTCCAGTACTAGGTTGCAGCTGGAAGGGCATGTGTTGTCTACAACATATACTGGAAAAGTAGCCGATTCATTACCCTGATGAGTAAAGAGACTAAGCGGAAGGAAAATTAATGAATAATAATAAAAACATAGCTGTAAACAAGGCTCTATAAAAATAAGTTAGCTTTTTCCCCAAATAGTGCTTTAACTTTTTTCTGGATTCTGCATTTTGTGATTTAAAACAAACTTAACATAAATAGGGGCAAACAAATAAATTACACACAACTATTTATCCCTTAAATGTAAATAAATAAAATGCTCTTTTGGCCAAAATAATTTCTGCACAAAAAAGGTTTTTAGTTTTAATAAAAACAAACATCTTATATGAACATGATCTTATATTTTAGGTAGATTTTTAATGAACTGCATAATTAGATAATTATTAGTATGTCATGATATTTCTATTAAAGAACGGTAACAGTATTTATTAGCGGTGGGCCGTTAATAGCGTTAATGTGCTGCGTTAAAGTGAGACTCTTATAGAGCAATAAAAAAATATATATCACTGTTAATCTATTCTCAGAGTTGGTTTGGGAGCTGGGTCTATTCTACTCAAGCTATGATGACTTTCACCATGATATTTTAGCGCAAATGTATACCTGACCGGTGAGCTGTCTGACAAAAAAAGTGCCCTTCTGAATTAAATCAGCACGATGCCCTTCTGGATCTTTCACTCACTTCAAAGACACTACTGACTACGCTTACATGGACATCTGAAATCTAGTTATTTGCCTTAATAGGCAATATCATAATAAGGTGTTTACGTGAAGTGCTTTCATGTAAGAGTTTTCTGTAATTTTGGGTGACTTCAGCTGCAGTTCGGCAGTTTCACTTTAACTCATGAACATTTCATTCATGAAGCCGTGACAAACTGGGGTATTAGACACAAATAAGGAGTAAAGACTGATGAGAGTGTTATGGAATTTAATAACGCACACCAAATATAACGTAAAAAAACGTAAGCAATTCGCAATATATGTGTATGTGTGTGTGCGCACAGTCCTCAACATGTCCTACATGACGGTAATAGTTTGATTGCGGTGTTTACTTCAATAATGCCACTAATATCTGCATACTCCACGTCTTAATTCCATTTCTCTTTAGTTCAGTTATGACTTTAGTTGGATTAAGGTGATCAAAATGTTAGTTGGAATCACTGTTTGGAGCTTATGTAGGCCTACAGTTCAAAACTCCTGTTTAACTGAATAAACGATTAGTCAACACAAGTACATCTTATTGAACATCATTTATTTTCATTACCAATTATCATAGTAGAAGTTTCTCAAGCAGTTTGTGATGCATTTTGGAAACAGGAGATGAGCCCCTGGTCTAATGCGGCTCCTGGCTTGAGAAACCCGTTCTCAAAGATTTTCAGTCATTGAGATATTTAGTTATTATTTGGGTAGCACACATATACTGAATGCCTTTAGCAGAATTCAAATGAGCCATTTAATGTTGATTAATTCCAAGATTACAGCGAGTTTAATCTAGATTAAAAAAATTAATCCAGGCCCACCTATAGTATTTATACAATACATATTTATTTGAGATAAACCAAAACCATTTAATTTGCCCAGCTGTATAAAAGACTGAGTTTGTATTCCTGATGAAAAAAACATTCCAAACTAATTCCCAAGAAGTTGGTGTGTCTCAGTGAACGAGCATTGCTATTTTCTGCAGTTTAATACTTACTAACACGAGTGCACAACTACAGCCACACTTAACTCATTTATGCCAATTTAACCACATTTTAAACGTTAAATGAATAGTTTCAAAATATGCCCATCTTTCAAAAAGCCTGAAGCACGTTCATACCTTACACTCCTGAAAGACCCACTCCTGAGGGCCCTCCGTCCGCAGCTTCTGAATGTACTGAAACATGTGGAAGATGATATCCTCGACATGCACTAGAGACAAGGGAAATACAGCTCAAACACATATTGATATGTGCACACCCTTAGAAGAAAAATCTCAGGTCCTTACACAGCCCCTCTTCTGTCAAATCCACATTAATAATGAAGAACATGAATCCTCTGGCTCCTTCTTTCTGGCCTCCAACTAGAGTGTTCACCCATCCTGAGAGGAGACACAGTGAATACATGAGCATATGGCTAAGATATAGAAATCAAAGCAGTTTTACAAGTCAGATGCTAACCTTTAAACCTTACGTGGTAAAATGATCTCTAATTTCTTTTGTCTGTTTTGTAATTTGGGCTCTTAAAGGGATAGTTCACACCCAAACTCAATTCTGTCATCATTTACTCACTTTACTTGATCCAAACCTTTCTTTTGTTGAACAAAACAAAATAGATTCTGAAGAAAGCTGGATACTTGTAACCACTTATCTCCATAATATGTGTTTTTTTCCCAACTATGGAGATCAGTGGTTAGAGGTTTTAAACATTTTTCAAAATATCTTCTTTAGTGTTCAATTGAATAAAGAAACTCAAAACACTTGAGGGTGAGTAAAGAGCGTGTACATTTTCATTTTTGGGTGAACACATATCCATTTAAGGCAAAAGTTGACTTGCCTTTAGATTTGAGCTCAGACAAAAGACTGCCTGGACCCTCGTGTCCAATCAGGTGGCCAAGATAATGACCCGGATTTGATTTGTAGTACTTCTGCAGGTCTGGTATAGGGAAGGTCACATACAAGTTTCTGATGTCCTTGATTGGCACCACTTTATAGAATTGCTGTGGGGAAACAGACAATGAAATGAGATGAAGATCCAAGAAAACCTATTAGCAGAGACCATTCCTTAAAATGTGTGCTACAATAGGAGTTTAAAGCAAGTAGAATTAACAAACAATGATTCATTTAACAAAATTTAAAGATCATTAACTGCTTTACGCTACCGTTCAAATGTTAGGGGAAAGAACAATTAATACTTTGTGTCACAGTAAGTATTATTTTATTCAGTATGACACTGAATAAAACCGTTATGGAAGAAAAAAAAAAAATTAGGGACCACATGAACATTCTCGGTAGGGGTGTAAACCTACACGTCTCAAGATTATCATGTCATCGATTTAGTTCAATCCGATTTCTCGGTGCATTGACGATGCTTTCCATCCAAAATGATATGTTTTTTTCTCCACAACACAAGAATTCTTGAATTAATTTTTAAATATATTTATACAGTATATTATTTGTAATACAATTTTGTCCTTTAATACAAGCAGTCAGATATATGAACTCTACCTTTAATTTTACCTCTTTTTCAATGTTTTAAACAAAACTCAAATACATTTATAGCAAATAAACTATTATTCCTCTTGCTTTTTGAGCGTTGTCAAGCATTTTTACATCCCTATGATTGGTTATTGCCTAGTTCGAATAGTATTCCACAGCGACAGCGCATATGAGATAAATGACACCAGTAATTAATAACCGGTGATCTATCAATGAACCGATACTGAATAATCTACATCGAGATGCATCGAAGAAAAAAGTAATTTTAACACCCTTAATTCTGAGTATCTTTGGATGTACTAAATTTATTAGGCATGTGTTGGAGTAAAAAAATAAATAAATAAAATCTATAAAAAATAATAAACAAATAAACAAACAAACATTCTACACAGTTTTGATAACATTTCTACCAAATTTCATGTAAAAGTTTCTTACAGAAAACTGAGCAAAACAAATCAAAAACTTTTTTTTTATCGAATCAAAAATCTCCAACTACAAACTATTGACGATTAGGGTTTAGATCTCACCCTCAGGTGTTCCTCCTGGAAAGGATGTGTAGGGAATTCTGGGACAGGGACATTCTTGTTCTCCACCTCTCCGAAAAGCTTCACCACCATTGATGTCAATTCATCCAGCGTCTCTGTCAAGATGTGTGAGACGCAATGTTAAACTCAAAAGCGCAAACAAATCACCACTGTACCCTTTATAACACATACGAGTCTCTGCAAAAACAAACCAGGAATCAATCAACAGAATGACAAAGAACAAGACGGAGCTCATGAAACATTCAGCGTCAGACTGAGCGCGAATTGAAAAATCTGCCATACCTTGAATAGAGCAACATGTTATTGCATTCGCTGTCAGCTACATTTACATCCACAAATCTGATTCTGATGTTGTTATTTATTTAGTTTTTTTATTGTTCAGAGTGAATGGGAAAAGCTAGCAAACTGAACAGAAGAAAACACACTTTCCACTAGCAGAGTTCAAAATATAAGAAATCAATGAATTGTAGCCAGGACTGACCTCTGCCCAGCACACACAATCCCATCAGGTTGGAGGAATAATAGGTAGAGTGAAACTTTAGCAGCTCCTCGCGGATATCAATGCCCTGTTGAGATGGCCTGGTCTCAAGGGTTAACTTGTTGCCTGGAGGAAAAAAAAAAAAAAAAAAAAAAAGCAACACAAATAAATGGAAAAGATACAATTTCTTTGAGGGGGGAAAAAAGTGATCAGCTTTAAAATAATTTGTACCAAAAATGTGGGCAACTGTAAATAGGTTTGAACAATATATCAAATAAGTATCGATACTGCAATGTGTATAGCAGCAATAGTGACATCGCAAAATAAGATTATTAAAGATAAAAAGTTAGAGGTATTATTAAATTATTTATACAATGATCATATTATTTTCCATTTAATTGTATTGCTCCACTCAAGGCCTTAAGGCAGTTGGGCAAATACCTTTTTTAACAAAATAAAACACCAAAGCTTCACAATTTTATTACAAATTTCACCAGGAATAGACAATTACTTGTCCATTTATTAAAGCTATAAACCTCTCTTGTAGCAAAGTTTGACCAATTTTTGAGAAGCCAGAAAGAGGAAAGTTACCATAATCATATGATAATCTAGTTATCATAGGAGGCTGATACAGTAAAATTGACACTTTGCAAACTTTTAAATGCCCAAAAATGTGAATCCACTAATATAAACAAGGATTATGCTAGACACGGGCACGTTTTTAAATTATATATTTAAAAAAAATAATAAAAATAAAAAATAATAATAATAAACACAGTGGTAGTTAATATGCACAATATTGTATACTCTTTCAGTCAACTGAAGAAAGTACAAAACGGCAAAGCAGTACTACATGAAACATGTTTCAAAGTACAATCAGCCTAAACAACACTATTATTTGGATAATGCTGTTACCAATGTCAGTAATAGAAATGTATATATACACACTATCATTTGAACCTTAAATTATTTGTCATTTAAATGATTTTTGGTCTTTTATGATACATGCTTGTAATGTATTATATTTTATGCACTACATAGAAAAAGATTTAATCATCACAGTTGATCTAAATTAATTATATCTTCCCAAATAGAGATGTTCAAATCATATATAATAACAGCCAGAACAAAATATCACAATGTCAGATTTTTCTAATATTGTGCAGCCCTAACTGTAAACATTAAACCTTCACTTCAGACCAAACAAGATCAAAAAGTGAAGTAGTAAATAATGCTGTTTGTTTAATATTGTGTTCATATGATTGAGCTTCTGTTTTATTACACCGGTGGTGGGATTTAGATGGAGAAAGGACATTATTACTCATGACTTCATCATGTGACCGATTGGTTTGATCTTATGGTGTTAATATAAAATGGGTGATTTTACATCCAAATAACACATTTGCTTGACAGCTTTCAATCAAGTGAATGTACATCTGTTCTTCTCAGAATGCTGCTGGTTAACATGTGTAAAGACAGAACAAAAATAGCTTTTTTCCACTCTAAGCACATCTTATATAACTCAAGGCCGCCACCATCTGGCTATTTTGAGCACAGATAAATCTGTTCAAAGAAGATTAGCCTAAATCGACCTAAACATTATCCTCCAGCTTTTGTATGGCCCTTTTCTAGGAGTAAAAGATAAAACGCATTCAGAGGAGCATATTTCACATTATCTTACAGACAATGGGACAACGTCTACATAAAAGCTGAACTTCCATACCGGTTCCAAATTTGCTAAAAGGGTGTTTTGGGTTCCCAGTGGCTTTCTCCAACTGAAACAACCGCCATGCGTCATTCATGAGGTTCTTCTCATGTTCAGAGTCCACTGCATTCACCTCTCGGTCCTTACAGCTCTCATCAAACAGGGGACAGAGGAAGAACTGGGCAAATCTGCAAGTATAAAGTCAGACACAATTTAAGTCTCTTCAGACGATGTCAGCCTACAGCTGCAGAACAATCCACATTCATGTTAAAAAGTCATTTGAATAAATAAAATCTGAACTTAAAACATGCAAATTGACATGACTGGCAACTGCCATGCAAATAAACATACAGTCTATATATATCAGTGGCTCTGACAAGAACACTGCTGAAAGTGACAAGATGATCAACATTGTGGATTCATAAGCAAGAAAAGAACACCTAAGGACATCTTTACAACATGTATTAAGATGCTTTATAGTTCATTTATCAAAAGTAGATGGAAACTTTTCCATCTACTCTATGTGTTTTAATCTCATCCATTTAATAACATTTGTTTGGTCCCACTTTATTTTGATCGTCTGTTTGTTGAATTTAAGTTACATTGCATCTACATGCCAACTAATTCTCATTAGAATACAAGTAGACTGTTAGGTTGGGGTTAGGATAAGTTGACATGCACTTGCAAAGTTTCTTATAGTCAGTTAAATGTCTGTTGAAAAAGCAGTATCAACAAATATTAAACAGAGTCGACTAATACTCAAATGGACCATTAAAGTGTAACCACTTATTGTTTTTAATGGCGGCATGTATTGGCCTTTACAGATGTTTTAATGTAATATTGCAAAATAAGTTTGTGCAATTGATGTCTGCACTTATATTTGCAAATCTATGCCAAATTATGTGGTTTCTGTTAGAAGCAGGACTAGTACACTGAGCATTTGCATATATTGCAATTTTTTTAGTGTCTTTTCTAAGTGCTTGGTCATTTGTGATCAGACTGATAAAATAAAAAAAAACATCATACCAGGTTAAAAAGGGGCATATTAAAATAAATTTTGGGCAAAAAAAATAATAATAAATTAACACTACAGCCTTTAAAAATTACAGTAATCCTATGATAATCTAGTGAGGCTAACACAGTGAAATGGACACTTTGCAAACTTATGGGTGTAAAAGTACAACGTGAATCCCCTAATACAAACAGGAATTATGCTAGACGTGGACGTATTCAAACTACTAAAAAAATGCAAACATACAGTGGTGATTAATATGTTCAATATTGTTCTCAGAGCGTATGTTAGCATTTTTCTATTTAACTGAAATCTACAACACTGCAAGTGTGCAATAATACATGTGACATGTTTTAAAATACTATCAGTCTAAACACGTCACAATTATCTAGATAATGCTTTTACTAATGGCAGTAATGGAAATTATATACTTTATCATTTAAATGTTGTAGTATTATGTTATTTGAAAACTATTAGACTTACTAAGAAACCAACATTGATATGTGTCCCTCTTTACAACATGTCTTTGCAATTTATTACAACACTGATAATTGTGAAATCTTTTATGCCATTCACTATTATCTTCTCAAAATTTGATGCCGCATCCCTAAAATGTGCATTACAAAACCACATGCATATAATAGGTCAAACTAATAGACTATCATGGAAATTACTTCTGTTAACTGCAACACACCAACATACACACCAACATACACACCAATTGACCAATGAAAATGTCAAAGGAGTATGTGCAGGTGTGCATCCAATTTGTTTGATATCAAACACATACAGTTCTTTCTGTACTTGTCCAAACAGGTCCCTTTCTAAAAGCATCCAGTCTGAACACTTGAAATTTTGCTGATAAAATTCTGAGTCATGACCCAGTTGTTAGAGATTAATCATGAATCATTCAAACGTTTCAATGCGCAGGTGGCGCTCTGGGTCACAGGAACAGATGGGCTCCAGAGGAAACTCTCCTCTCTCTATATCCCAGCAACCTGATTCCTACTGGAAATGTAACTCCACACCGACAGACTCGGTGACACCTAAAAGTCTGAACCCTTTTTCACCCTTTCATAAGTTCAAACAGTCTAAAAACAGACCAGTGTTCCAGATGACTCTTTAATAATTCAATAAATGCTTGTTTTTTTTTGGAGTGCATTTACCTGTCCAACGCCCCTTGCAGATGCTCATGGGATACATCAAAGTAGTAATTGGTGTGCTCTCCGCTGGTGAAGGCGTTCGAGCTGCCGGCATGCTCACTCAAAAACTGGCTGTACTCGTTCTCTTTGGGATACTTCTCAGTGCCCAGAAACAGCATGTGCTCGCAGAAGTGGGCCAGGCCTGAAATGTTCTCAGGATCTGACAAAGAGCCTGCAAGACAGCATGAAGAAATTAAGTGATGTATGCATGTATGTATGTATGTATGTATGTGTGTGTGTGTGTGTGTGTGTGTGTGTGTGTGTGTGTGTGTGTATATGTGTGTATCTATCTATCTATCTATCTATCTATCTATCTATCTATCTATCTATCTATCTATCTATCTTTAAAAAAAAAAAAAAAAAACACACACAAGAAAATCCTGTTTACTTGCACTGGAAATCTGGATTGCTCGACAAACTTGTAAATCAAGTCTACTTATTTACATCATCACTGCAGGTTCAGGCATATTTAAAGTACTTTGATGCATTCTTTTGTGTAAACATGTATTCAAGTAAGCACAAATGTAACCTACACTCACAACTTCGTTTACATCAAAAAATACTATTTTGTAAGAGTTTCTGTAGATTGGAGAAGTGTCATAGCATTTTAATGTTGTTTGATAAAACCCTAGGCTTACTGAGGTGCGTTTTCAGTCACCATTGATGAAATATGGGCATAATATTGGTCTTTTTAATGTATATTGTGTGGTTTGCATTGCTTTGTCTGTCTTTTGTACTATTGGGCCTAGTGTCTGGAATATATACTGTCAAACAAGTTTGCAACCATTGAGACGAAAAACAGAAGTTAGATGTTATATTATGAATTATTTATTTTATTTACAACCTCTCTAGCTGTTGTCGCTTTTAAATAAGTGGCATCAGTTTAAAAATATCTATTATTATAGCCTTTATTTTACCAGGAGAAAGCACACGGAGATTAAAAATTTCTTTTACAAGAGTGTCCTGGCCAAGAATAACCAAATTTCCTATAAAGAACAAATTAACCTATAAAGAAAATTGGGGATTTCCGGATCAAGTTTTTTTTTGCCCTCGAGTTCAAGTCATTTGATTAAGTGTCTACCGATACCAAACCCCAATCTGATATTTCTATGATACATAAAAGAATTAAGAAGAGCGAAGAAAAAGATCCAGGATGTTTCTTATTTATGATTTAATCCACCTTATTTTAACATTCAACAACTTTAACAAACAGGACACTTCTGTGAGGTAGCTTGAACAATCAAGTAATGGATAACATCAACTTCACATTTAGACTTTAGTGCAACAGTAGCAAATACAAAAAAAAATAAATCTAATATAAAAACAAACAGCACCTTAACTTAAAATACCCGGCAGACTATCCCAAGTTTACATATCTCATAGTTTGCTATGACAATGTTGTCGTCATTAACTTTTTAAAACCTCTAGACCGCAGACATACTCGCGCTTTCCGCTTCAAGCTGCTTCCGTGTTCTACTTTGCCGGCATTTAACCAATAGCGCCTCTGCAACAAAGTGATGTCATGCTGCATGCGTTGCTGTTTCTGTGTGAAGTCAAGACAGAGGTCTATCTCTGTGCCATAACTATAGATGTGTTAAAAAATAATGATATATATATATATATATATATATATATATATATATATATATATATATATATATATATATATATATATATATATATATATATATATATATATTTATTTTTTTTTTTTTTTTTTAAATAATATATAAAAAAAATAAAACAATTGGCAGGTAACGTCTGATTCAGATTGAGTCTAAAACCACATGATCAGGCCCGAGTTGTGATCACCTGATTCGATCTGGACATCCCTAAAGAAAATGAATCCAAATGGCATCCAGAATTAACACAGTCTCCGAAATATAAATGTACACAATAGCAATTTAGTGTGGAAATGTCAAAAGGCTATTTTTCACTATAATGAATAGTAATAAGCAATGACATCTTTACATCTGACCTATATACATCCATGTTTCAGCGCAGTCATATGCAAAGCAGCATTCTTTACATGCACGTGTTATACAGTGATTTGGTTGTCAAAAGCAGCATTTCCTGGAATCAGTTAACTCCACCCATCAGTCCATGTTGACATAATGGGCAGCTCTCCAGATGTAATTCAAATTAATAGTTTGAACTTAATTTTTCTTAAATGTAGGGCTGAAAAGATTCAAGCTGACACAAGGCAGGCTTTAATTACTTTAACAGAATGGCCTGTTCAGTAACAAAATTATTAAACTCTTTATGGGCATCTCTGCAACAAAGACATAAAACCAGGACAAGGGCAGTCGCTAAGGTCGGGATTAATATAAACTGCTTTTTATGTAGAAAGCTAGAGACACGAGACAGACAGAGGCAATTAGTTATTATGGGGCAGTAATGATGACTAATGTTCTTCAGGTTTGTAATAAATGGTCTGTGCTTACTATGAAGACTGATGCTTTAAGCGGATGTATGCAACATAGTACAGAATAGGATTCTGCCAGTATCACATTTTATTATTGCAATTAATGGCTGAAGCTTTTATCATGATATACTGTAATATGACAATATTGAACAGCTTTAACAGGTTTAATAACAAAGTAGTAGTTTATATACACGTTCAAAGTAAATAAATGTTTTAAATTAAAATACAAAAGAATGATAAAGCACAATAGGCCACAATTTAGAATTAAATATAGTTAGCAAACATTAGTTCCATGTAGTATATAGATCAGTATATAGAAATAGCCATATTTTAGGTATATACTGAATTTAATAAAAGAACACAACTCCATTTTATTAGATATTAACTGCATTTAATTATACATTTTTAAATGTGTTTAGGCATCAAGAAATCAATATAGAAGACTATTAAAAACATTTTGTAACAGTCAATACATTGACTTTAGCTTAATATGTTAACAAATGGAACTTGTAATGTAAAGAGTAACATAACAAAAGGCCTAAAAATAGTACAAATTCAATGTTGTAGGACAGATTATTAAAGTGAAAATGCTAATGTTTGGAAATAAATCACCTATTAAGTTTTCAAGTATTTGGCATGGTCACTACCGATACAACAAACTGAATACTACTTAAAAAGGCACTCTAAAAGATTAAATATTCAATAACTATTCACTGTATTTTGAAGTGGCCATAATATCAACATTGAGCAACATAATAGACATGCACAAATACACTTCATTAAACATGTAGACATAAACGTCACTTTTATACTATACTTCTGCAGGTCAACCATGTTTATTTATAATAACATTAACTGTTGAAAGCTATTAGTTACTAGTTAAAGTTATTAGTAAATACTAAAATTATGAAACTAATAATCTTAACTTTTCTGATTTTGACTGTAATGCAATAACATGCACATTTCATAAAGCTTTTTTGAAACAATAATTATTGTGAAAAGTGCTATACAAATAAACTTATATTTGAATATAATTAATATTGAATATCGACATAGGTCTACAACAGATGGACTATTCCGGTTTACCCATGTGGACGTCCAGGGCAGCTGATGATTTGTCAGTGGTGGGGTCACTGATGAGAATGGCTTTCAGACCATTTGTAAACTCGAGTCCTCGATACTCCCGTTTGTCTTCTGGAGAGCGAATGATATCACTCACCACCCTCTTGACAGCCGGATCACTCATTCTGATGGACAGAGTCGACACACGTCTGGACAAACAAAAGATTCATTCAGAATTCATTCAGGTCAGCTACTATCAAACAAACTCTAGTAAATGGTGATTTTTAAAATGCAAGACAGATGCTACAGTCACTTTGAAAGTAACAAAAACAATATACAGGCTAACTAAAAATTAATACACATGGCTCCAGTCCTGACAATAAAAAGTTTGATGAAAAAAAAACAATTATGTTTAATTAACAACCGCTTTAAATAGTCTTGAGCATGTTCGTGACAGTCTAAAACACAAAATTCCAGACACTTAAGACTGCAACGTTAGACCGTCCTCAGTGCATCATCAGAAACCAAAGTGTGTTTATTTTATTGTCTATTGTTATTTTAGAAACTCAAAATTTCATTAGTGACCATTATCCACAAAACCAGTAATATGTGCATATTTATTTGGAAATTTAAATCTCTAAATAAGCTTTTCATTAAGGCATGGTTAGTTAGGATTGCACAATATTTAGTCAAGATTCAACTATCCTAAAATATGGAGTGTGAGGGTTAAAAAAAATCCAAATAACGTAAAATAATAATAATAATAATAATAATAATAAGAAGAAGAAGAAGAAGATTTTGATAGATTTATAATAGGAAATTTTCATATTCTCCTTATCAAACATCTTTATTTTTTGGCATAAAAGTAAAATCAAACATTATGGCTTTCAATTGTCATATGGTTTGTCAGGATAAGCTTTCAATTGATGTAAAATTAAGTGTTATATTGACATATGCTAAATAAGCTTTCAATTCACACATGGTTTGTTAGGATTGGACAATATGGAGACTAAGGGTAGAAAAAAATCCAAATAATGTGAAAAATGTCACTTTTAAATTAAGTTCTTAGTGATGCATACTACAGTTTGATATCTTTATGATAGGAAATTTACATATTTTCCTCAAACTGGATAAAAGTAAAATCAACAATTTTGACCAATACAATACATTTTTGGCTATTCCTAGGCTAACACAGAATCTGCAGATTTTTACCCCATTATTGAGTCTATATTTTTACTTGTGTACAATGTGTCTAAATTTATATTTATCCAGTTTTTCAATTAATTTCACTAATATTACATGACATTATATTAATATTAAAATGTTCATGATTCATTTTATAAATTAAAAAGGTATTGCTTTTTAATCCATGTTATGTTTTTAGTTACATTACTAAATACAAAAATACTAATACAAAAAAAAAAAAAAAAGTCTGCAGATTCTGTCTGACCCTAGCTATTCCTGCACAATATAACCATGGAGCTTAAAAACCAACTATGAGATAACCTGGAGGTTTTTGTGGACCACCAAAGGACCTCAGTTTTAGCTAAATTCTTCTTTAAAATGTAATCTACATCTTAGAAGGGGTAAATGAATTCACACACAATAAAAACTTTTGGACTCTTATGCAACAAAATGAGTTACGTTATAAAGAAAGAACCTTTAATACAAAAAAATAGATTTTTTTCTCATTTAAATTTAGTTTTCACGTTAATTTTAAAATTAGTTTGAATGCAAATCGTACTTGCCTTAGCTTACATGTTAAAACGTGAAGTGTCAGTAATTTACAGTCCAATAGTTCATTTGAAACGTCCAGTCCACTAGATTAGTGGTTCAGTTCAAGTTCACTTTAAGTGAAACTTCAGTGCTTGAGCTGAAGTGTTAGTTTAATCTGTTTGGTTTACGGGTGCGTTGAAGGTTTTAGTTGATTTTAGGATTAACGTTAGTATATTGACGTAACTTAGTTTCGGTCAATTTGTTTGTTTTTAGCTCAAGTTTAGTTCAGTTTAAACAATCTAGTCGGCGTTTTAGCGTCTTTTTATATTTACTTAACGTTGAGTAACATAAAACCCAAAGCAAAACTCTAAAGACTCAGACATTTTCAAGTTAAGACATTAAATATACACACGTAATGACATGGTGAAATATATTGTGTCATCGTGAGCTAAAGCTACCGCGCGCGACAGCAAAACACGAGCCTGACGCCAGGAAACCGGGCCGCTCGCTGAAACAACTAAAAAACAGAGCAAATATGTATCACTTACCTAATACTTCGACCGAAAACCGTGGACAATATCATAAAATCGGAAGATAACTCGCTGTAAGGGCACACCGGCTAACACATTTCTGCATACTTCAGTGCTGGATAACAAAACTCAGCTTAAGACGTCAGGACGCCATGATTCCTGCAGACGTAACCAATCAATCTCAGAGCACGCACAGCGGCTTTACGTACATTTCGCGAATTTAAATGTAATAAATATTAGGAAGTATGTAAAATATATACGCATACGAAACGAATTTTCGAAACAAATAGGTTTTCAATACCGCTTTGTTTTACTGTTACTGAAGTTGTTGAAATTGCTTAGTCACGCCTTGTGTGTGATTGACGTTATGAAACAAACCACACCCACAGCCCGGTTTAGCGGCGAGTATTTAAAGAGACCCCAGATTTAAGCGTCCAGCTGTCACTGCATGTGGACTTACAAGTTGAGAAAATTAAGGATAAATATCTGAGACAGAATTTCTTTTGTAAGATCGCTCGGTATGTTTTGGTAGACAACATGCACATGGATTCATGTGTATATAATAGGTTACACTGTTGGGAAACTAAGTGTACAAGGGATGAGCAAAAATACATTGAAATGTATTTTAAAATCAGATACCTCCTCTTTAGGTGTATCAAAATAAACTACTACAGTAGCCACAAATGCATTAAAATAAAATGCTGTATTTATTTTTTTTAAATACTACAAAATACCTTTATAAGCATGAACCTTATTTGCAAATCTTCCATGGATCGACCTATTCGATAAATCCCTTCACTGTAAAACATGAAGTAAACTATATTTGATAGCAACAGCTTGTCTCTGAGCAAGTTTGAACAGATTATCTGCCACCTTGTTCAACTAGATATCCTATTTTTTTTATTTTTTATTGATTTAGCATATTTTTTGTACACATTTCATACAAACAGCCCCGTTCAATGCAGATAATGAGTTAGAATATAGTACTGTTGATTGTGTTTACACTCATTATGCGTCCAGAAAAAATTATATAGTCTCTGTTTAATGATTATTCAACCTATTAACATTCTTATATTTGAAAAGGCTGATAAATCAAATGTATATATCAAAACAGCAGTATCAGCAGTTTGGGAGATTAACGTAGTAAACGACGACTTAGGCGATTTGTTACTCTGAATTGTGTGAATTACTGTCGAATTTACATTTGTAATGATCAAGTTGCTTGTTTTATAATATTTAGTAAAAGCTACAGCCTAAAAGAGTTGTAAATAACAATAGCAAAATCTGTAAAATAGCACCAAAAACAAAATATAAAAAGGAGTATGTGTCTACCGTAACCGTCATGCTGCTTAATTTCGCCTGTTCACTCGTCCGACAGGTGGCACGCCGTGATCGTATAGTGGTTAGTACTCTGCGTTGTGGCCGCAGCAACCCCGGTTCGAATCCGGGTCACGGCAGTATTTTGTCTCTTTATTTTCGCGATTTACTTTTACAGGTTATTAATTAAGCAACTCACAGAACACGATAAGTATAAAGAAGCATCAAACAGCAACGTTTTGTTAATCTAAACAAGCTTGTTGTTGATGCGTTATATTGTCTCACGTGACCTCTAACACTAAAGCCATGTTCATTTGGAAGCAATGAAAATATTTCGGCAACACTTTATAACAATGGTCCCTTAGTTAATGTTAGTTAATGCATTTACTAACATTAAATAAGTATGAATAATCTAGTGAAGCATTTATTAATCATAGTTCAAGATTTAATGATGCATTATTAAAATCCGAAGCTTTGCTTGCTAACATTAGTTAATGCACAGTGAGTTAACTTGACCAAACTAACATGAATTAATCAATAAGATCTCCAATTAATTTTATATTACTTAACTTTATTTAATTAAAAACATTATCTAATGTTAACAAAGATGAATAAATACTATAATAAATTTATAATCTATTGTTTGTTCATGTTAAGAAGTACTTTCCCAGTACTGGGTTGAGGCAGCTGGAAGGACATGAAACATATCCTGGAGTTGGTGGTTCATTCCGCTGTAGTGACCTCTGATAAATAAGCTGTAGGAAAATGAATGTTAGTAAGTAGATGAAGTAACATTAACTAATGGACCATTATTATAAAGTGTTATTTATTTACATAATTAAAAATGAATGGCTTTGAAATATTTAATCTCTCTTATAATAATAATTCAAATATAAGACAGATTTTATAATTTAAACACAGAAAACCCTAGAAGAAGTCGTTTTTTAACATTGAACAAATTTGGCTATAAAATATTGGTAGCATACAGTTGAAGTCAAGACGCCGTGGTGCAGTAGGTAGTGCTGTCACTTCACAGCAAGAAAGTCGCTGATTCGAGTCTTGGCTGAGTCAGTTAGCATTTCTGTGTGGAGTTTGCATGTTCTCCCTGTGTTTGCGTGGGTTTTCCTCCTTGTGCTCAGGTTTCCAAAGACATGCAGTTCAGGTGAATTGGGTAAAGTTGTCTGTAGTGTGTGTAAATGGAGTGTTTCCCAGTGATGGGTTGCAGCTGGAAGGGCGTCAGCTGCGTAAAACATATGCTGAATAACTTGGTGGTTCGTTTCGCTGTGGCGACCCCAGATTAATAAAAGGACTAAGCCGAAAAGAAAATGAATGAAAGAATGAATGTTAATAGAGCAAGGAAATTTTTACAGTGTCTGATAATATTATTTCTTCTGTAGAGAGTCTTATTTGTTTTATTTCTGCTAGCATAAAACCAGTATTTGATTCTTCTAAAAAACATTTAAGGCCAATATTATTAACCCCTTTAAGATATATATTTTTGATTGTCTATACTGAACAAATCCTCATTATACAATAACTTGCCTAATTACCCTAACCTGCCTAGTTAACCTAATTAACCTAGTTAAGCCTTTAAATGTCACTTTAAGCTGTATAGAAGTGTCTTGAAAAATATCTAGTCAAATATTATTTACTGTCATCATGGCAAAGATTAAAGAAATTAGTTATTTGAAATGGTTTGAGATATCTTAACTTTTTGGGTTTAGCAGTGTTTCATTCATTCATTCATTTTCCTTCTGCTTAGTCTGTTTTCCAGCCGCAACCCAGTATTGGGAAATACCCATACACACTCATTCACACACACACACACACACACCAATTTTAGTTTATTCACTATACCACGTGTCTTTGGGGGAAACCAGAGCACCCGGAGGAAACCCACACGATTTAGGCTATTTGTTCCCATTTATTTATTTCTTATTCATTTTTTCTCCCTCACTTATTGTTTATCGATATTATTTTTGGATTTTTGTCAACATTTCTTATAATTCATACTTTTCATCCAAAAAAGAAGCCTTGTGTTATTATTGAACACTTCCACTAGATGGCGATGTTGCAATTTCTAAGAATAGGAATCAAAACATCCTTGATATGAACTGAGATATCAACACCCGGTAGTTTCCCAATGTCACTTCGGTTATATGTCGTGTATGGCGAACTATATAGTTACATACAATGAATAAAAACACATTTAGATCGAATAAAAAGGATTGTTTTTAAATTTCACGACTCTGTCAGGAATATGTGTGAAGTTTGATCATCACAATGACTGACTGAAGGTCTGATGCACCTGCTGATCCTGCTGGTCGATGTTTGACTTTGTGTCGCTCCTCCTTCATAACCACAAAACCCTGCTTTAAAACTCACTGAAACCCAGTCAGTCGCAGGCCAGCAGACCCTCTTTATTGATATATTATTTCAAAAGAGTCAAACATGGAGACAGCTTTCTCACATCCACCCCAATCCAGCAGCAGTAAGAGGAAAGTGATCGCGGTGGTGGGAGGCGGTTTGGTGAGAATCACTTCGTCTTTATGACATGATTACATATCTAACAATGCTCTCAATTTAGTACCATAGTACAGTTTCAATCAAATATAAGATTTTCCTTGAAGAATCAGGCAGAAAACGAAAGAGAAATGAAAGTAAAAGTTACATTTGTTGTCTGAAGTTTTATTAAAATTTCTCATTTCAGACCATGTTATTGCTTATTTAACAGATTGAGTTATCAATTTTTTTTCAAATGTAATCTTTGCTAACCAGAGATCGTAATTACTATAACTTAGAACATGTTAATGATTGCCAGAGTGGTTATGAAACTCTGTAAATGTTTCATCTCAGTACATGTGTTGACATTGTCGTCTCAAAAGATGGCAAAATTTCGACTTTAGTGTATTTAGTGTGCTTTTTTGTAAATAGTGTGTACACTGACAAGTTAACAAGAGACATTTCAAATCTAGCCTTTAATATTTTGTCAAGTAAAATAAATCATATTTGAAATTTAATGATTCACCCTGCACCATAAATATTCATCAATACAAATTATCTAAATTGTCATTCACCCTGATGACAATTTCTTTTTACCAATGTTTAAATGTAATATATGATACTGTCATATGCGTAACTTATATGAGCACTATCAAACAAGTAGCAGTGCGATATGGCTTTTTATCGGCAGTGCTGGGAGGTGTGCATTGAGTGTCCCACCTGTGCCGATATACAGCCATGCTACACTGCTACGAGTTATATTGCTTTTACACAATAGTTGCACAGCATAATCGTGTGTATAAAAAATCAAATCAAACACGGAGCGTCTCAAAGTCCTTTTGTATGAGGATCTACTTTCTTCCGCCACTCATTCACAAACACAGCTGACGTCAGAACAGCGCCATTGCTACTTCATAAACGTCACTTTAGAACTATTGTTTGAATGATTCTCTAGCGTAATGTCTAAAGTGATGACAAAACAGGTGATTTTGCTCATATTTTAAGATTATATCGCTAAACGGCATGAAATGCCATCAGTCTAGAGACGTTTCCCAGTATTTAGCAATCAGGATATCACAATAAGTAACCCCAGAAAAAGCCAAAGCAACGCAAACACTACCAGAATACTGTTATGTTTCTGACAAGGAAAAACGCTAAACACATGCAGGCATTTCTTCTTTCTTTCTTTTTACTGAACTATGCTGCAGTAACGAAAACAGGAGATTCATTAAAACAGATGGCCAACCAAAAAAGTAACTCAGGGTTATACAAAGAGTGGCCAACACAAAATAGATTCATTCCTGATATGCGAGTCCCATCTCACACTCAATACACTACAATTATTTGGTATAAATACAGCACTGCAAAATACAAAAAAAAAAGAAAGATGGACTTAGAATGTCACCAGTTTAATAATGATTTGATCAGCTAGTTTTGTGGAGTTTATTTCTAAACTAATTTCGAGAGGATCACGTGCTGGTCATGCATTAGTCAATTAACTATAATTACTTTTTGTAAATACTTTTCTTAATATATAAAAAGTTACATATCACAGCCATCTTCGTTTCGAAAAATCTCCCCTTCCACCCCTACTTCTCCTCCTTTCTTAGACGGGTGGCACTGTGGCCCAGTGGTTAGATGTGCTCCTAGTAAGTAGTTATCTCTTAAGAGCAATCTATCTGTCCCTATCTGTTCATTAGCTTCTATAACAGGGGAGTTTTTGAAATCTACCTGAGCTCAAATTCCCCTCTCGCCCTGCAATGGGAGGGAGCCCTGGGCTCGAGGATCTAATGAGCTCAGGGCTCTCTCCCAGGACAGCATACCAAACAAGCTTTATAATCAATCATCAGGTAAGTGTGAACTCTTGAAAATATGCTTAAAAAGGTCATAGTTAAGTAAAAAATAGGTCACTTGCCAGAAGCCCTAAAATAAATGTTACTTTCAACACTTTTGCAAAATGTATATGATAGTAAATTATTAATTACTATGCTATGAAATGTTTACACTGCACTCAAAATACATTTCAATGCATTTAATAGTATTATCATGGTATAAATTGAGGAAAAACTCACTTTGATACTTGTGTTTTAGTTAGTGCATTCACTGATATTATTGTCATAATGCATTTCTTATTCTAACCCTGTCAATTCAGGTTGGATCTTTGAACGCCTGCTTTCTTGCCAAACGGGGTTTTGATGTTGAAGTCTATGAATCTCGGGAAGGTTAATACATAATCCATCTCCTAAACTAGCTTTCACTAATTGATTTGATTCTCTATCTTTGTATTATCGCTCTACTTTTTTTATTCACAATCTGAAAAACCTGAGGAATGATTATGGTATTTGAACTAATCTTCTTTTTTCATGCATGATAGATATTCGGCAGGCTAAAGTCGTGAAGGGTCGAAGCATCAACCTGGCCCTTTCCCACAGGGGACGGCAGGCCTTAAAACATGTGGGGATGGAGGATAAGGTGAGTTTATTCATTTAAATGCATTCCTTGTAGATGTTTAATGCACCATTTGGTTTTTGTTCATCTCATTATTCAGATTTTGCATGCAATGATTATAGTTGAGAGTCACTCAAATTAATATGCTGACATAAAAACATGTTCATTCTAATAAATAATGCACAGCACAGTGCTTTGAATAAGAAATAGGTAGTCATTAGATGCTTTTATCCATAAACTCTTAGAAATAAAGGTAGAAGAGCTGTCACACTTTTGTTTCTAAAGAGTTTATATTGGTACCAAAACTGTACAGTAGTACACTACCTGACGAAAGTCTTGTCGCCTATCCAAGTTTTAGGAACAACAAATATTCTTAATTATTTAATTAGGACAGTAAGGTCTGACTTTGCTGAGACAAGTCTTGTCACAAACAGAAATAATGTACAGTATAGAATATAAAGTCATGGTGCAGTGGAAACAAGATGAATATTGTGTATGACTTCCATGAGCTTGGAGGACTGCATCCATTCATCTCTGCAATGACTCAAATAACTTATTAATAAAGTCATCTGGAATGGCAAAGAAAGTGTTCTTGCAGGACTCCCAGAGTTCATCAAGATTCTTTGGATTCGTCTTTAATGCCTCCTCCTCCATCTTACCCCAGACTTGCTCAATAATATTCATGTCTGGTGACTTTGCTGGCCAATCCTGGAGCACCTTGACCTTCTTTGCTTTCAGGATCTTTGATGTGGAGGCTGAAGTATGAGAAGGAGTGCTATCCTGCTAAAGTGTTTGCCCTCTCCTGTGGTTTGTAATGTAATGGGCAGCACAAATGTCTTGATACCTCAGGCTGTTATTGTTGCCATTCACTCTGCAGATCTGTCGCGCGCCCCCATACTGAATGTAACCCCAAACCATGATTTTTCCTTCACCAAACTTGACTGATATTTGTGAGAACTTGGGTCCATGCGGGTTCCTTCTGCAGTATTTGTGATGATGCAGTTAATCTCTGCAACTTTTCCAAATGATCAAGTCAAGTTATTATTTGTTGCTCTTACAGCTGGGATAGACAACAAGACTTTTGTTAGGTAGTGTACATCTTTTGACATTGTTTGGAAATAATTTGCAGTACTGGGGTCCGTTCTTCGTACGTGGATTACTCAGTTAGCTGGATTTGGATATTGACGATTTGACACGATCCAGGATCGTTTCGTTCTTCAAAGCTGATCCGAGAGTTGTTGTCATAGCAACAGTTCTGCTAGGTCAAACCTGATCGGGAGCAGGTTCAAATCATATAAACAGGATTAGATCGGCTCAGTTCAAGCAAAGATAATACAGAAAGTATGTTCCGAATTCTGATATTTTCTTACAGTAGTAGTTCTATACACTTGGAAAAATGGTACATATTTTTTAACTATATATATATAAAGTTATAGTCATTAATAAAATAAATAAAGTTATACATATTATTAAAACGTATGCAATCTGCACCCTCGAAATGAAAGTACAAAGACTGCCACCTGGTGCAAAGAGAAAACTTATTGATATGAACTTTTTAGATCGCTTTAGTACAAATAGTGTATAATAGAAATGCAGAATATGTGACTTTTTTAAAGCAATAATACATTTATGCAGTCATAAACATGTTTTGATAGTTAATATGCCGGTGATTTGATGCTTCACAAAAGTTGCAGACCCCTTTACCAATATGAAAATGTTTTTGTAAACAACCAGTTATTCTTTACACCGATTAAAAAACGGCTACTATAATAAAGAAAATCTTTTCTAAACGTAGAACTAAATACATTTATTTGCATTGAAATGCATGATGAATACTCTTGTCTTGACAAATGAAAGTTTAAGCCTGCAGCTCACAACAAATGTGGAAGGTTATTGCGTGTCATATTTAACAAGCCGTTTACTGCTAATTTGATGTAATTTTGCTCACATGGATAATTGAATATTAATCAGATGATGTCATTACGCTGCTGTGCCGTCAGCCAATCGTTGCATTGCTGATCATGATTTCGAGGATCGATAGATCTGTCCTTCACAACACACGCAGCGATCTCAGATCAGTTTATCCAGACATTCTAATCTGATTCGCGAACTTGTTTGAAGAACCAAATTAGCGAGAGATCAGTTATCAAGATTAAAAGATCCAGGATCTGCCAAATCATCTTAGATCATTTAAGCGAGGTACGAAGAACGGACCCCTGGTTGTGACTAGTTACTGTTATTGAATTACTTTTACACTGGAAAAAGAAAGGAAGGATTACTTTTCATTTTTAGTATGGTTTGACTCAAATTGATAGAATTAAAAAAGGTAAAGTATTATAATATATGCATTGGGATTTATATATTTAAAGTAGCAATTAGTCAATTAATTAAATTAAACCTATGTAGAACATGTTAGATATAAACTTTAAACAGTGACACTTTATTCATTACGTAATCACATTGTGAATGAGTAAATGTTGTTTTACCTGACGCTAAACACTTTGGAAGCAATTTAAATATATTTCAGGAACATTTTAAAATATTGGTCTATTAGTTGATGCCTTTGCTAAAATTTAATAAGTATGAATAATCTAGTGAAGCATTTAATAATCATAGTTAAGATTTACAAGACTTTTGTTAGGTAGTGTACATCTTTTGACATTGTTTGGAAATAATTTGCAGTACTGGTTGTGACTAGTTACTGTTATTGAATTACTTTTACACTGGAAAAAGAAAGGAAGGATTACTTTTCATTTTTAGGTAATTTAATTACAGTTACTTAAAATGTATTTAAATACTGTAAATAAATTGATCAGTCATTAATCTGTTATTCAATTATTTTGCATAATAATCAGATTTTTCCAGTGAAGGAGGTTAGGTTAGTCTTGCAATTGGGCATGATTAAGAAACAATGGATTGAGTGAGAATTTAAATCAGGATGTACGACATATGGTGTCATTACATTACATACAAGTATGGTTTGACTCAAATTGATAGAATTAAAAAAGGTAAAGTATTATAATATATGCATTGGGATTTATATATTTAAAGTAGCAATTAGTCAAGTAATTAAATTAAACCTATGTAGAACAAGTTAGATATAAACTTTAAACAGTGACACTTTATTCATTACGTAATCACATTGTGAATGAGTAAATGTTGTCTTACCTGACGCTAAACACTTTGGAAGCAATTTAAATATATTTCAGGAACATTTTAAAATATTGGTCTATTAGTTGATGCCTTTGCTAAAATTTAATAAGTATGAATAATCTAGTGAAGCATTTAATAATCATAGTTAAGATTTACTAATGCATTATTAAAATCACTAACAGAGTTAACATGAACTAACATTAATTCATTTGAATTAAAAGAGTTAGCGTTTAATTATCCGTGCATTGGGATTGATATATTTAAAGTACACTGTAAAAAAAAAATCTATTATTTAACTTTTTTTTTTCCGGCAGCTGGGCCGTTAAATTACAAAGATTTACCATAAATTAATTTAAGTTAAGGATGAGGCAGTGGCGCAGTAGTTAGTGCTGTCACCTCACAGCAAGAAGGTCGCTGGGTCGCTGGTTCGAACCTCGGCTCAGTTGGAGTTTCTGTGTGGAGTTTGCATGTTCTCCCTGCCTTCGCGTGGGTTTCCTCCGGGTTCTCCGGTTTCCCCCACAGTCCAAAGACATGCGGTACAGGTGAATTGGGTAGGCTAAATTGTCCATAGTGTATGAGTGTGTGTGTCAATGTGTGTGTATGTTTCCCAGACATGGGTTGCAGCTGGAAGGGCATCCGCTGCATAAAAACTTGCTGGATAAGTTGGCAGTTCATTCCGCTGTGGTGACCCCGAATTAATAAAGGAACTAAGCCGACATGAAAATGAATGAATGAATAATTTAAGTTAAATTACAGAGATTAACCGTAAAATAATGGACATTATATAACAGACATTTACTGGAAAATAACAGACATTAAATTACCGACATTTACTGTAAAATAACGGAAGTAAAATTACAGAGATTTACCATAAAATAACGGATTTTAAATTACATTAACTGTAAAAAATGGATGTTAAATTACAGAAATTGACTGTAAAATAACAGACATTAAATTACAGACATTTCCTGCAAAATAACGAATGTTAAATTATAGACATTTACCATAAAATAACGGATTTTAAATTACATTAACCGTAAAAAATGGATGTTAAATTACAGAAATTGACTGTAAAATAACAGACATTAAATTACAGACGTTTACCGTAAAATAATAGATGTTAAATTACAGACATTTAACGTAAAATAACGGACCTTAAATTGCAAACATTTACAGTAAAATAACAGATGTTAGGTTACAGACATTTATCGTAGAATAACAACCGTAAAATTACAGACATTTACCGTAAAATAATGGACGTTAAATTACAGACATTTACTGTAAAATATTAAACGTTAAATTACAGACATTTACTGTAAAATAATAATCGTAAATTACAGACATTTACCATAAGTAATTTATAGTAAAATAACTAACATTAAATTACAGACATTTACTGTAAAATAACAGATCTTAAATTACAATCATTTACAATAAAATAACGGATGTTAAATTACAGAGATTTACTGTAAAATGATGGATGTTAGGTTACAGACATTTACCGTAAAATAACGAATGTAAAATTACAGACATTTACCGTAAATTAACAGATATTATATCACAGACATTCACCGTAAAATAACAAAACTTAAATTACAAACATTTATTGTAAAATAACAGATGTTAAATTACAGAAATTTCCTTAAATTAAAATTTCCAGTATGTTTACCGTTGATTATTTTATGATAAATTTCTGTAATTTAACGGCCATTATTTAATGTTTTTTTCTGCCACTCAGCTGCTGGAAAGAATATGTAAAATAATGGATTTCTTTGGTAAGTAATTAAATAAGACGTACTTATTGAGTATTACTGTAAGTTACTTTTCAGACCAAGCAATTGGAAAAGTCATTTTAATACAAATATAATGATGTAATTAGTACTTAACAATTTTTTCCTCCACTACTGTTAATGTATGCCTTTAAGATCCCAATATTAAGCTTTTAGTCAAAAAAATGTACCTTTTGGAAAGGTAATGCCTTAGTGACATGTCTGGTACCTTTATTTCTGAGAGTGTAAAGAATTATGATCCACTTACGAAAGAGACAATCTCCCTGGAGCTGGGTTTATTATTTTACATATCACAATCAATGTTTTATTTCACATTTTTTGCAGTATGCAATTGCTTATTCATAAAGAACCTGCCTTGTAGTATTGCTTATGAATTCTGTGACGGCTGAGCTGATCTCAAACTTTTCCACAGAGGGAAGTAAAGAAAGTACAGCGAGGAAGTGTGACCATGCGAAACTAGGTCAGAGAGTACTTACAGAGAGCATGCCATGCACAGTCAGGCTTAAACTTTGAATTTTAGTGCATAATTGTGCTGTATTTCCAATCCAGTGTCTCTGTGATTTGGTTATTTCACACTTGTGTGACTTTTCAGCCTGAGGGAGTCAGGAATGCCAGATCAGGATCTCTGCATGAGTTATTGAAGCCTGAATTAACAGGACACTGGCCGCAACACAAGCTTAGGTGTTTCAACCTACGTTTTGAAACCACAAAAATGTACCTAAACATATATTTGACAGCTGTTTCTAGGTAAAATTAATGCTACACTCCCAGAAATAGGAACAAAGTTGCATTATACTGCACTGTTCACACAGATTTTCAAGTTACAAAATCTGTCACTGGGGCGATATCTTTTCAAAATGTACATTTCTTTCCTAACAGGTGCTTAAAGGTACATATGAACACCTAAAAAGAACAAATGTGTACCTTAAAGTACCTTAAAGGTACAAAAGTGCACCCTAAAGCAGTGGTCCCCAACCCCCAGGCCACGGACCGAATCAACTGGTTCCGGGCCGCACAAGAAATCATGAATTATTTCTGTTTTATTTATTATCCAAGTCTGAACGATTTGTTATTTTGAAAAATCTTTTATTTTGAAGAATGATTGTATTCTCTCGGTTACATCTTGATCACTTGAGCGCCATAATTTAACCCACAAGCTAGCAAAATAGTTAAGTTAGAAAACAGATGTCTTTGTAAAGTCTCCATTGAAGCATCCACAAACTGTCAAGGTATGGATCAGCAACCCATTTGTCAACAAATCGGGTGAATCCAGCATGTCTGTGCAAGAAAAAGATCAACTGCTGAAGATCGCAATTGACGGCAGGCACTCACAAATCACGTCTTTTCCATGAGCAAGTTAATTATTGTGAATGGAGGCGCATGGCTTGTGTAGTCGTATTGGAAATGATACACCGAGCGCACCCTGAAAACATCTTCAGAATGGCACAAGCGAACCGCGAGTCATGTGATAAGAACTGACAGATCAGCTTCATATTTTGACACTGCAGTGCTTTTTAGTTTTCGCCATAAATAAAACTTGTATCAGAGTTGCAGCAATGTTTTGTAGACATGTCATCCTCTGAGAAAATGATTGATGGTCGACTAGCAATCTCCATACACCCCTACCCCCTCCAGGCCACAGTAAAATTGTCAAGCATTGATGTGATAAAAAGGTTGGGGACCACTGCCCTAAAGGTATTAATGTCCACCTGTATGGTACAAAAGTCTACCTTTTGAAAAGATCCCGTCTTAGAGACAGATTTTGTACCTTAATTTCCGCGTATGTACAGTGCAGTATGATGCAACTTTTGTTCCTTTTCACACTAATAATATTTACAGCGACAAATTATCAATGAATAAATAATTATTTTTTTGTGTAGTTTTTTCGCAAAACACCAAATAAAATAACACCATCGCCTCTTCTGTCTATCTCCATTTGGACAGCATTTCTGTTGTCATCAGTTTGCTTGGTAGATCTCTTTGTATGGTGGTGTAGAGCCCACCATACAAAGAGCGGTTATACATGAGCGGTTATACTTGAGACAATAAGATACCAGCAGAGGGCGTCAAGTGAAGAACGGTTACACAAGAGACAATAAGAGACCTGCGGTCTGTGTCGGTCCTAACACCCTGGTGTAATGAGGAGAACTCTATACTGCTCAGTGAGCACCGCCTTTCGGATGAAGTTCTAACCCTATGTGGACGTTAAAAATCTAAGGATGTTCTTCGAAAAAAAATAGGGGTTTACCCTTGGCATTCTGGCCAAATTTGCCCTGCTCTGTCCATCATGGCCTCCTAACCACCGATCAGCTGGGGTATGGTGTGTGGTGTGCGGTCTGGTGCAAAATGGCTGCCATCTCGTCATCCAGGTGGATGCTGCACACTGGTGGTGGATGAGGAGATTCCCCCAAAAAATGCGTAAAACGCTTTGAGCGTCCAGAAAAGTGCTGTATAATTGTAAGTTGTTATTATTATTATTATAAAAAATAGAATCAAATTAAAACTATGTGGTCGCAGTGCACTTTTCTCTTATATTTGTGGTTTTAAAAACACTGTTGTTTGGGTTTAGGGAAGGTCAGTCGTTTGCTTAGTGATACATACCCTAAGTAACAAATTTCATATTTGCAAAAATGTAGACAGCGCCCTCTAATAAATTTGCTATCTAAAACATGCAACAAAACAGATTGATGGACGTAGCTGTGAGCTCTTTTTGTTTGAAAAGCAAAATGTGATTTATCCAGGACATCCGCCTGGATCAACATCTTTTGTCGGTCTTGGAACAACATTACAGTCAATCTAGATTCTAGATCATTTCGAAATTAGATTTTGGGGATTTAATAAAGGCTTTAACCACATTTGTTTTAATTTTAACCTCTCTCTCTCTCTCTCTCTCTCTCTCTCTCTCTCTCTGTCTCTTTCTCTGCAGGGATTCATTCATTCAGAAAAAAATGTAGCAGCTCTGTATTCAACACTGTCATTACAAATAATAATCGTTTTTACAATCGTTTGTAATAGTCTTTAATAATATAATAATCACTACACATGTTTCTTGAGCATTATTTTAGTTCTGAAAAGTCAGGTGATAAGAGCAAAGTTTTGTCATCAAATAAATGAATACATTTTTAAAAAATATCTTAAAATAGGAAACAGTTATTTTCATTTGTAATAATGTTTTACAGTACTACTGTTTACTTTTTTTCAAATAAATACAGGAGAAGGATATTAGACTTCATTAAAAATATTTTATGGATTTAATATAAAATTATATATAAAAAGGTGCATTCTGTTTTTTTTTACAGTATTAACGCTCATATATTGTATTAAAGTGCATCCGGAAAGTATTCATAGCGCTTCACGTTTTCACTTTTTTTTTTTAATGTTACAGCCTTATTCCTAAATAAATTGAATTCCTTTTGGAAAAAGGCTTCAACGTAAAAAATGTGGGAAAAGTGAAGCGCTATGAATTCCGGATGCACTGTAAATGATGAAGTGAGTGGATAGAATGGATGGAATATGGACAGAATCTAGCCGGGAGTCAATATCTATATGCTCACTTAACCACTAGGCTATTGGGGCCAACATTATGACTATGTTTTAATAAAATTTTTTTGCAGATCGTCTCTAAAGGTATCCCAATGCATGCTCGCATGATCCATAATGTGAATGGAAAACGTTCCCCAATACCCTATGGCAAGAAGGGACAGGTAACAATAATCATTTGCAGATATGCACATTCATATACTCAGTAGTGTAAACTATTACATGCTACCTTGTTTTTCACTCAGTAAAGCCAAGTCAAAGGTCATTAAATAGTATAGCACTCTTTACAATACACATTGTTTCAAATCAACTTTAGAGCAAATCTTTAAAACCAATCTCATTCACATGACAGTGGTTAAGCTGCACAGTTATAGGGTTATTCACCTGCTATAAGGACATTTACATCAGGTATACATTGACTGACTGAGTCTGTTTGCTGAAATATAACATTGGTATATCATGACCAGTGAACCCAGCAGAGTCAATACAACCTTCCCCTTAAAACAAGTTTGTTAATCATTACAATCGTATTGCTCACATAAAAGTGGCGATTAGGACTTTGGAATGGTCTTTTCTCATCTTTTCATGAAAAATGAGCACTTAGGACTAGTTTTTCTGTCACAACACACCCATAAAATAATACAGTAAAAAAATTTTCATTAAAAATATTTAAAATATACATAAATGTTAATGCATATTGAACGAGTAAAATGACATCAAAATCAACAGTTTGACAATATCTGAATCTGAATGTAGCTTGAGCAGCTTGCTTTATGTTATTAAACTTTCTGAAACAACTTATTTTAATAAACGTAAACATGTAGTTGCAATAATATTGTGTATTTAATACAATAATGCAATGCCATATATATACAATAATGGAATAATTTGAATGTTTAGGGACATTTTAGGTCATCAGAATGCTTAATTTCATAAACATAAAAATAGGATGCGTAATTTGAATATTTTTGCATAATAGCACATTTGGGACCTTTTCTGTAAGGACACCAGACTACAGTTTTGAATATTATATATATATATATATATATATATATATATATATATATATATATATATATATATATATATATATATTTGCAAATTAGTATGTTTACATTTGTGCACAGCTTTGTAGGCCATAAAAATACAATTTCTAAATGTAATAAGTTTTATTGGGCATATGATTTGAATGGTTTTGGATATTATTACACTTGCATTTTTGGCCCATAGGTCATCAGAATTAAAAGGTATGAACAAAAAATAGGTAAAAAAGTAAAAAGTATTTAATTAGAATAATTTACATATGAAATCTGTGACAGAAATTGAAATTTATGAACAATATATAAATAAGTAAATAAATAAAAAAGTAAAAAAGTAAAAGGATGAATAATTTATATTATTTTGCACATTTAATATATTTACATATTTAGGGTTTTAAGCTAAAATCTATAAATGAAACACTATAATAAAAAGTTGTGTGTGTATGTTTCCATCACTGGGTTGCAGCTGAAAGGCCATCCGCTGCGTAAAACATATGTTGGATAAGTTGGCGGTTCATTACACTGTGGCGAGCCCAGATTAATAAAGGGACTAAGCCAAGAAGAAAATGAATGAATTATATAAGCATTTTCTATAATTCAATATATAAGCGATTAATGCATGAATATTCATAGCTTTCCATGTACAGTAAGTGCATTTAAAAAAGCTGAAGTTTCTCTGACCCATTTTGTGCTTCATGAGGCTTCCTGCGATTATGATTATTATAAATCAGCAGATGGACAGAAACAGAAGACCGTCGAAATCATTAGCTTATTACTTCTGCTGTGTAATCTTCTCTTAAAACACAAACACACACAGAGTGTAAAAGGCTGGCAGCAGCTATGTATGTCATGATGCTTTTAAACAGTTCGGCATCTAAGCTGTGGATTAAAGTTCCTTTCAGGTGAATGAAGTCTATGTCTGTCATCAATCCATCGTTTTAGAGCTCAAAATATCCCAGATAATCCAGAACATGCATAACAGAGATTAAACTTCTGCCTGACAGACTCTAAACACCCTGTCTGTTCAGTGTCAAGCTGTTCTTTCTTTTGCAGTACATCCTCTCCGTGGACAGAGCAAACCTCAACAAAGAGCTGCTAACAGGTAATAGTTTGCTTAAAAAGCATTCTGAAACATGCAAAATGCCCAACCCTGGCTCATTCTGATTACATACCCCTATATACATTTCTTTCGAGAGCAAAATACGTCCCAGGAGCTACGTTGTTTTCAACCCAAGCTTATTCTGAAAACGTAGTCCCGCGGACGTTTCTTAAGACAGCGGAATACATCCCGGGGGATATGTACGGCTGCGTTTATTTTTTTCAAGCGAACGCTGCGGGGCGGTGTGACGCTGTTCCCTTTTGCGCTTGCCTTACCTCCTTGTGGAGGGCTTCCCCGCTGCAACCCGTTTGTCCACTCAGCGTGTACGTCCGCAGGCTCGAGATGCAGAGAGGAGTCGACCACGGCCAACGGTTTCGAGTCCGGGGAAGAGCGGTTCCAGCAATCAGGTAAGACGAAAACAGAATCCCAAAAATTAAGTGAACGAGTTTCGTGACAGTGTGAGAACGCGGTGAAATCCGAAAACGCGGTAGAAAAAAAAAAAATCAGGGCTTTTATTTTTTTGGACGGCTTTTTGTAAACTGTTGCTCAGGTTTAGGGAAGCGAGCGGGCGGGCTGGTCGATCGGTAAAATTGGTTGGGTTCAGGGAAGGAGGTGGGCGGGTCGGCCGATTGGCAGGTCGCGCAGTCAATCATCCGGTCAGTCGGACAGCGGCCTCTGGTGGGTTCACGCGAGAACAGCGCGGGCGCGAACCGCACTCGCGAGAGGCGTCTGAGACGCAAAAAAATGCACAACAGCAGCCTCTCGCGGATTCGCTAAAACAAAATCTGCTGCCGTACGTACCCGCCGGGACGTATTCCACAGTCTCCAGAAACATCCGCGGGACTACGTTTCCACAATGAGCCTGGGTTGGTTGTTTTGCAGTTTTTGTTTCTGTGAGTCCACCAGAGGCTGCTGTTTATGCATTTTCAGATCTCAGATTTCTCTCGTGAGTGCCATTCGCGCCTGCTGTTCTCACGTAAATCCACCAGAGGCCGCTGTCGACTGACTCATTTACTGACGACCAATCTTCCCACCCTCCCCCTTCCCTAAACCCAACCAATAGTGTTTTAAAAAGCACTGATTAACCCGCCCACCCCCTTCCTTAAACCCAACTATAGTGTTTAAAAAAGCAATCCAAAAAAAGAAAAGCCCCCACGTTTTCCGATTTGACCACATTCTCACCCTGTTATTTACTTGTTTATTTTATTTTTTACCTTTTGTTTTTGTCTGTCCTGCTTTCTGGAACTGTTCTTCATCAGACTCAAACCCCTTCGCCGCTGTTAAGTCTGCCATTGTACGTGTCAAACTACCGGACAAACTAGTAACAGCGGGAAAGCCGTCCATACGGAGGTAAGCAGTCAGCTGGTAAGCACGAAAAGGAACAGCATAATACCGAACTGCCTTAATCCTCCATGGCATAGACTCAACAAGACATTGGAAATATTCCTCAGAGATTTTGCTCCATATTGACATGATAGCATCACGCAGTTGCTACAGATTTGTCGGCTGCACATCCATGTTGCGAACTCCTGTTCCACCACATACCAAAGGTGCGAAAATATCCCCCACACCATTACAGCATCACCAACAGCCTGAACCTTTGATAAAAGGCAGAATGGATTCATGGTTTCATGTCGTTGACGCCAAATTCTGACCCTACCATCTGATTGTCACAGCAGAAATCGAGACTCATCAGACCAGGCAACGTTTCTCCAATCTTCTATTGTCCAGTTTTGGTGAGCCTGTGGGAATTGTAGCCTTAGTTTCCTGTTCTTAGCTGACAGGAGTTTCACCCGGTGTGGTCTTCTGCTGCTGTTGCCCATCCGCCTCAAGGTTGGACGTATTGTGTGTTCAGAGATGCTCTTCTGCAGACCTCGGTTGTAACGAGTGGTTATTTGAGTTACTGTTGCCGTTCTATCAGCTGGAACCAGTCTGGCCATTCTCCTCTGACCTCTGGCATCAACAAGGCATTTGCACTCACAGAACTGCCGCTCACTGGATATTTTCTCTTTTTCGGACCATTCTCTGTAAACCCTAGAGATGGTTTTGCATGAAAATTCCAGTAGATTAGCAGTTTCTTAAATACTCAGACCAGCCCGTCTGGCACCAACAACAATGACACGTTCAAAGTCACCTCCCCATTCTGATTCTGAATAGACAGGGCTTTCCCCCTTTGATGACACATACAAATAGAGAGTGTCAATCAAAGTATTTCTACAGACTGTTTTATGAAGTAGGATGATAAAAAATAGAATTAAATACATTTTTACCATTAGAGACTGCTGCATTCATGCATGTTGCAACACAACTGGGTTTAAACACATTATAAAAGTGATTTTTGCATCATAGATCTCCTTTAGTGGTTCACCCAAAAATAAAAAAAATATGTTTTATCATATTTTGTATCATTCTATACTTCTTCAAAATCTTTTCTTTGAGTTTCGTTCTTATGTTAAACACAAAAGAAGATATTTAGAAGTATGTTGGAAAGCGGGCGAGGCAATAGCGCAGTAGGTAGTGCTGTCGCCTCACAGCAAGAAGGTCGCTGGGTCGCTGGTTCGAACCTTGGCTCAGTTGGCGTTTCTGTGTGGAGTTTGCATGTTCTCCCTGCCTTTGCGTGGGTTTCCTCCGGGTTTCCGGTTTCCCTCACAGTCCAAAGACATGCGGTACAGATGAATTGGGTAGGCTAAATTGTCTAATAGTGTATGAGTGTATGTGTGGATGTTTCTCAGAGCTGGGTTGCGGCTGGAAGGGCATCCGCTGCGTAAAAACTTGCTGGATAAGTTGGTGGTTCATTCCACTGTGGTGACCCTGGATTAACAAAGGGACTAAGCCGACAAGAAAATGAATGAAGCGGTAGCCATTACATTTTCATTGTCAGTTTCAGTGGCTACCGGTTTTTAAAAATATCTTCTTTTGTGTTCAACAGAAAAAAAAAAAAAACTCATTAAGGTTTGGAACCAGTTGAGGGTGAGTAAAAAGAGAGTAAATATATATTTTGGGTGAACTATCCCTTTAAGCAAATATATATGTATATATGTAGGAAGTTAATAAGTAGGATGTGGTCAAACTGTTATTGTTCTTCACTTATATTTGCTGGATAAACATGCTTTATTGAAATGATTTCTTGCAGCGGCAGAAGCATATCCAAACACTAGACTGAACTTTAATCACAAGCTGCACGACTGGAGTCCAAAAACAGGAACAATGACCTTTATTGGGTAAACAGTGATGTCTTTATCATTTTATGTTTTTTTGGTTACAATTTTGTGCATGATAATACCAAGTGTTAGAACATATATTTGTTTATACCTGAAAAGGTTATCCAAAAAAAGAAAGCTTTAAATTCAAATCTGTTATTATTTACCATAGTTACCTATTAAGAATCGTTATTGACTAGTTTACCTTTATAGCTGTGTAAATAAATTAGAGATGTTTGGCTTTATTCACTTCCATGAAGCTCCAAAATCATTGTACTTTTCTATGGATTAATGTATGTAGAGAAACTACATAACCATGATGCTGACATTCCACCAATCAGAGAGTTTCATTAGTATTATATATATCTTTAGCTCCGCCCTCTGCCACAAAGCTTTGTTTTAAAATATATTTAATTTTTTATATATTATATTTTGCAGTAGAACTACATTACCCATCATGCTTACACAATTCCACCAATCAGAGTTGCATTAGGATTAGATATCTTTAGCTCCTTCTATTTTTAATTATTTTTTCTATAGATTAATTTGTGCAGAAAAACTACATTACCCATTATGCCTACATAATACCACCAATCAAAGACTGGCAATAGTATTAGATATCTTTAGCTCCGCCCTCTCTTATGAAACTCCGCATTCTACAATCAACCCCCCCCCCCCATTGATTAATTTGTGCTTAACAACTATATTACCCATAATGCTAACACTATACCACCAATCAAAGAGTTGCATTAGCATTAGAAATATTTAGCTCCACCCAGTCAGATCTATATTCCAAAATCATTTTCTTTTGTGAACACAAAATAATTATTTTTTAAGATGTTTTCATTCAGATCTCGACAATTTATCAAAATGATAATAATAATAATATGACCAATATTATTATTAATATTAATAATAAAACAGCAGCAATAAAAATATGTCATAATTTAATAATAATTTATATAATAATAATAAAAATAAAATTAAACAAAAACTAGTAATAATAATAATTTGCATGTTTGCATGTCCTCCCCGTGTTGGCATGGGTTTCCTTTCGGTGCTCCGGTTTCCCTTACAAGTCCAAAGACATGAGGTACAGGTGCATTGGGTAGGCTAAATTGTCTGCAGTGCATGTGTGTGAGTGAGAGTGTATCTCAGGGATGGGTTGCAGCTGGAAGGGCATTCGCTGCGTAAAACAAATGTTGGATAAGTTAGCGGTTCATTCCGCTGTGGCGACCCCAGATTAATAAAGGGTCTAAGCCCAGAAGAAATGAATGTATGAATAATAAAATAGCAGCAATAATAAAATTAATGTGTAATAATTTAATAATATTTCATGTAATAATAAGCATAAAAAGTAAACAAAATAATAATAATAAAAATAATAATAATCAAATAGTAGCAATGATAATAATAAAAATAATAGCCATAATTTAATAATACTTAATATAGTAATAAGCGTAAAAATTAAACAAAAATAATAATGATAAAATAGCAGCAATACTAATAATAATGTTAGAATTTAATAATATGTTTAAAATAATAATAATAATAATAAAAATAACAAAACTGCTGCAATTATAATTATAAATATGTCGTAATTTAATAATTCTTCATATACTTATAAGCATAAAAGTAAACAACAAATAATAATAATAATAACAATAATAATAATAATAATAAAATAGCTACAATTATTATAATAAAAATGTCATAATTTAATAATACTTCATATAATAATAAGCATTTAAATTAAACAAAATTAATAATAACAATAATAAAATAGCAGCAATAATAATAATATGACATAATTTAATAATACTTCATATAATAATAAGCATAGAAATTAAACAAAATAAAAATAATAAAATAGCAGAAATATTAATATTAATTCTCATCCTAATTTAATAATGCGTTATATAATAATAAGCATAAAAATAAAAAATACAAAAAACAATATTAATAAAATATCTGCAATAATAATAATGATAATAATAATAGCAATAATAATAATAATAATAATACATATATTATTTATAATATATCATAATTTAATAATACTTAATATAATAATAAGAAAAATAAATTAAGAAAAATTACATTTGAATGAGAATAAAGCATTTTGAGTGATAAGATCAATAGAATCTTCCTATTTAATTATGTGAACTGCACCTTTAAGAGTTTGTAAAAGCAGGTTCAGTCAGTGTGTGACATTCAGTGTGAATTAGATTACATGTCAGTGGAGATCCAAACGAGATTGTGTCTCCTAACAGATCCGATGGCCAGAAGACGGAGACACAGGCTGATCTGATCGTAGGCTGTGATGGAGCTTTTTCAGCTGTCAGGAAACAGTTCCTTCGGCAAAGTCGCTTCAATTACAGCCAGACGTACATTCCCCATGGGTATATGGAGCTCACCATGCCTCCGAAAGATGGAGATGTGAGAGTCACAGCAATGCTTTTCTGACTGTCTTCTTACACCTGTTCTGGTTTTTCTGTTCACATCTTTTATCTCTCTCTCTGTCCTCTAAGTTTGCAATGGAGCCCAATTATTTGCACATTTGGCCCAGGAACACTTTCATGATGATTGCCCTGCCCAACTTGGTGAGGTTATTTAAAAATTATTTATCATATATCCATTTGTTTCTTACTCTATTATACAGTTTTTTGCCTTTAGTGTTTTAAAAGGGTTTGTGATTATATATGTATTTGTCTTTGTTATTATTATGTTAATTGTTATTATAGTTACTCATAGTATACTTATATTATATTATATACTTATATTATACTACTATATTTCTTTTAATTATTTAATGTTTTGTTTTATAGCTTTATCTTAAGTGTTTGTAATCATCCATTTGTTTTTGATATTGTTTTGTATTGTAAAAGATTACAATATAAAATAAAAATACTTTCATTATCATAATGATAACACATTATATTATATACCTATCATTCTAAATTCATATTTATTTTCATTTTATGTTATATATTGTTTAATTGTTTATTTCATTTTATGTTATACATTGTATGTTATATATTTATGCATATATTGTTTTGTATTCTGTGATTATTTGTTTTGTGAGATATACATTTATTTTATAAACATTATTAGAATTATTTTGTTTTTATTATTTTTGAACTTTTCTTTCCTTTTCTAATTGCCCACTTACAATAAAATATTAACTAATTTGAATAAAGGGACTCAGCCTGAACAATCCCAAGTGTTTTTACATACAGAACAAAAAAATCTAATAAAATAAAAAACATAAATTAAAGTTACAGTTTGAAGACTTTTCTCATGGTGTCTTATCCATATATTAAATATGACTTTCTTCTTTGGCTTTGTTTTTAAGGACAGGACGTTCACATGCACCCTCTTCATGCCCTTTGAAGACTTCGAGAAGATCCGCACCGGCGACGAGCTCCTCCGCTTCTTCCACAAATACTTCCCTGACTCTGTGCCTCTGATAGGAGTGTGAGTTCAGCTCTGTCAGTCTCTCATTGCTTCATGCTTTTCACAGGTCTGATTGAAGTGAGCTGTGAAATCGCAGTCACAGGTTTAATGCGAGTTCTGCAGGGGATGAGAGATTCAGCAGCCAGATTATAAACCTCTGCATTCACTTTGATTATGATTTACCTTTGCTACTTAAAATGATTTAGACTGTATGAATACAGGTGTATGAATAATTTTGGCCTATACTGTATATACATTCACTGGCCACTTTATTAGGTACACTTTTTTTTGCCCTTTTTTGTCTTGATCCTCCATGGCATAGACTCAACAAGGTACTGGAAAAATTCCTCAGAGATTTTGGTCCATATTGACATGATAGCCAAACACAGTTGCTGCAAATTTGTCGGCTGCACATCCATGATGCAAATCTCCCGTTCCATCACATCCCAAATGTGCTCTATTGGATTGAGATCTTAACTGTGGAGGCCATTTGAGTACAGTGAACTCATTGTCATGTTCAAGAAACCAGTGTGAGATGATTCGTGCTTTATGACATGGCGCGTTATCCTGCTGGAAGTAGCCATCAGAAGATGGTTACACTGTGGTTTATAAGGGATAGACATGGCCAGCAACAATACTCAGGCAGGCTGTGGCTTTGACACAATGCTCAATGGGTACTAATGGGCCCAAAATGTGCCAAGAAATATCCCCCACACCATTATACCACCACCAGCAGCCTGAAGCATTGATACAAGGCGGGATGGATCCATGCTTTCATGTTGTTGACACCAAATTCTGACCTTACAATCCGAATGTTGCAGCAGAAATTGAGACCAGGCAACGTTTTTCCAATCTTCTATTGTCCAGAGCTGCTCGTCTTCATAACTCGGTTGTAACGAGTGGTTATTTGACTTACTGTTGTCTTTCTATCAGCTGGAACCAGTCTGGTCATTCTCGTCTGACCTCTGGCATCAAAAAGGCATTTGCGCACACAGTACTGTCACTCACTGGATATTTTCTCTCCTTATCAGACATTCTCTGTAAACTCTAGAGATGGTTGTGCGCGAAAATCCCAGTAGATCAGCAGTTTCTAAAATACTCAGACTAGTCCTTCGCAGACCAGCCCTTCCAGAGTAAATGGCCTTATTATCTTTCTGGTTGAACCATAACCTTGAATAAATTGTTAATTTTCAGCTTTCGTTTAAAATATGTTGAATAATAATTTAAAAAGTGACCATACACTGCAATGCTCAAAATGTGTTTATCTGAATGAAAAGCAGGTTCGGATGAGACTGTCCTACATAAAATAGCATAATTACCATAATGATGCAGTGAGTCATTGTGGCTCAGAGTAAACATTGTTGTGTCTGTATATGGTGATGCTGTGCTCATGCTGTAGAGAGAATCACATTTTCAATAATAAAATTCATTCATTCATTTATTTTCTTTTCGGCTTAGTCCCTTTATAAATCTGGGGGTGCCACAGCGGAATGAATCGCCAACTTATCCAGCTTATGCCCTTCCAGCTGCAACCCATCACTAGGAAACATCCTCACACATTCATTCACACACACATATACTACAGACAATTTAGCCTACTCAATTCACCTGTACCGCATGTCTTTGGACTTACCAACAAAATATATAGAACAATTACATTTTATTATTATTATTATTATTATTATTATTTTTGTTATTAAAATACAGGTTATTATTCTCCCATTTTGAATAGACAGCTTAAAATAACAACAATTTACGTATTTGTGTTCCTGGATCAAGTCCTGGCTGGGAAGGACTGGCAGGGTTCTCACGGGTCCAGGAATTTCTGCATTGTCATGGAATTTTAAAAGCCATTTTAAAAGACAATTCGAGTTTGAGACTTTTTTTTTTGTCCAGGTCATGAAATATCAGGGAAATATATATATATATATTTTTACCATATTTTTAAATGTTGTAATGAATTATTAAGTATCACGTTAAGGGATTGTAAACAGGAACCAAAACAGGGTGTAGGATCCAAGTGCAGATTTTCAATGTGAAGTAGTGCAGCGACAGTGACAAAATCCAAAAAAATCAAAGTAACAAAATAAACAAACGAGGAACTCAAACAGATTAAACTAGAACTAACTGTAACAACTAAGACAAGATACAAAAGCAAGATTGGGAACAACATACCAACAAGGACGAACAGAGGATGAATGACTGTATAAATAGTCCAGGTAATCAACGGTGAACAGAGACAGCTGTGGTTGCAAATCAGTGTATATGAAAGACCGGGTGTGTGCGCGGAAGAATGTATGGAAATGTAGTTCTTAAGCCACTGTAGTTCACTGGGAGTTGCTGGCGAACTACAGTGGCATCTGGTGGACAAACACGGTCACGACAATTAAGTGACAAATGTGTTTGTCACAATAAGTTTGTATTTGTCACAATCTATCCACATGAAAAGATAATTTTGTAACTCAAATTAATTAATTTCAAGTTTCTTTTGAGTTTTTGAACCATGTTAAAGTACTTTAATTAAAGGGGATATCATATTTTAAACTTTAGTTGGTGTGTAATGTAGTTGTGATAATAAACAACATCTCTGAATGTAAAACGCTCAAAGTTCAATGCAAAGGGAGACATTGGCTTTTACAGAGTTAGGTTAGCAAAGCCTACAGTGAACAAATTTGGGGACTAAAAAAAAAACATCCAGGCTAGTGAGATAATGTGTGTGTAAAAAAAATGTATTTGTTTGCACACAGAAATCATGGGGTTCTTCTTTAAAGAAGTTGTCACATCACCCCGTTTAGAGCATCATTATGGGCGTTTTACGTTATAACTACCGAGGTTCAAACGATAGATCTGCGACAGAGAAACTATGGGCTTTGGGAAACACTTGTTACTACATCTTTCTTTTCCCAAGAGATGTATCAAACTATGATATGGACCCGATTCACAAATCACAGCACAGTATGTTAGCTGACCAATCAGAGCCTCTTAAGAGCGAGCCTTTCAGAGGAACTAGGAAATATGACAGTTGTTTTCATGTTAACAGAGTAGCTGTATATAATCAAAGATTATATAAATTATTTATATATTATTATTATTATAATTATTATTATTATTTATAAAATTATTTATATCACACAAAAAATAATGTGATTTTTTTTGCAACTGAAGCATGAGCACACATTGCTTTGCATCTTATAAACACAACCAAGCCTTAAAAATACACTCTGGGCCACCCCTTTAGTATGTTGTCATTTAGACTTGATGGTGTGGGTGTTTGAATGTTGATCTTTGTGTTGCAGCTCTATCGTGTTCATGTGTGTGTGTTTTTATGTGCTTTATCAGCGAGGCTCTGAAGCAGGATTTCTTCCGTCTGCCAGCTCAGGCCATGGTCTCCGTCAAGTGCTGCCCGTATCATCTGTTTGAGAAGTGTGTGCTGATGGGAGACGCGGCCCACGCTGTCGTGCCTTTCTATGGGCAAGGCATGAATGCAGTAAGTGGAGGTGGAAAGATGTTATTTCTGATCAAACTGGGTTTTTTTTAGCGGTTATTGCTCTCAATAATGTAAACATAATCTGAACAGTGCAGTTTACAGCTGAAATGCATTCAACAGTATAAAGAATAGCTCTGTATTATCTGGGCCTTTTGTTTAGTCAAGATGACAATTAAAGTTAATTGGTTGTTTGAGAAGGTTTTTATTTTTATGTAAATAAAAATAGTATGTTTAATTGAAATGATTTATTTAATTTATTATTTAAGTTTTCGCTATAATAAAATATAATATAATAAATGTTGTTACTTTAGCAACTAACTAAATTGTATAATATTAATTGTTAATTTGTTGTTGTTTGAGAAAATTTTTATTTTAAAATAACATGTTTCATTGTAATAATTTAATTTATTTTTAAAGTTTTTGTTATAATAAAATATAATATAATATAATTGGTAGTTTATTCCGCTTTGGCGACCCCAGATTAATAAAGGGACCACGCCGAAAAGAAAATGAACGAAAATATAATATAATATATAACATTTATTTATATTTTTATATTTTTATTTATTTATTTATTTATTTTTATTTTTTCAATAATAATTTTTGCAGACAGAAAAACAAAGAACAGACAGACAAACCCATCATGAGAAAATAATCTATACAAAATGTAAAATAAAGCAAGAAACAAGAGAAAGTTGCGACATACAAAACATATTTAACCTACAAAAAGACGTACAAATCTTCAGAAATTAAACGACACTCTTAGTCTTTATGGTGTTGCAGAAAAAGAAAGACTGGATGCCACATTTTTTTTCAAATTTCGCAGAGTTCCCAGAGGTGGTATATCTTATTCTTTTCAAATGTAAAGTGGAGATGAGTCCGAGAAGCCAATCAGAAAAAAGAGGCCTAACATTTTTTTCCAAAAACAAAGGATAACTTTTTTAGTATGGCATGATCATAGGTAACATTTATTTTTTATGTTTTTAGTTTTAGATAATTACGGTAAATTGAAAGATACACTGACATTTCTTTTTACATAGAAGACAAGATATTATAACTAAATAAATGTGAACTGACTTGTTCAAGTTTTACAGAAAACTAATTTATTTTAACTTTTATTCACAGGGCTTTGAGGATTGTTTAGTTTTTGATGAGATAATGGACCAGTTCAATGAAAACCTTGGTAAGAAAGAACAATCTTCTAGTAATCTTAACATGAATTTTGAAATGAAACAAATCCATAGAAAATTTGTTCATTACCTAAAGCTAAATTAATATATTAATTGTTTTACTTATGTATACATGATGTTTTAAATAGTTCAGATCATTACAGATAAGTAAACACTTAGACAGAACTGAAACCAATAAATTGGTCTCAAATTACAGATGTAATTTTAAGATGTAAAACACACACAGACATCGATGAAACAGTAATTATGAAGTGTTCAGATCAATTATAAAACACATACACACATAGATAATTATTGTGAAAGGCGCTATACAAATAAAAAACTTGAATAAATGGTTAGAGAAATGCATGAACTATGTTGATCTGCTTTGTGTGCAGCGGCTGTGCTTCAGGAATACACCAGAGTCCGTGTTCCTGATGATCACGCCATCGCTGACCTGGCCATGTACAACTATATCGAGGTCAGCCAAAGCACTTAACACACTTAACACACTCTAAAAAATAAATATTGGCATCAGTGGCTCCATGAAGAGGAATTGTTAAATGCACCCAGGCTCATTGGAAATATGTGCCCAGGGCTATATTTTTGAGAACCAAGGAATATGTACCCTGGAACATGTTTTCTAGCAGCTTTTGTTGTCACAAATCCACTAGAGGGCGCCGTGTTCATTTTTGACAAACTCAAATACATTACTTGGTTACGTTTGCTCATTTCTCATAAATCCACCAGAGACCGATGTGTACGTTTCTGGTGTCCTTCAGTCACGTATCTGTGAGAGAGTTTGTTAGGCTTGTCATGCATTTATCAACTTGATATCAACTGATCCACCTGCCCCCTTCCCTAAACCCAACCGATAGTGTTTTCAAAAGCAATCAAGAAGAGAAAAGCCATCGCGGCCACATGCTTCTACCACACTATCACACTACTCTGTGTTTTGTGTGTTGTTTTAGCTGGTTTACACACCAGTCACGCAAGAAAAGCCGTCCATTTAGCTGTACTGCCCCATAGCATTTGTTTTACACACATAATGCAGCCATTGCTTCTCAGAAATGTATCTATAGGCACATTTTCCCAATGAGCCTGTTTTGCTTAAATAGGTTACATTTAGTAAAGTCATATTAAGTCATATTTGACCCTTTTGACATCCATCAAAATTTGCTTTCCAGTTCCAGTTTCCAGGTTCTTTATAGTGGATAAATATTGTTTAGATAATGGAATTGTTCTTCACACTAAGAAATGAATGTTTTTAGCAACTAATCATTGAGAGGTACTTTGTGGAACAAAGACAATGACATAACTGCAAAAAATAATGTAAAGTATTACTGTGATTGCAATGCTGATTTCCATTTTCAAATTTGTTTAAAGATTTGGTTCTCAAGAATTTTTAGAAATTTCAAAACAGTTTCAATGTGTTTTTCAGTAAAAAACAAAGCATTGGATGCATTTAAAATCCAAATTGACCAAAAGGAAATCAAGGAAGTGAGTGAATTAAAATATAAAGGTCTCACTATAAACTCAAAGTTATGTTTAATGTCCATTAGAGAAAATATTTAAGACTATTTCGTATAAGACCATAAATTTCTCTTAAAGCAGCGCAAATGTTTGTGCATGCCATGATATTATAGTATGTCTTATTGGGCAATAATCTGGGGTTAAGCTACTCAGTGAGTTATTTGGCCTGTAATGTCACTTTACAAACAAACCTTAAAAGTAATGGATCAGGAAACAATAAAATGGCATCATTGTCGAATTCTTAAAAAATAAAACTTGTTAAATTTAATGTTTTTTAAAAGTTTTCATTTTTAAAAGAAAATGGTTTAAGTGTGTACATGGTCTTGCCCTAAGGTAGTCTGTGAGTTGATACCTAAATTCAGCAGTGATGGGGCACAGACTAAAGGGGCAGTAAGTGGGAATTGTGAAATCTGCAGATGCAGAACCGCTGTGGGTCAGACATCCTTTTCAGTGAAAGGTTCACATCTATGGAATGCCATGCCTGTTGATTTAAAGTTACAATCAGAATTTCCGGTTTATTCTGTAAAGCTGAAAGAATGGTTGAAATCTTTACCTAATGTGAACATTAAGTATTATTCTTTCAGGTTGGTCAGGTTTACATTTCTCTTTAGTATGCAGATTGACTTACATTTTATGTTTTTGGCTCTGTTTATACCAGGGATCCCCAAACTTTTTTATTCTGGGACCCACCTAGGCAAGTAATTCAATCTCAAGATAATACCATAATACCACCAGAATATCTTAATATGGAAAAATGGGTAAAAAAATGCATCCATTCAAAGCAGTCAGAAATATATGGTGTGTGGCATTTTGGATTTTGCGATTTGAAATGCACAAAATGAGGCTCGAAGTGCTTTTTGTGGGATGCTGGCTGCAGCTGTGATCATTTTTTTTGTTGAAAAAGATACTCTTCTTTTTTTAAAAAGAGAATATGATCAACCTTTGATCAAGCCCCTTGATTATGATCATGCCCCGTCACATAGCAGTAAATTCCACTGCTAGTGTTTAGTCATAAGAAACTAAATAGCTTTTTGATCGACTACTACAAGCTGGGAAAAGGTCAGATAAATATGCCAATGCAATTAACATTATTGCTGAATAGATCTAATATTTACACATTTGCTTGAGGAAGGAATGATGGGGGTAATTACATTACTATTACTATTTTCCATAACATCTATGCCCTTCCATAACATTAGGTGACGTTAAAACTAACAGAAGCAAACATTAAAAATATTAACAATAAAATTAAAATCAATGGCCTATACAGAAATTAAATAAAGCTATAACATCTATTTCACTTTTGATTGTATATTGCATATTGATTAAAGTTACTATAGTTATTTAGTGAAGAGCAGCAAATGAATCTCTCATTGTGTTTTGTTTGATAGGTGTTAATGTTAGAATGCAAAGATCTATAATGAAAGCACTCGACTACTTTAGTAACTGTTTGTGGTCATTTAAAAGAATATTAGTAGTGTTTAAAATAAAACACGCAGGACGGAGCAAAAAAAAAAAAAAAAAAAGCACTCTGACGGTCCCTTACTGAGAACTCCTCTCAGCGCGAGCTCTACCGGCTAAACGCAGATTGCGAGGGCTCAAACGAAGCAGTGCTCGTAATGTCAAGCGAAAAAAAAAGAAAAAGACAGCTGTGAAACATAACCAGCTTTGTCTTTTTGTAGGAAACACACTTTAGATATTTTTAGGGTAAGAGGTTTTTGAGTTATTGCCGTCAATCATGCTGGTTTTGTTTCACTGTAATGTAAATATAGCTGCAGCTATAGTGCAGCCACTAGTGGGTCGCGACCCACAGTTTAAAAACCCCTGGTATATACTGTACATTCTTTTTTATTTGTATTTTTTTTTTTTTTTATGTAAAGCCTAACAAGGGACGAGGGCTGCGGATTAGCTTTATGCCATATTCCCTATGTACGCGACATCGGTTGTCTTTGTATAACAATGTCAAGTGTATTGTCCCTGTTAAATAAACAAGCAAAAACACCTTTAAAATGTAAAACACCTACAAACATATGGGAAAATAATTGAAGATGTTTCTCAGAAAACATACTTTTAAAGGTGTTGCTGACTTGGAATTTTCACCAGATGTCAATAACAACCAAAATAACCCACACAGATTTAAAGAAAACAAACTTTATTAGGTTAGATATTAAGTTGTCTGTTATGAAATGAAACAACAGAGGAAAAAAATTTGAACACATGAAGAAAGAAAGGTGTAAAACGGCATGGAAAGACCAGACAGCAGCTGAAATCTCTTAGTAGTTAGAAAGCAAAGAAACCCTTGTCAGTGTAAATTAATGTCTCATCACCTACATTCCTAGATGATGAAGATAAAACCAGGGTGGACATTTCAGCAAGACAATGATGCCAAATACAGCTCTTTATTATTTGTATGTTTGCATTTTTGGGGTTTTTACCAAAATCTGGGTCAATTATATTTACCAGGAAAAATCATGACGTTTAAAACTTAACCTGCTATATATATATATATAAGATATAACTAAATTCAGTTTAAAGCAGTTGTTTTCTATGTGAACATATATTTTTATTGTCATTTATTTCTGTGATTCAAAGCTGAAGTCAGCATAATTTCTCCAGTCTTTATTGTCATGTGATCCTTCAGAATTTATTCAAATAACATAGTATATTTATTTTTGATGAATGAGATATGAGTGATAAAAAGAGTTCCTGATGCATAGATGTAAGATGTAAAACTATTCCTGTAGCTCAGACTAGACTAGCAGCATCAAGGTCATGAGTTTGTAGTTAAACAAGCTTGTTTATGAGAGCTGTCCTTTTTTTTCCTCTTCATTAAGCAGCATGCTCACATATATTATGGTATAAAAAAGCTGCCAAATTTTAACACTATTCGCTGATCGGATGTGACATTCAGGCCACAGCGACTCAGGTCAACCTCATTACTGACGGCTGGATGAAAACACATGTGCTACATCGCTTGACCATTAAATCCTGTCGTTATCTTCATCCTCATGTGTGATTTCTGTCCTAGATGAGAGCACACGTCAATTCCAAGTACTTCATCTTTCGAAAATACCTGGACAATCTTCTGCACTTCTTCATGCCACAGACTATCGTTCCACTTTACACAATGGTAAGAGCCTTTTTCTGGTGTGTGTTGTTAGTTTCTACTCAAGTGTAGACATGAAATAAAATGTTACATGTAAATGTAGATGGTTGATTAATTCTTGTGCTTGGTTTTTGTGCTTCTTAGGTCACATTCACCAGAACACGCTACAATGATGCTGTGAACCGTTGGCATTGGCAAAATAAGGTAAAGACCAAGGGCCCTATCATACACCCGGCGCAATGTGGCGCAAGGCGCGGCGCAATATTTAGTTAGTTAGGTAGTTTAGTTAGTTAGGTAGTTTCAGCTTGGCGCAAGAGTCGTTTTGAGGCGTTGCGCTACGCTGTTTATATAGCAAATGCATTATCGCTCATATGTGCGCCCATAGGCGTTCTGGTCTAAAAAGGAAGGCGTTCTGAGGAGCATTGCTGGCGCGTTGCTATTTTGAGAAACTATAATAGACTTTTCATTAGACCAAAACAAACCCGGTCTAAACTCCGGCGCAGAGTTGCGCCTCGCTTACACACTGCTTAATACGCACAAGAGAGCAATAGACAAATATCTTTACATATGAAAAAATTTGATATTATAGATATATATAGGATATAATAAGAATAGATATAGGATATAAATATAAAGGATTAAAATATTACAAAACATATTATTTTCTAGCCTACATAAATATGAAAAATCACTGCTTTTATGCCTTCTTCATCTCGGGAGTCTTTTTCAGTTCATTCATAACAATTTGCTTTTGTATAATGTTATTATTATTAGCAGTATTTTTTATTATATCCATATTTATACTTGTTTTATTAAAAACAAGCTTAGATTTGCCCACCTGTCAGGTTTTAGACCATATGGGGCATGGCATGTGTTTTAGGATATAACTCAGGTTTTTGAGCACACTTCGTTATTATTGTTCATTTATTCATTTGCTGGAAATTAGAATTGAATTTAGAAATAGTTTTGAAACGAATATTTGCGCTTAACAAACGCAATTAATAATTTATAGACTAAATGATGTCTGTGCGTAAAGGTTTCCCTATCCAAGAGCGAAAATGAAAGTGATCCATTATCTCTCATTCTTACGCAGTATGCTCTGTTTAACAGTTTTCTGTTAAAAAAACTGTCAACTGTCAACTGTTTGCTTGTGAAATGCTAATTTTTTCCACTAAGACTTACTTTACGTCCTGTAAATAGCGAATGCGCTCTTGGCGCGATGCAGCTGGCTCTTAAAGGGAATGTGAGATGAGACTCTAATTGGTTTATTCTCAAAACACACCTATAACTCAGTAAGAAAATAAACTCAACCCTTTTAGACCATACGCCATGGCACAAAGCGGATTTTCCCTTCCTTAAATTAGCAAAAATGCGTTCTGACACGCCCTGAAAGTGTTTGCGCCCTGCGTTTTGCGCTCTGCACATGGACCGTCAAAATAGAGCCCCAAATGTTTTAAAGTGTTTGACAGCACAGTTTGGCTGATAAATTCAATTCACATTTATTTGTATAGTGCTTTTACAATGTAGATTGTGTCAAAGCAGCTTCACAGAAATGAAGTAAATTGAATCAGTGTCAGTCCAGTAAATGTGCCAGGTGAAATCAGGACTCATGCTGGGCTTAATACAGAAAGCTTTATAAAGCCCTTCTGCTCTGAGCGTTCTGCAAAACATTATTTCAAGTGAAGATCCATTAATGTATTGGTGATAATAGCAGATTACAATCTGATGGGGAAAAAATAAGTTTCTTTGTGTGGAGTTTTTTTTTAGAAACTCCCAAAATATCCTGCTGAAGCAAAGAACATGTCTCTCCAGCACCAAAATAAACAAGCTTTTTTCTTTTTCTTTTGTTTTTGCAATGCATGGAGTCAACCATTATTTTTTAGAGTTTTTAAAATATTTGCAGCATGGACCATGCCACAGTTTGAGCTAGACTTTATTGTAGGGATTTAGGGATGAAAAGGGATGGTTAAGGAACAATGGGATGAAGGGGAATGAAAGTAAGAGGATAAATAGTAAACAGGTAGGTAGGTTGATCGGGTGAATACACTGTAAAACATTATTATTTTTTGAATATTTATTTATTTACAATTTAAAGCATTACATTACCCCTACCCTACCAAAATCACGGCGTTGAAAGAAAAGAAAAAGAAAGAAAAAAAATATATATACATATACAGATACACATACACATACACGCGTACATACACACACACACACACACACACACATACACATCATTGCAGAGTTCCTGAGTTGACAGTGAGAAAACAGTGCTGACAAGAAAATGAATAAATGAATGAAGATTATTCGTTAACTGGAGAGGTGAACTACTCTGTTACAAAACTTTTTAAGTTGTGCCAACTGAACATTTTTTGTCTGCAGAACTGGAATACCTGAAGTTGAGTGAACAAAAAAAACATAATCCTTATTTCCTGTCGTTTTTTTCTCGTGCAAAACAAACATACATAGCTTAATTAAAAATCTAAAAAAACTAAAACAGAAACAAATGTTAACAAAACATTTAGAAACAGGACAGGAGGCAAAACAAAAATAACTGTAACCAAGACAAGGATCAAAACATGGCAGGACAAACAGGGGAAAATGCTTTGTAATGCTTCACAGGGCAAAACAAGACTCAGCAAGGAGTCTGTGTGAATGAGGTGTCTTTATAGTCCTAGAAATCAGTCCATCATGAGCTTCTAGATGTGTGTGTTTCCGGAAGAACCACAAACTGGCTTCTCTTTGAATTATAGTTTGAGCATTTATTTTGTCATTTGAGCATTAGCTTAGCAAAGCATTCAAGTTGTTCATGAAAATTAAATATCAAATACATTTGATTTCCCAGTTGAGAATGCATTTTGGTTTATTATTTGATCATTTGTGCATTTGATTTATCGTTTGGGTAGTTGTTTTGAAAGCTTGATTTATTATTTAATCTTTTTAGGCATTTGAATCTTTATTTTCATTTTGTTAGGAAGCATACACACACACACACACACACACACACACACACACACACACACACACACACACACACACACACACACACACACACACACACACACACACACACACACACACACACACACACACACACACACATATACATTGTGTGAGCAAGTGGGTGAACTATCCCTATAAATGTCACATGAATAATCTACACTCTAGAATAATCACACTTTATTCATGTTGTCCCAGCACAAAACCATTAAGTTAATCCCAATCTTTCTTTTCTTTTTTTTTTTACAACTTTAGGCGTATTGAAGATAAAAAAAATTAAGTTGTCCCCAAAAAAACTTATGAACTATGTTGTTTCAATTTAGTTTATAAATAGTTCCAAGCAGGCAGAAGACATCAACATGACGTGAGATTGATGCTGTACCCCAATGTTATTTAGAAATGAATATCTGGCTGACGTCAGGCCGACGTCAATGTCCGACATCCAACCATCAACCAAATATCCAAGTCTAATGATGTTACAGCTTGACGTTGTGTGGACGTAACCAATATGACAGCTGTCAGACGTTGGATTTTGGTTGCCATACCTGACAAATAAATGTCAGTATTTGATGTCAAGATGACGCTGGTTTAAGATGTTGGCTCGACGTTGGATTTTAGTCAATTTCCAACACAACTTAAAATAATTGGCATTTGATGTCGTAATTGGATGTCAAAATAGCGTTGTCTCTAGACGCTGGCTAGACTTTGAATATTGGTCAATAGACTTCACAACCTAAATCTAACCTAATATTAATGTCTTATGACGTTGTGTGCTTGTTGGGTTAGAAAAAGCAGTTAAAGTAAATTTTTTTTGAGTGTACAGAGTCCAGAAACCTGCATGATTAAACTTTAAAGTTAGATTTAAAAATGTTTTAGAACATTCTGGTACAAAATCCATCTCTGGTCTATCTCTGTTTTTCAGGTGATCACTCGGGGTCTGTGGCTGTGTGGATTTGTGTCTGCTGCTGGCGGGACGTATGTGTTGGTCAAAAACTCTCACAAACTGCCCAGTATCTCTGCAGAGCAGCTGTGGACCCGCATACTTGCTTTAAAGCTCTTCTGAAATGAAGAAATCCCAATACACTGGAAACACACTGCCGTTTAGTATAGCCTTGACACATCATTGCCTTGTCAAAGAAGAAATCTTTGGCTTTTTAATAGACCAAAATTGAAGACCTAGACCCTGTTTACACCTGGTGTTAGGATGCATTTTGTTAAATTGGAACACAGTTATATGAGGGAGAACATTTCCGTTTACAACTGGTGTTTTAATTCGTCTCTTCTGTCCATCTTTAACCATTTTCTTGATGTATGGCCTCTTTTTCATTCTAAAGGTTTCTACAGGTTTCACCATTTTAAAATTAAGACTTTTAAACACATTTTTAAAGACCATTATAAATAAAATTTTAGATATTCAGGACTTAATGCTTATGTTGGCCTGGTTTCCATAAAAAAATTATAATTATTTCTTAGTCACATTTTTTAAACAATGAGCCAAACAAGCAACCCCTAGTTGTATACATACACACATCTTTCGTAATTTTTTTGAAAAGCATTAAAAAACTGTATTAAATGAAATGTATTATATGCACAACAGTCTGTCTAGGTTACTGTCCTCACCAGGGCTTGACATTAACTTTTTTGATCACCGGCCTCAGTGGCAAGTAGTTTTCCAACGTTACTAGCCACTCTGCATTTTCACTAGCCACAATTTTGTTGTTGGGAAAATGTTTTTTATATGCATAAATGTGACTTTAACATGCTAAAATTACTTGATTTTGTTTAAAATTACTTGAAAATTATTTAGATTTTGTGTTTAGTCCACATGCCTCATTCATTTCACGTTTTGTGAAAAATTTTAAACGTGTCAAAACAAGCTAAATATAGCTGTATACTAAATCTTTTATTTAACAAAACATGTCTTAAAAAAAAAGAAAAACAATTGTCATGTATCAAAAATATGCACAGTAATCTGTCCTCGCTAAAGGTGTCTCAGATCACCAGTTGACTACACATAAACGAAGAGTTAATCTCATATTAAAGCAATGTTGTTGTAAAAAAAATAATAATTAAACCATATAAACAAAAATAACCGTAAGCAAAAGAAAGCTAGTGACAAACATACTGTGTGATAAAGCCAATTAATAATCTGTTCAAAGTGAAAGCAACCGGTGCTGCTACTACCCACATTAGACGGGTGTTAATGTTATAAGCCCTGGTCCTTGAACAGAAAATAATTCATTCATTCATTCAGAATCTTTCGGATGAGACGTTAAACCGAGGTCCTGACTCTGTGGTCATTAAAAATCCCATGGCACTTCTCGTGAAAGAGCAGGGGTGTAACTTTGCTTTGGGTGTATGGCCATACACAATAAATGCGCTATATAAATACACATTACATTACATTACATTACATTCATTTTCTTTTCGGCTTAGTCCCTGTATTAATTCGAGGTCGCCACAGCGGAATGAACCTCCAACTTATCCAGCAAGTTTTTACGCAGCGGATGCCCTTCCATCCGCAACCCATCTCAGGGAAACATCCACACACACTCATTCACACTCGTACACTACGGACAATTTAGCTTACCCAATTCACCTGTATCGCATGTCTTTGGACTGTGGGTGGAAACCGGAGCCCCCAGAGGAAACCCACCCGAATGCATGGAGAACATACAAACTCCACACAAACGCCAACTGACCCAGCCGAGGCTCGAACCAGTGACCTTCTTGCTGTAAGTTGACAGCACTACCTACTGCGCCACTGCGTCGCCCAGAAAATAATATAATAATAATAATATAAGTTAACTAATCTAGTGCACTTAAAATGAAGTACAGTCTGCCAGATGGTTTAAAGCAGAAATGGTGGTTTAAAGCACTTATATTCTTAGCAACAGATGTGTCAATGTAAAGCAAGTAATTCTTTTCAAGCAAGCATTGCGCTAAACTGCAGGAATTATTCAGTAAAATATTCAGTATTTGAGCCCCTAAGTTTTCTATATTGTCTATTTTAAAGTGAGACTTGAAGTTAAACTTTTTGAAAACAAATGAAACCTGGTTTTGTGGATTGCAGTTTAGGTGGAAACTATTTTATATTGTCTGTGATAATCAACATTATCTAGAAATTTCTATTAAAACCAGAACATTTCATTAATTCAGTCACCATGAGTTTTAAATAGTTGCGAGGGAGAAAGAAATAATTCTCAGTGGGCGTCATTGTGGGTGGTGTAATTTCCAAGCACTAAGATGTCATTTCTTTGTTTTTAGTTTTTTAAAAGTCAAGATGATCGCAGTCTGTTTTGTGGATTTAAAATAAGATAAATGCAACTCAATTAAATATTTTGTTCATGTACTGTTCAAACTTTTTATTTAAAGTGTGGGAGAAATGTTAAATATCCCACTGAGGGTCTTTTAGTGTTGTGTAGAATCTCACATCAATCCACGTTTGCATTTAATTTACAAATCCTGTGTGAGCCATAATCCATGGATGAGATAACAGATGTCATCTGAACCACTCAAGCAGGAATTCTGTCATCTTTATATTTTTTAAACCATAAATTTATCAGCATATGTAGCTTTGTGCAAATCAGTTTGGGTAATTTGTAAATACAAACATTTTGTATTTTGTGTTTATAGAGATGAACTATGAAAAAAGCCAAATGTGAGCTATTGAGGTTAAAACCTACATTTAGTTTGGTAAAAATAGCCATAATATGAATAAAATTCATTTATGTTTTCATTATAACAATTTCACATCCATTCCTAAAGATATATTCACCCAAAAATAAAACATTTACTTACTATTTACTTTCCCTTAGTTTGTTGCAAACTTTAATGAGATTCCTTTTAGCTTAGTCCCTTTATTCACCAGGGGTCGCCACAGCGGAGTAAACCGCCAACTTATCCAGCATATCTTTTACACAGCGGATGCCCTTCCAGCTGCAACCCAGTACTGGGAAACATCCATACACAATCATTCACACACATACACTACGGACAATTTAGTTGATCCAATTCAACTATACAGCATGTCTTTGGATTGCGGAGGAAACCGGAGCACCGTGTCACCCAGTTTCCTTTTTCTGTTGAACACAAAGTTATTCTGAAAAATGAAAAACAGTCACTGGTTAGGCTACAGGTTTTCATAATTTTTCAAAATAATTTATTTTGTGTTTAATTAAAAGGAAAGGAAAAGTAAGTCAAACCGGTTTTTGACAAGAGGCAGTACATAACAATTTTCATTTTGGGGTGAGCTATCCCTTTAAAATCATCCACAGTGACCTCAAAACATCGAAAAGAGTCAACTTCTAGGCTGCTATAGGGAAGCATAGCTATTTTATAGAATGCAGCGATTTAGCTATTCAGGAAAATCAGATTTCCGAGTTTTATCCTGTAAATGTGAAAAAAATATTGCAAGACAAACTGAACTGCAAGAAATAAATTCCAAACACTACACGGGGAAAACTATAACTCCGAGTATACGAACTGTAACACTACATGAAGTCGATAGCTTGGCCATTTATTTAGAAATCCAGTCAAAGATCATCCACGTGATCTGAAATTTCGCGCCAAGGCAACAACTTGCTTTTAAGATGATTTGTGTTTGACGCACGCTTTCGCAAAGTTTACCAACAAAAACATGCTTATTTCCATATGGATGCGTCATAACCAGGAGTATTTAAAAAATACGTTTTAGTATTAATCTTTTCTACAATATATGAAATAGAATGATTTAAGTGGATTTTACCAACGTGATATCGGCGGGTTGGACCAGCATGAATCAGCTGGGTTGAAAACGACACGAGCTTCTTTACCGCTACTATCCGGGAGGTTTTGTTATTGAAGTAAGTTGTTTTTACTTTTAGCATTATTATGTGTGGTTTCTAATAAGTGAAATGCAAATGAGTGGTTTGCCCAGCCTAGTACTGAAACCTATAATATTCTAGTCAGTAAATAGGCTACATCTGTGAAAACCAATCAGAAAAAACGTACAAACAAAATTTTACCCAGAAAATGAGTCTAATAAGCTAAATTAATTAAACAAAAAATGTTTAAAATAAGGGGAAAAAGTTAAACCAACATTATACCAACAAAGTGACTACAATCTACATTTTAAATTGTTTTGTACTCTAAATGGGTATTACTGTATATGTATGATGGTGGCATTTAACTGAATGTTTTGGGGGTTCTTAAAGAGATATGCATGCATTGAAGAATTGCAGATTTTCCATTAACATTTAGTTGTTAAAGGGATGGTTCACACAAAAATGAAAATTCTGTGATGATTTACACATCTTTAACTTGATTTAAACCTGTGTTTCGTATTTTAAACACAATATACTGAAGAGTGTTGCCTAGAATCAGAATGTCCTCAAGTTAAGTATCCATAGTATACTCTGTGTCAACAGCTGCTTTTCCCAAGCATTCTTTAAAATATCTGTGTGTTCAACGAAAAATAAATCACAAAACTGGGTTGAGTGTGAGTAAATTGTTGGGTAATTTTCTATTTTTTGAATGAACTATCTCTACAAACTTGCACGTAAGCTGACACTGACTATGTTTACATGGACATTCGCAATCAAATTATTAGCCTTAATCTGAATAAGACAATAATATGATTTAGGTGTTTACATGTGTTGCTTTTTAAATGTTTCTTTCATGATCCCCTTTTACATGTTATAGCACATAGATCGATTAATGTCATTGCGCCACCAGGCTATCCACATTTCCTCTGGAGGTTCATGTAATTTTGGATGTTTCACTTTAAATTTTTTGTCTTTAACTGCAGTTTCACTATCATTCAGGAACATTTCATTTATACCCAGTGACAAAGGTTTTGCATGCGAGGACGAATGACTAGTTGAAGAGTGTTTTTTAATGGAAATTGATACCTCATGCCCAATGGGAAAAAAAATCTGCATTTGGCAATGCGTGTGTCTGTGGTCCTTTACTAACACGACAGGTGCAGAAAATAGTATCAAACAGCTGTGCCTGTGTGTATATAAAATATCCTGTCGCAAAACGCGGCGAAAAGTCCTACATGACAATAGTAGTTTGATTGCGGTGTTTACATGTCTGTACTGCACTTCTATAATGCAAGTAAAACCAGCATACTCCACGTCTTAATCTGATTTCTGTTTCTTTCAAAATGCTGTTTACATGGTAGACACTTATTAACAGTGTTGTCACAATCGTATTAAAACTCGGATTATTAGTGTCCATGTAAACGTATTCACTGTTTCTTTACAACCAAGAGCAAGACATGTGCAGTGTATTTTTCATCAAAAATTGTACTTGTGTCTTATGTTATTTATTTATTAAACGGTGTTATTTTGGATGCTGTATTAAAAAAGAAGTATAGTAAAATCCCATAATAACATTATCTTTGCATATCGTATAGCTTCACATTGTAAGACATCAGTGTATCATCAAGAGCCATTAGTTTTGTTTTGGCTTGATGTACTTGTTGATGTACTTGTTGACTCTGGGTGCCAATAGCTCTTTTGATAAATGACCAAGGACCACTTTTTAAGCTAAAAATCTTCTGTTAAATTCTCCTGAAGAGACCTACATATTGAATAGCCCGAGGATGAGCAAATTAACAACTTTTCTTTTACTATTTGTCTCATGTTGCATGGGTATATGTTTTGGCAATAATTAAATATACATTGTGTGGGTCAAAATTATAGATTTTTACTGAGTAGTAAGTAAAGATCAGGTTCCATTAAAACATTTAGTAAATTTCCAACTATATTCCGTCACAATTTCTCATTAGTAATTTGCATTGGTGGACAACTTTAAAGGCAGTTTTCTCAATATTTAGATTTATTTGAAGCCTCAGATTCCAGTTATTTAAATAGACATATCTTGGCCAAATCCTAACAAAATAAACATCAACAGAAAGACGGGTTATGCAGCTTTAAGATATAAAAGTCTCAATTTCCAAAAATGGAAATTGCTGTTTTTCTAGTCCAGGCTTACATTTGGTGAACTATACCTTTAAGTACAATCCTAAAGGCAAAAGGCTGATGCAAACTCACGTCAGTTAATAACTTATGGATTTAGTGTCTAATTTGTATTAATCTGTACAATCTCATTCATACATCCTAGTAAGATTTGATCATCACCTAATGAGGGATATGGTTAAGTTGCGGTCACACCTGTTAAATTCTGTCGTTTGGCAATGTGAAAAATGACGGGATAAAACAATATGTTTAGACATTGATAAAGCAAGTGACTGTGCCATATTTAACATTTCTGTGCAGAGACGTCAAGTTTTGATCTTCTATTGGTCGCATCATCGCATGCAATCACGTGATGTCAACTAACTTGAACTTTGCAATGCAGCGACATGCGAAATTTAAGCTTGTGTTTCCAGTCTGCCATATTCACATGTGTATGGAAGTCTATGTGATGAAAAAAGTGCATTGTGACAGTGGCTTGGTTTGGGGGCACAATTCCTCTTTAAAAAATTCTGTTTTTCATGAAAACAAAATCACATGAATTTGTACTAATTAGCCACTTTCTGACAATAAGTAAAATAATTACGTTCTCTTATGAAAACACACTTTTCAAGACACAACTCAACTTAACTTTTTGATTTTGTGGCTAATTCCTATCCATTTGGATGATCTCTTTGATGATCTCTATGAGCCGCAGCTCATTTTCATTTAAAGCCACAGGCTACAAAAATAGCTACAATGTATTCTGTCAATGAAATAGGCAGACTTTAGAGACTATGACAAATTATCTAAGTATTTTGAGCTGAAATTTTACAGACACATTCTGGAGACACCAAAGGCTTATTTTACATCTTGTAAAAGGTGCCATTTAAGCTTCTTTTAAAAAATCATCATCAGTTTGTACTAATTAGCCACGTTTCGAAATAGGTGCCATTTAAGCTCATTTTAAGAAATCAATTTTAAAAATGTTTCTGACAATATGCTAAATATTTTCCGTATGAGATCAGGCTGGAAAACACACTACTACACAAGAAGCAACACAATTTGAGGTAAACGCACAAAGATTTAATACTTAGGGCTTTGTTCAAACCTCAATCTGAAGTTTGAGCTGTAGAAATAGTTATGCTTGACCCCACTGAAATAGGACACAACGTTCGTTTCCACCAGGGGGCGCTGTGGACTTGACCGACGTTCTGTATTTGCCAAATCCTCTAGCAAATGTCCTCTATATAAGACACCTTAATCTATCTGAACACACCAGCTAATATATTCTGCTCACGAACCGTGTGATCTAAGCTGCTGGATATCTCACCATCCCATTAAAACTGGGTGAAGGTGGAAAATTAAGTGTCACGTACAATGGAGAAGGTACATAATTGAACTGAAAGGTCGTTTTCATTAAATACTTACAGCAGTTACAGTTTATGTATGTCATACAAAGTCTTGATGCGAAAAACAAAAGTCAGTTTATATGTTTCTAAAAATCAATCTTCCGTGTTAATGAAAAGAGATGCTATTGAATGTTCTGGACATTATGAACACATTGAATTCAAACTTTTTTAATGTCTCCACGGCAAGTGTCAAAGCGGTCGAACTTGAATTACGTTGATGTCTGGTTCATCGTTGCATTTGGAGGTGATGTCCAGAGGATGAGTGTCATGGCTGGCAATGATGAAGACGATGGAGGAAGAGCTGAAGGTTACTCTCTTTTTGGGCCGGTCGGTGCGACTCTGGGACATCACAATGGGTCGTATGGGATGCTCGATGCGGGACAGGGGTCGGTCTTTAATGGTGTGCTGCAGACTGGTCAGACGAGAACACAGCATCTGTAACATGCATCTGCGAAACTGACCAATCAGAAAGAGAAAATGTATTAGTCAAAATGGACCAGTGTTTTGAGTAATGCACATGTTTATATTAATACTGCCACAGCCATATCACCCTGCAGTCCAAGACCGGTTATTCACTAAAGCTAAGCAGGGCTGAGCCTGATCAGTGCCTGGATGGGAGACCACATGGGAAAGCTAGGTTGCAGTTGGAAGTGGTGTTAGTGAGGCCAGCAGGGGGCGCTCAAACTGTGGTCTGTATGAGACTTGATGCCCAAGTAAAGTGAAAGGGGACACCATACTGTCAGTGAGCACTGTGTTTTGGATGAGACATTAAACCAAGGTCCTGACTCTCTGTGGTTTGCCTATGGCAGAGTCGGGATGTAACCCTGGTGTCCTGGCCAAATTCCCTTTATCAGCCCTTACCTATCATGGCCTTCTAATCATTCCCATCCACTCTATCACTGTCTCTCCACTCCATTAAAGAGCTGTTATGTGGTGAGCGCACTGGCGCCATTGTCCTGTGGCTGCCGTCGCATCATTCAAGTGGATGCTGCGGTGGTGGTGGTTGAGATGCGCACATTGGGATATTGATGCTGAAACAATATATAATACAGCCCTAGTGGCTGTCATAACTTGTTTTCAGTACTGATTTATTCACACATCAGTCAATTAATAATTGAGACACACTAGCAAGTTCAATTAAAAAAGCACTCATCTAATGAAGATTTTTAGGAAAGGTGAAATACGGCACAAAGATGCTAAATTGGGACTATAAAAATAGCTGAAATATATGATTGTCCTAAAATCTGAATGTCATCAACCCTTCTGTCATATATTCATGCTGACCTTTCTGCTCATGAAGGCGTAGATGACGGGGTTGTAGGCTGTGCTGGATTTGGCAAATAGAGATGGAATAATGGCGACGGTAGGGGAAACCACACTCTTCTTCCCAAAGGCCTCCAGCATGGAGACCACAGCATAGGGCGTCCAGCACACAAGAAAACAGGAAATCATCATCAGGAACATCACCGCCACTTTCTTCTCATACCGCAGGATCTTAATGGTCTGAACCGTCTGCAGATCCTGGATAGAGCGCAGCTAAAAGTAGAGAAAAGAGGGGGTTTTATCATTCAGCTCTTTGCTTCTCTTAAATAATAGTAATTCTGTAATTATTTACACTAACTTCTCTTGTTCCAAACATGTTAGAGTTTCTTTTTTTCTGTTAAAGGTACAGTATGTAAGTTTGACACCCAGTGGTTGAACTAAGTATTGCACACTTGGTTCAAAACACATGCTAGCGCAGGAGCCTAAAAGCTGATTTAAGGACTGATTTAAGTCGTGTTCTGAATAAAAGCAACAGCATCTGATAAAAGGAATATTTTCCACAATAAAGGGAGTTTTTGTCCTAACCAACTCCAGAAATCTCTATTAGAAACGGCTTCTATTTCTTACAGGTGATCAACACAAACTATGACAATGTTTACCTCAGTTACACCTCACGTGCTTTATTCATTGTTAAATGCTAATAATGCGAGTTTGAATGCCATTTTACATGACATTTATTACCATACTACTGAAAGCAGCAGCAGATAGTTCACCTCAGATATTGAAAAATAACAAAACAATTGAAATTGTAACATGGGGTCTGAGGCTGTGTTAGATTCCATGTGCAGAAGTTTATTAAAGGGATTAGGCAGAAACTTATAAACGAATAAACAGGCAGAGAGTCGACAACATGTAAGCAGTCCAATCCAATAACAAACACAGGGGCAAATCCAGACGACGGAGTGAGAGTGCAGGCAGAGATTCAGTATAACTACAATCAGTCCAAAACAGATCAACAAACACAGGGGCAAAGACAGATAATGTACTTGATCAAGGCAGGCAGGGTCATACACAGGCAGGCAGTCATAAAAGGCTCTTGGAACAATGCTTGGTAATGCGGGTGAACTAGCAATACTTTGCAAGGAAGCATGGCCTGTGCTCTTGCTGAAATACAGCACAAACAGGAAGTGACTGCAGGGGGAGCGGACCTGAGTCAGTAATTGGGCGAGGGCTCCCTCTGCTGACATGGTGTAACAGAAATGGAACTTTAGTACTATAAGCCAGAGCATGCCAACACCTATCATCTATTCAGCAAGCACATTTAATAATGTTAAAGAGGTTTAATATGTATTAATTAGATTATAAACCTTACCATTTTATGAGTGGGTGCATATTCTGTGCTTCTAAATGTTTGAATTTAAATTTCTGTGGTGTTTCGTCTGGTGCAAACAGCCAAATTGCTTATCACTACAAATCTCGTCACGAAGAGTGTTGTTAGGATATGGACAATGTAACCTGCTCGCCTAATATTTATATTCGTAATGTTTATATTATTTGCTAATTAATAACTTCATGTGGAACTCTGAATCTGCGTCTCATTTTGAAGGCTGCTACTGTCCACCGGAGGTTGCATTTCGCTTGCGGACGCATGCTTTAAGAGCCCTCATGACTTGGCATGGGCCTAAGTCATGTCGCCACCGTGTCGCCTCTATTTTGACCTATTTAGACTTATTACTATTCAATGTAAAAGGTTTTATAGGGTTGAGAGAGCAGTAAAATAAGATTTATTTTAATTTAAGAAGATATATGGGTCACACCTTACAATAAGGTTCATTAGTTAATGCTAATTAATGCTTTTACTAACATGAACAAACAATAAACAATACATCTACTACTGTATTTGTTCATGTTAGTTAACGTTAGTTAATGAAAATATAGTAGTTCATTGTTAGTTCATGTTAACTCATGGTGCATGAACTAATGTTAACAAGTATGGACTTGGATGTTAATAATGCATTAGTAAATGTTCAATTATGATTAATAAATGCTGTACATGTGTTGTTCGTGATTAGTTCATGTTAGTAAATGCATTAACTAATGAACCTTATTGTAAAGTGTTACCCATAAATGTTAACTCTGTTTATATTACTGTACAACAAAATAAACAAATAGACAATTTTTAAATGTGCACATCTGCAATAGTCACATCACAAGATCTTCAATGTCAAGTATGTGTTGTTGTCCAGGAGCTTGTAGATTAATGGCAAACTTCAACAATTGTGCATTTAAGGTTTATAATTCGCATTTGTTTTTGTTTTTTTCTGTTACACATTTATTGAGTTTAAAGCCTACAGGCTCAAGAAACAATAGCACTTGTAGCTTTAAAATTAATATAACACGATTTTTATAGTGCCAAGTGTAATTTTACATTAGACTTTTTAAAATATTTGTCTTCAACTGCTACTAACACTTAAAAGACAAATTTAAAGCTCTTTTTTCTCTCATCCACCCCTCCCCCCCATTTAAATTTTTTTTTTAAGTAGTTTATAGTAATTTATGCAGATGCTCTCCCCTATGAAATTACCTAAATCATTATGAATTCTTTACAAATAGTAATTCAATCCTTATCAATCCATATCACAATACTCCATCATTTTTCCTTCGGCTTAGTCCCTTTATTCATCAGAGGTCACCACAGCGGAATAAACCGGCAACTAGGGTTGGGCCGATAGACGATGCCATAGCAATAGACAACACGATGCTGAGCCGGCATCGCCGATCCTCCGCCCCGCCCCCGTCGCAAACCCGCTTGTGAAAAATACACACATTAGCCCCGTTTACACTAATACATCTTAGTGTTAAAATGGCATTTTAGAACGAACATGAACCACATCCACACTGTGTTTTACCTAGCATTTCTGAATAGCCCTCCGTCCGCTGCATGAAAAAGCATATCACGTGACCACACACACACACACACACACACAGCCACACACAGTCACACACACACTGTCATGCGCTCGTCTGAGCTCCAGAGAGCAGTGCACTTCAGACAGTTTATCAAGGATGTACCGCTGGATCGCGTCTCACTATAGTTGTTAAACGTGATATTCAGACATCTTAAGTCTCCCAGAAGCTCCGTGAGTCTCCCGCAAATGCATAGACTTCCGGAAGCCCGCAAACGAGTGATAATCTCCCGTAAATCTCGCGTCTCCCTCCCGGTCCTCAAATAAGGCGCACACTTCTCACCCCTCACCACCGGATCCCTCCTCGCTCTTCAGACACGTCGCGGGCACTCTGTCAAACACCGCCTTGAGTGTATATAAATACAAAATATTGCAATGTCTTTTTTTTTCAATATCGTGTAGCCCTGAAGCAAATTAGTTCGTACATTAATTTCTACAGTTATTAATTCATTTGCGTGATTATGAATGAACTGATTTAGTTATGTTATATTGATTTTCAGCTATATGCATTTATTCAGGCAGTTGCTGCACAGTTAACCATGTTTATTAATCACTGAATAACCCAGATAAAAGACAACACATAGGCAGCATGCTGTACACAAGTCAAGCACACTAGGCGTTTGGATGAAAAAACAACCTCAGAGCTCCTTATAAATCCTCCTTTTGCCAACAGAAAAGAGGAGATATGAGTGAAAAGCAGTCTGGGTGTTTATGAAAGCCCCTGCTGTGCGTTTTGGGGTTGATTTCAGAGCGAGAATACAAACTCTGTGTGTATGTACTGTTAAGAAAATGTGGGTTTAGTCTGGTGTTGTGCCTTGAGGGTTTAACTCTTAGTAGTATTGACATGTTATACTGCAGACTGTAAATAGTGCACCCTATGAAGCTTACAAACCATGCTGAAACACTGAATTATTGAAGGAGTTTGTGTTGGGTTTTCTTTTCATTGGTCTTGAACTTTTATATTGAGAATATTCACGTGGATGCATTTTGTTTGCTTATCAGCTGATGCAATTGCACAAAACTGTTTGTTCATGAGTCATTTTGTTACTTACTTTTTCTCAATAAGGTTAAAACCAAACTATTTTCTGTGTGTGCTGGTGAGTTTTCTGCTGCTCTTTTAGAGTTGATGATGAAGTTCATAAGCTGATGATTGTTGTGCTGTTTTTATCAATACTTCAATTTTAAACTTTATGGTGGATTGGAGGATTGAACATTCACTATGGATTATTCTGTTGACTGTTTAGTCGAAGTCAAAATAATTAGCCCACCTGTGAAATTTGTAGTCTTTTTCAAATATTTCCTAAGTGATGTTTAACAGAGCATGAAAATGAATACAGCATTTATGGTGTAAAAAATCTAATTCTTTTAGATTGACCGCAAAAAAAAAGCTGTTTACATAGTCTTTAAAGGAATTTTTAAGGTCAATATTTGCCCCCATATAATTTTAAAATTAAATTTAAGTGCTATCATTTAAAATTCTGTAAAAAAAATCTGATTGGCTAATAGGGGTGTCAATTTATGCTCAACTTCTATTATCGAATCAAAAAATAGAATCGTCGATGCTGCCACGCCCCCATGTCACGTCAGCTTGGCTTGCCAAGCGGGAAAAAACATGCTTGTTGAAGTGCTTGTGTTTGACAACGTTCGTGTTGTCGACAAAAAAACATAGTTTGCAAGCTCTGCTATGTACGTATTACGGTTGGAATGATAGACGATAGGCGCATCGCGATCCTCCGCCCCGCACCCGTTGCAAATCCACTCGCGAAAAATACACACTCAGGCCCTGTTTACACTAATATGTCTTTGTTTCTAAATGGCATTTTAGAACGACAACGATCCACATCCGCACTGGTGTGTAGCATTTCTGAGCAGCCCTTCTTCCCCACTACCGCTGAAAACACACATCACGTGACCACACACACTCATTCACACACAGATACAGACGTACACATATTGTCATGCGTTTGAGACAGCGGGTCAAGGCAGTTAGCGAGTCAGTAGACTGCTTCCATCTTTTACTTTCACACACTTACTTTGTCATTTTAGCAAACACCTCAGATACTGTTGGCTGGTTTCTGTTGGTTGTACGTCTTTTTTACCGACGCCATTATAACGACACAGATCACTGTCTATTCACGAGTCCCGCAGAAAAAAGTGATTGACAGGTTGTAATTATGTGTGTAACTTACCTTTATTCATTTACTGTATGATTTGTTTATGGGTAAAACAAAGACCATGCAAGTCAGGTAGTTTAAACGGTAGGCTACAAATAATTAATTCGTTATTAATTAATTAATTAATTAATTA